TAGTTTAGATAGGATATAATCTATTGGAACTATAATGTGTATTCCCTAATAGACCCTATCTACTTAAGTTACTATAACTGTCATTTAGTGTTTCTCTCTTTATTAATATTGCTAAAAGTTCTTTTAAGTCATTTCTTGAATTTAGTGTAGCTAATGAATACAGCTTGCGTCTTATTATCTTACAAGTCCATAGAGTATTCTTAATAATTGTCACGGGCTAGAATATCTCAGTCTGAGGCTTTACTCTAGCCGTCCTAATAGGCCACGAAGGTATGAAGTGGAATTGCTAGAGAAGGAAGGAAACTAGGTACAGGCGGCTATCATACTAATTAATGTAATAACCAGTCCTAATCACGTGATTAATCAGTTGGTAGTGTCCAGGCTGGACGCCAGTTGCTAGTTAGGTGATCACACAGCCGTGTACATAAGGCAGCGCGTGTTATGGGGGCAGCCCATGACAATACCCCCTCCTTTAAGGCCACCTCTGGGGGCTATTAACTGAAGAGGGCATCTATAGTAGAACTTTAGGCTGTTGTCTTAGTACGGGGCTTAGCAGGGGCAGGTGCAGGTGAACTAGGCTGGGATGTAGTAGGTGAGCTAGAGTAATATGAGTACTAATTACATTCCTCAATCCAATGGTCATCAGAACCACAGTACAGGCAGAGGTCATGTTCTAGTCAGTAAGAATAGTGTTTAGAAGCAGGCAATTAAGAGTGGCGTCTAGAGGCAGGTCTAATAGTATATATATGGGAAATCCTAATAGGGTCTATATCTATTAGGTTAGTATAGTGAGTCTGGCTAGGTGCTGGTTTCATAGCAGGGTTCTTAATAGGCTGGGCACAACAGGTATATTAATTAATAAGCTGGACAAGCTCTACATATTCATTATATAAGAGGCTAAAGAGGGTGTTGTTCATATCTTTAAGGGTCTGGTAAAGGGAGGGGTGAAGCCCTCTATATAAGGTAGATAAGTATAAACTATCTAGCTATATAGTTACTCCAGCCTCATATATAAGGCGCTCAAAGTGGGCAAGAAAGGTAATAAGGGACTTATCTTCCTATTACTGCATAGTAGTAAAGTGCTGTATGGCTTCCTGGTGTTCTCTAGGATTATGGCAAAGACACTAGAAGAATGAGAAGATAACTTCTACATCCTATGACTGGGTTTCTTCTGTAGATTGGCGTAGGTGAAGGACTAAAGCCTGTTATAGCTGTTCTAGTCAATCCCATATATAATTAAAAGCATCAGCTCCAGTGAGCTTGTCTAATCAGAGTTTTGCTTAGATGGATGGGAGCCAGGTGCGCAGAGTATATAGTTTGCTATTAAAACAGGGAGGGTCTGGTAGGCAGGATCTTGATATAGATAAGAGCCGGGTCTGGAGTAGCTAGACATTAGCTTAGGAGGTATTTAGATCTGCACATAGGGTCTGGATCTTAGTGTGCTAGTTCTAGAGTTCTTGCTGGAGTTACTGTATAAGCAGGAGGAGGGTGGATTGGTCAGACATCTTGTAAAATTTTCAGGGGTCAGGTCTGATCAGGGGTAGTGAAAATTCTCTCTGAGGATTTGTAATAGCTTTATTGGCTATTATCACTACTAGCAGGCAGGTGAGCAATTCCAACTATTACAGGCTAGAATATCTTAGTCTGAGGCTTTACTCTAGCTGTCCTAATAGGCCATGAAGGTATGAAGTGGAATTGCTAGAGAAGGAAGGAAACTAGGTATAGGCAGCTATCATACTAATCAATGTAATAACCAGTCCTAATCACGTGATTGATTAGTTGGTGGTGTCCAGGCTGGACGCCAGTTGCTAGTCAGGTGATCACACAGCCGCGTACACAAGGCGGCGCGTGTCATGGGGGCAGCCCATGACAATAATCCCTAATAAAGGGTTTAAACCAGTTAAAGGCTGGTCCTGTTAAGTAAATAGTTATAAATAAAACTTTATCTACCTTATTAGCAAGTTTCTCTCTGTTCATCTGGATGTACATATCTAGTTATATAAGAAATGCTTGCAACTTGGATTAATTTCTATTAAATAGTTCTAGTGGTCAGATCTTGATAGATTTAACTGCTAGTCATCTACTTAGAGTTTCATTCTGTTACTCTAGTTATTGGATGTGTTCTTAGAGCTATTTAATCATGCCTACCAGACCTTCTACTATAATCTAGGGCTATGCAGCTACTTGCTGCTATAGAGTTCCTGCCTAACTAATATTTAAGCTAGTAAGGGTTGGTGCATTTCCTGCTATAATATTTAATGTTAAGAGTTGATTAAGCTTCCCAAAGTAATTCATACTATACAGTGTTTAATTTGTCACACCCTAGGATCTGTCTCTACTATCTTCTACTAGTTAACTACTTTAGGAATAGGATGATATAGTCCCTGGACTATATCTGATACTTACCTAAGGCCTACTAACTAGGTAGCCTAATGATACAATGATATAATGATCTAAATAGGATTAAGGATGACTAAAGGTAACACAAGAATAATAATAGTAGAGATAGAAGCAAGGCCTATTAAGTACGTATACTTAATAGTAAAAGAGTAACTAATGAATCAGACTAGTGAACTTATACTTAAGTGAATAACTTATATTAAATATAAGGAACTAAACTAAGAGTACTAGATATAGTAATAATAAATATCCTTATATATCTATAGTTCCTCCAGGTGATAGTGGTGATATGTGGTATGGTGGTAGAATAGTAGATGATTATAATACCTTTCTATTATTAGTTCTGTATACCCATCTACCACGTCATGTGATAATGGTTTGTTAGGAAACATGTTCAGTCATACCCTACTGAACTGTTTTTCTGTGGAAACCTATCTAGATTAAGCATTTCTCTAGATCATGTCCTGATCACTCCAGGATTAACTGGTGATCATGGATCCTCAGGTTTCTGCCTGTCACACCTGCCCTGTACTAGTGCGGCTGTGTCAGTGCCGTAACACTATACTAGCATTCAAAATATATATATATAAATAATGCATTCTACATAGAAATCTAACCTAGGTTAGTGTATTCTAATTACTAGGTATTGTAATTAAAACCCGTTTTTAGAACCCAACCCTTAGCAGGTTCTAAGAATTAGAACCCAACCGACCCACGGGTGTCACGGGCTAGAATATCTCAGTCTGAGGCTTTACTCTAGCCGTCCCAATAGGCCACGAAGGTATGAAGTGGAATTGCTAGAGAAGGAAGGAAACTAGGTACAGGCGGCTATCATACTAATTAATGTAATAACCAGTCCTAATCACGTGATTGATCAGTTGGTGGTGTCCAGGCTGGACGCCAGTTGCTAGTTAGGTGATCACACAGCCGTGTACACAAGGTGGTGTGTGTTATAGGGGCAGCCCATGACAATACCCCCCTCCTTTAAGGCCACCTCTGGGGGCTGTTAACTAAAGAGGGCATCCATAGCAGAACTTCAGGCTGTTGTCTTAGTACGGGGCTTAGTAGGGGCAGGTGCAGGTGAACTAGGCTGGGATATAGTAGGTGAGCTAGAGTAATATAAGTGCTAATCACATTCCTTAATCCAATGGTCATTAGAACCACAGTATAGGCAGAGGTCATGTTCTAGTTAGTAAGAACAGCATTTAGAAGCAGGTGATTAAGAGTGGCATCTAGAGGCAGGTCTAATAGCATATATGCAGGAAATCCTAATGGGGTCTATATCCATTAGGTTAGTATGGTAAGTCTAGCTAGGTGCTGGTTTTATAGTAGGGTTCTTAATAGGCTGGGCACAATGGGTACATTAATTAATAAGCTAGATAAGCTCTATATATTCATTATATAAGAGGCTAAAGAGGGTGTTATTTATATCTTCAAGGGTCTGGCGAAGGGAGGGGTAAAGCCCTCTATATAAGGTAGACAAGCATAAACTATCTAGCTATATAGTTGCTCTAGCCTCATACATAAGGCGCTCAAAGCAGGTAAGAAAGGTAATAAGGGACTTATCTTCCTATTACTATACAGTAGTAAAGCACTGCATGGCTTCCTGGTGTTCTCTAGGATTATAGCAAAGATGCTAGAAGAATGAGAAGATGACTTCTACATCCTATAACTAGGTTTCTTCTGCAGATTGGCATAGGTGAAGGACTGAAGCCTATTATAGCTATTCTAGTTAATCCCATACATAATCAAAAGCATCAGCTCCAGTGAGCTTATCTAATCAGAGTTTTGCTTGGATGGATGGGAGCCAGGTGCGCAGAGTATATAGTTTGTTATTAAAATAGGGAGGGTCTGGTAGGCGGGATCTTAATATAGATAAGAGCCAGGTCTAGAGTAGCTAGATGTCAGCTCAGGAGGCATTTAGATCTGCATGTAGGGTCTGGATCTCAGTGTACTGGTTCTAGAGTTCTTACTAGAGTTGCTGTATAAGCAGGAGGAGGGTAGATTAGTCAGACATCTTGTAAAATTTTCAGGGGGTCAGGTCTGATCAGGGGTAGTGAAAATTCTCTCTAAGGATTCACAATAGCTTTATTAGCTATTGTTACTACTAGCAGGCAGGTGAGTAATTCTAACTATCACAGGCTAGAATATCTCAGTCTGAGGCTTTACTCTAGCCGTCCCAATAGGCCACGAAGGTATGAAGTGGAATTGCTAGAGAAGGAAGGAAACTAGGTACAGGCAGCTATCATACTAATCAATGTAATAACCAGTCCTAATCACGTGATTGATCAGTTGGTGGTGTCCAGGCTGGACGCCAGTTGCTAGTCAGGTGATCACACAGCCGCGTACACAAGGCGGCGCGTGTCATGGGGGCAGCCCATGACAACGGGCCCTAGAACCTGAACCCAAACCCGGCCCATGGCGGGTTAGGGCTGGGTTGGGTTAGGGTTCCCGGGTTGGGTTTAACCAGTCTACTGCCTTGTGTACACGGCTATGTGATCACCTGATCAGTCATATGATTAGAACTGGTTATTATATTGATTAGTACAATAGCTGCCTGTACCTAGTTTCCTTCCTTCTTTAGCAATTCCACTTCATTCCTTCGTGGCCTATTGGGATGGCTAGAGTAAAGCCTCGGACTGAGATATTCTAGCCCGTGACAGTCTAGTATGCCTAGTGGAGGATGCCTTAGTGGCTGCAACTAGGGGAGTAAATGGAGATAATGGAAGTTAGGTTTAGACTGGCTGACCCAATCCGCAAATCCATATCCAACCCGCCCAATCCACACTTTGGGTTGGATAGGGGTTGACCCTGATCCAATCCGCATGGATATGGATGGATGACATCTAACCCACATGGATATGGATAACCCATTAGGTGCACGTGATCTAGGGCCTTAAGGGACTGATAAGCTTATCCAACCTAATCTAGGCCTAGGTAGGGATATATTTTTATATATATAGATAGAGAATAGTCATATCTATCTATATATAAAATAAAAATATTAGATTTACTAAGAGAAATTAGAGTTATGGTGGATTTTATATTTTAGATAATAATACTTAGGATAGTAGTAATAAGAAATATATATCTCCACACCATTTTTCATCCCACCTTTAGGAAGCCCCTATACCCCCCTAATTAAGCATATTTCAGCTTGTAGGATAGGTAATATATAATATTTATATAATAAGTTATTATATTAATAAATAAAATATATAGATATCCTAGTGGTGTGGCTAGAATACTAGAAAAATGGGTGGTAATTAGAATACTAGGGGTCACCTGACTAGGTATTATGGATATATCCATTATCCGCAATCCAACCCGCATGGATATGAGGGTGGGTTAGATAGGTGGTGGATCAACCCATAACCCACATGGGTTGGATTGAACCCCTTGCGGATCCATCCAAACCCAATCCACGACCAGTCTAGTCTGGCGGAACAGATCACCTACTATGCTGATAGTCACATGACCTAGTAGTTCTGCTGCATCTTCCTTCTAGGCATTCATCATGGTCAGTCCTTGCCGGAATGACTGGTTGTCATTGCTTCTTGATTCTGCCTGTCGCCTCCGCCTAGCAACGTAGGTGTTGTAACAATAAGCATGAATCTATAGATATTAAGGGGTGGTTAAGGTATATAGATATATAATTTAAATTTAATGTTATATAAAGGGCTTTCACAGTCAGAGATGGTGTCAGCCATATCTTACCACTATCAAATCCGGCGATTATCGGATATCGATATGTAACCAAATTCTGGCTGGGCTAATCAGATTGCTAGATTCTACTATGGATTTAACTTGCCAGATTACAGAGATTTTACAGAGTTTTTATTTTGTTAATTATAAGTAGTTAGTTAGACATCTAGATTGCCAGAAATCAGACCTTCTTTCATCCTGAAACATCCCGCTTACTAGCAATTCCCATAGATTTGCTATTCTTAGGGATTGGTTGATACTTGATAGTTATGAGCCCAGTTTAATTAATGGCTATTAGATACTATACCTGTGAGGGAATGCCTACCCTGTTCTAAGGCCCTAATAGATACTGCTTTGGGAAGGGGGCGAGGCCATTTGTAAATAGATATCTCAGCGCCCTAGTAAGCTAATATGCCTGACTATTTGATCACTACTAATTCTGTGCCCACTTAGAGGGTCCTAATTGTTCTGGATCAGCCAGATGATTGGTGGGCATGGATTAGATATAGTATAGTTTAGAGGGGTGGTGATGTCTAGAAAATACATTACCAGTCTAGAAAATAGATTCACTAGTTTGGAGAATATATTACTAGCCTAGAGTACTTATTATACTTTAGGGAAGCATGGCCCACTTTTCAGATATAACTACTAAAGCACAAAGATAAAACCCTGGAATTTGAGTTAAACCATCTGAAGTGCAACTAATAAGTAATAATAAAGATCTTAATTATGCCTAGTAAATCAATAATACTTCTTTAGAAATTATCTTTAGGAAGAACCTATCTAAACACTTAGTTAGCATATATATAAGGTTATCCCAAGAAGTTTGGGCTATCTTTCCGTGCTATTCCACCCAAAAAAGCCCAAAAGGTATGAAATATATTATCTTTGAGCTCATCAACTACATCCTGGACGGACCACAGCCAGTTTGCAGGCCCAGGCCAAAGTCTCGCTGAATAATTGCAAACATTGCGGGCAGAGAATGCGCTGCTACTTGAGCGGCTTGGGGTCAATATATCGCGAACTGACTCAAAGCATGTACTATCGATGTCTACGGCACTTGGAACAAGCCAGATTCCATAATTCTGGTAACCTCGGATCTAAGGCTTGACTTCCATTTTCTCAGGACTATTAGCTCACCACTGCACATATCACTTGCCCTATCGCACCACCTGTGCCCTGACCAGACGGGATCTCTGTCCAGTCCGACGAGATCAATCGAGACCTTTTCACGCGTCACCGCTCCGCATCCCTCTCATCAGTTATGATGGATGGATCGCAGAACGCTAGAACTTGATGATTTAGCATCCTAATATCGGATACCCTGTTTCCTGCCAGTTTGATATTGGACATCGGTTAACGCAAGCCCAGGTCCTTGGGTATTGAAATAGTAAGCCATGTGCAGCGTTCCAGTGACAAGCTATAATCATATCTGTCTCAAATATCAATCGTAGCGTTTCAGTGAAATGTGGACGCCTATGATATATCAATTTGACGGAATCTACCGCGGTATGTCTGGGCCGCATCATCTTTCTCACCTTCACATAGTGCAAGCCACAGATGTTGCACTTCGTTGCATCACCCATCCTCAACGCCACCGTCGTTGTCTCCATCCCATTGCATGACTGACAAAGTCTAACACATGCTATCTAAGTATTCAACAAAGTCACCCCAGGTTGGGAATGGATCAAAGCATCAACTTGCCAGTCTTCGCTTTATGCTCTGCACAGGAGCAAATTTTGCAATCTTCTTGCAGTTACTGGCTTCACATATTTCGAGCCTGCTAACCTCGTTTCCAACCCTTTGATCCAGCGACTTCTCCAGCCGGTTGACAATGTGTATGCCCCTCAGAGCCTCATTGGTTCAACGCTGGAAATAAATAAGTTCATCAATATCATGAATTGTTGACAGCAACACCGGTACTGACTGTGGTTATCGCATCTGGCCCGTTTCGTCGACACGAACTTGCGAGAAATTCAGGATCCGGATACTCGTCATGAAGACCTATACTCCTAATTACCAATCCATGGACAGAGATAATTTTGGAAAGAATTATAGAGGTGAAGTTGATATTCACCAACATATATTATTAAATAGAACCACTGCATTGTCATTGACATCTTAGCCCGAGCCGCAGTCTCTGCCTTTATTTAGTCCATGAAACTGGATCGACCCAGCCAAGGCCTAAGCATATAACTATCAGATGATGCCAAGCTATGTCTTTGAAATTGCAGCAGCATTTGAAAGAGCGCATTGGAAAGGACGGCAAGAGCTTAGAATTATCCATGCATATCCTTGCATGTCAGTTTCTGGGTATTCGCGAGGAAATCAGCATAGAAAATGTCTTGTATATGAACTTGAGGACGGGAGTTGGCCCTGAGGCTGGCTATATTGTACTGGTAAGGCACAGATTCTGATAGGAAATAGCAGGCTTGTAACAGCCCTTGCCGTGAAAGCCATGAAAAAGGAGGTTGCACTATATCCACATGAGTGTGGCCAAAGTGGCAGTGTACATTATGTTAGTGGTGAGAAATGATATTGACAAGTTGAAGTTTTGAACGGGTCGTGTCTCTGTTGTGTTTGCTTAATGCATTCAGCAAGCGGGACATGTCTGTCATTAGCCATTTTGTGGATATAATACGCTTCCCCATCAGTTTCTCTGGAGTTTGTTGAGACACCTGGCGCCTAAGGGTGGGGAGACTACTGGGTGAATACTAAAACACTAGCAAGGTTTGTAGGAAACTTCTCCCTCAAGGCACACCTATAGCTATAAATACTAGCCGGCACTGGTGTCATGTCCAAAGCAAGGAAGCCTAGGAGAGAATTGCCCAACCCAGACCCAGCGCCTTATACACGCTAGGACGGCAAGAACGCACCAGACAAACACCGCACAGCCATGGGGGAAAAGAGCTGTAATAACGAGATTAAATGCAGGGAGTTCTAAGATCTGCGGATCCGGCTTAGGGGAACGCCCACGAACAATAATTTACTTCAATTCTTAGACTTGCGGCAAACAGCTACTGGTAATGACGCAACAACTTTGTTAGCAAAGCTCAACCATACTACTTGGTTTTAGCATGAGTTATAGATGGGGGTCCTAAGTACTTTTTACCTCCCACTGTAAGCGGCGAGAGACATCGAGACCAGATTCTTATGATGAAAAGTATCTCTAAACGATCAACACAAATCTAGCCAAAGCTTAAGTATACGAGGTTCTGCACAGTCCTAAGATATTCCATTCTTAAAATCGCTCTTTGTGTTCGGCAAATGATGTTCTTTTTATGTGAGATCAGCGTGAAATACCCAAATTGATTATCGCAAATAGTCGTACTGTTGCCGAAGACTAGGTAGTACCCATCAAGGCAAAACCTCTAGGCAGCATTTTGCCCCAAAGGCATTTCTGTTCAGACCACGTTACCCTAAGTGGTGTCTGTATAATTTACATTGTTCCTGGATACGAGACATTAGATCCAGATATTCAAAGACCTGCTAAGTAGCTAAGTGTCAAGCTGGCGCTTCCAGTAATCCATGCCAGAGCTTCACGCCCATACAAATCTGGTAGGGCCAACAGCCCCTGCTCCTCGCTCTAGGGCTCCAAGCCGGAACAAAGAGGTCCGAAATGGCGGTCAAGATAGGGCATGAATAGAGTCATTTTGATCGCTAGTGTTAAAAGAATTCAAGTTCTTGCTACTGTCCAGATTTAGCAGTATCACACGCAGTATTACAGACATCAGCACATTGACAAGAGGAGCTTCATTTATTACAAATGTGCAGAGAGATTTTGACCCTTTAATAAATTTATTAGCTAATAGTTGTATGGGTTATCGTTGTCTGATGATGCATTGACTCCATGCACTATGTAAGGAGACAAATTTGTGCCATTATCCTTGCTTAATTCAGTTCTGGATATCTCATATAACCACACCGATGATCCAGCTATTAATACCTGTTTCCCCCTTCTGCCATTCCTATTTCTAGCTTGCACCATTAACTTAACTCTGCTTTTACCTCGATTCTCAAGCATAGTAGGCTTGTTGCAATCCTCTTGTTCATGAAGCTCAGGCACCTGCATCAGTAAGAAACAATGTCGAGTGCGTTATGTCAAGAGCGCAAGCCTGTGAACGCTCTTACTCCTGTTGACCGACTTTTTGGATGTGCATACACCCGCTGCCAGCTTGCTTTCCATACTACCGAAGCAAGTGGATGCCTAACGGTTCTACGAGGGGGTTTCAAATGCCTGTTGGCCAAGATACCCTTCTTATCTCAGGAAATCGTTATACCAGTGGGCTGTGATAATCTGGACAACGTCAAGTTCCAATCAGCTAGTTCAACCAATCTTGATCGGCTCCTGAAGATAAAAGAACATGGCGAGTCTATGCGAGAAGCTTTGGCGGAAGCAGGCAAAGATAGGGCTAGATTTGAAGAGAAATTCATGCCGATAGGACTGGTACCTGACGTAACGGAGCCTTGTCCTATACTAGTTGTCCAAGCGAATCTGCATCCGGACGGGGTGCTGCTATCTGTCGCTGCAAACCACATGGTCATGGACGCAACTGGAATGGGAACTGCGATAGTAATGTTCGCCGATTGCTGTCGTCAAGTGGAACTGGGCAAGGACATCGATATGTCCGTTTATGCTGCTGAGCAAGACATTGGCAAAGAAATGCTCCTGCATCGCTTGCCAGCTTATATCGGCGAAAGAGAATTTCCCGAATACCGGGTACACAAGGACCTTTATGCCAAATGGGGGAAGATGACACAGAATGTACAGAATGATTCTTTCTCCATCCGCACGAAGAACTTCAAGATCGCGGCAAAGGATGTTAATGCACTAAAAGGCTGCTGCAATGAGCTCCTCCCGCATTTACTTGTTGATGAGGGCCACAGCGTTGGAGAGGAGGAATCTCATGACAAGCCGTGGGTTTCCAGCAGCGATGTGGTGATCGCTCTGATCTGGCTGTCACTGACCCGTGCACGATATCCTGGGCTGGCGGCGGATAATTGCAACTCTCATTCGAAGCGTCAAGCAGGAGAACCCGCCTATGTTGGCGTTGGAGTGCCTGTCGATATTCGTCATCGCGTCACACCTCCACTTCCTACGTCATATCTGGGCAACGCAGCCATCCTTATGTTGGTCAACCAACCTCTCCAAACCTTTGCTTCCCACGAATGGATGAGAACACTCTGCCGTGTGGCGTATGGTATTCGCTGTGGGCTTAGTCGTATGGACAATGATTACATCCGGAGCCTTCTTCATTATGTTCAAAACGGAAAGTCTCCTGTCATTTTCTCATTCGACGTAGCCAATTTCTATGTGAGTAACTGGCGGAACATGAACTTCTACAACGCCGACTTTGGATCGAAGATGGGGAGGCCTCAGCACGTCAGGAATCCTGACTCCGCCACTGATGGAGTTGTCTTCATTATGCCTAAACGCCCCCATTCAGAATCCCCGTGGGAAGTTCAGGTATCTTTTAATGATGAGGTACTACAGCGGCTAGAGCGCGATAGCATGTGGACGAAGTACATGCTTCAGGACTCATACTGTTCATGATCACTCTCTATGGTATACGTTACAGGGCTTATCCACCATAGTTTAGCCGGATGACCCAGCGTGATTCAGCAAGCTTTCGTTGGCTTCGGGAAAATCAACAGGAATATAACTATAGGTAGATCCATCACGTTCAAGTTTGCTTTTTTTTTTTTTTCTCTAACATTTTCATTTTGGCAATGAACACGGTTTTACGTAGCTACTGCTGTAAATCGAAGCTCAAAAGTAGGCATCAGGGTTTTATATACGGAATAAATTCCTACGGGCTCAAGTTTCTTTAAAAAGAAGTGTGATGTCTAGATATTTTGTAAATGCACTATCCAGTTTTGAGATGGAAATGTCGATGGACAGCCCTCGGCTACCAATCTCTGCGGTGAGTGTCAATGTGGCGGTCTTGGACTTCATCCTATAGATGGCAATCCCTCTTCTATCCGTAAATGGTGTTCAGATCAGTTCCATGTTTAGCGGCTCATGAAGCGAGTCGCTTAGCAGAGTAGTTCTATGTTTCTAAATACGGCGCGCTGTCGGGCTATCTTGATTCCGTCAGATGCAGTGAGCCACCAAGGGTGGTGCCCAGCCGCGGACCAGTACGGAGTACAGTACAGCATTTGGGGGATTTCAGGCACGCTGCCTCACACTGCTTCAATAGTAACATAAGTTTGTAGGCAATTTGTGGGTCTTGTTCTCTATTATCCCTTGCCGATTTACACCGCTACTTCTCCTTTGGTTGCTCTCCCGAGGGCGAGCACTGTATTCAATCTACGTCATGCATATTGGTACGCCCTCTGTCGACTTTTTGTAGTGCCATTATCAACGCCACCTCTTACGCTGGGATCTGGCTTTGGGTCAGATCAATGAAATATACCGGATAACGCAAGACTTCATCAAGATCCTCCGGCAGAAGCAGCGCCATCATCCGTAAGTACCTAGGTAGGTACAGGGACTGACATGACGATCCATAGTTCACTGAAAGTCCATAATTCGCAAATACTGTATCACTGCAAACAATAAGGTTCCAAGCATTTAACCGGTATGTATTTGACGTGGAAAATTATCTAAAAATCCTACCTTCCAGTCCAAGCCGAGGCACCTATCTTGTCTCATTCCAATCTATTGTCAGGGTAGATAGACGCCCAGAACCTCTTTTCTTCCAGTCAAGTATCGTGTGTACTGGACCTACCAGTGGTAATATATTGACAAGTAGGGACCCTTCTGGGCCGTGTAAGAGAACGACAGCCAGGCCTGTTTCCGAGTGGCATTGCTGAGATCACAGTCGGGGCTAGAATCGAGCTTTAGCAAGATCGAAGGACTCAGCACGTAAGTACTTACTAGTAGGATTTCAAATTCTCGGTGAAGGTGCGTGCTTGATCCTGCATGCCATGCTTATTGAAGAAGGCCGTCAATGCGCTTGCAACTTGCATTTCTGGAATCCCAGTCAATGGCATGTATAGCTGAGGTTTCAGACTATGGTCGCCAGGCTTCATCTCATAATTATACATCAGAGGCAACAAGCTCGAGGGGTCGCCATGTTTTGCCGAGGTGCCTGGGGGACTCCGTCTTCCTTCGATAATGCCAAGTCCCATCCATAGCTCGCGAAAAACTTCGAGTCCGCGGGCAATGTCGTCTCCTTGAAGCTTTCCACCCAGGGTCCAGTGGTTCTCCGCCCTTGACAACACGACGTCCGAGTCATGTATATAGACCTTGTACCGCGTAGCTGATGGGTCCACCAAGTCACAAGCAAGGAAAGCTGCCGGTGTCTCACTTTGCTCAATGTGGTCTTCAATCAGTTGACACAAATTGCTCAATGATGGGTCGGATGTGGAATTGCGAACAGCGTCCAAGCAAATTTTGGCGACGGATTGGCCCGTCACGAACGATTTCACGATCGGGAAGAAGTATTCCTTTGCAATGATGCCTGACTTTGTGAAATCCAACGCAATTATGTTTTGTGTTCTGACCTCAAATTTGGCAAGGTCTTCCGCTGTGAGCTGCTCCTCCTCTGCGTCAGTCAACGTCAACTGATTGTTGAGGGAATGATGGAGATAGAGGTTAACGGCCGATGCGTCAAGCAGCTTGAGGTTGGACAAGAACACATGCACAGCTTGTCGGTTACAGACATCTGCTCCCGTGCTGGCAGCATGGCTGGTCGGCTCGAACGCAATCCGTACAGTTGACCCCGATGCCTGAAAGTTCTGGCTTAGCTCAACTGGTCCATAACCGCCAAGGGTGCACTTATAAAAGTCACTATCATTCCCACTGGTTGTAAAAGGTCCAAGAGAGGGAACCACCAGCTGAGAGTAGAGACATAGGTATCGATATTGTAGGTCGATGTTGTACTTTCCGTCACTCAACATACGACAAAACATAGGGGCGACACGATGCCAATAGCGATGCTGGTCTGTATTCTGGAAAAGTATTGCCTTGCTAAGGGCCTGGTATGGTGCGTCCCACGACTCAACGGTCCTCGAGGCAGTACTACTCCTGACCTCAGGGTTGGTAATATCTCTGCGGGTGGAAGAAGTGAATGCCATGATGTTGGCACTTCTTCTGTTAAGGCTTGTTGTGCGTACTTCGAGAGAGGACGTGTTAGGAATGCAAGGCAATGTATATGGTTGTCAACATGAGACTGATACGTCGAGTTGGGGGTATATGTACTTTAATAATCTCTCACCCTCACCATTCCACCAAATGAATCGGCAATCCAGTCAGAGTGGTGTACTCTTATTGGGGAAAGAAATACGAAATGCGATTTTGAGTCAAGTAGAGAAACGAGGTTACCAGTTCCTGGACATGTCTAGGAATGTCTTAGTCCTTGCGTATACGTAAATCATTTCTTCATCATTCCATTTCAATGCGTCCTGGAAGGGAATACAAATTTCCTTCCTGACCATATTATAAGCGGGCCTGCTTCCATTCCTTTGCTTGATGTTGACACTATTGACCACTACCTAGGTTTTAGAATGTATTAATACACTTTCTACACTGGAGACCTTTCGGGATAGGCAATAGATGAAAAGCACCACCACTCCACCTCCACGGTCCTCATTGTCATGTCTACATGTATGAGTCCAGGACTTTTCTAACCTCTGCCATACCAATCTGTTGGGTCCATGACATACATGTTTCTCCCCATATACGGCCCTTCCATCACCGCTGTGCCGTGGCAAATGAGTTCCAGATGGCGTGCGCGCTGTCGATGGCTGCACCCTTGGAGCAACATTGGTCACAGTCTGCTTAATGCAATGCTGTCTCTTACCAACGGCAGCAGGCGCAGTTGAAGAGCAGGTGGTCTTTTTTTCTTTTTTTCTTTTTTTTCTTTTTTTCTTTTTTTCTTTTTTTCTTTTTTTCTTTTTTTTCTTTTTTTCTTTTTTTTCTTTTTTTCTTTTTTTCTTTTTTTTCTTTTTTCTTTTTTTTCTTTTTTTCTTTTTTTCTTTTCTTTTTTCTTTTTTTTTTTTTTCACCTCACATGATGTTCTCAATTCGACTCGTAAAAAGTCGGTCAAGCTACGGAGGTGTGGTGCAAAACTCATTAGCCGCTAGTAAACTTGGCATTTCCAATGTAATAGCCATACACTAGAATTACTATAGAGACCTATACTCCTTCTAAAATAATAGTTTTCAACTTCTCTATCTATCATTTCTTGGCTAAAAAAAGCAATTTGAAGCTATACAGAACCCCTTTTTCACTCCCTAAGATGAATTCAACACAGTATTCCCCTACTATCCATATTTTCAGCCTGCCTACCTCCTCTAAGCCCTCCTCAAAGCCCTTGAAGCCCTCGAAGCCATTAAAGCCATCAAAGATGCGTGGATCTTATCATCTAGTTACCGTGCGCGTGCAGGCCCTGACTTTGGCCTACTGTGGTGTTGATATAAAGCATATTGAGGCTATAACTGGCATGCCTCGTCAGACAATTCAATACTAGGTTAAGAAAGCTAGGGAACGCGGCTATAATCCAGAGATAGATCCATGCATCTTACCAGAATATGTTAAAGATGGCAAGCATACAGGACGTCCAAAAGAGATTATAAAAGCAACTAAACAAGCTATTCTTGAATCTATTAGCAAAGATCAAAACAGGCGTGAGAAATCTTCTGAAATTCTGGCATTTGAAGCTAGTATCTCTTATTCTTCTGTTTTACATATTCTTAAGCAGCATGGCTATAAGGCAGTTAAGCAAACTACAAAACCAGGCCTTACTAATAAGATGAAGTAGAAAAGATTATAGTTTTACCTTACCCACAAGGACTGGACCCTCAAAGACTGGAAAAATGTGATATAGACTGATGAAACCTCTATTTCTCTTAGATAATGGCGTGGAGCAATCTATGTTTGGCACACAAAAGATAAGAGAAATAATCCCATAGTTATACAGCGGTGTTGGAAGGGGACTTCTGATTTTATGGTTTAGAGGGCATTTTCTTATAATAAGAAGGGTCCTCTTCATATCTGGGCTCCAGAAACAGCTCAAGATAAGAGATGTGCTGAGCAAGAGATTATTCTCTTAAATTAACAGCTTGAGCCTATCCAGAAGGCAGAATGGGAGCTTAATACTAGTATAGCGCGTTTAAAACTTTAGAATGGAAGAGTACCTGGCCGTACACCTATCTGGAAGTGGAATAAGAAGAATAGCCTACTCTCTCAGGATTCTAAAGGAGGTGTTAACTAGTATAGATACTATAAGGTAGTATTCTCCTTCTCTATGGTTTCTGCTTAGAATTTAAGAACTAATACCTTCTTTTACTATCTTTATAGGAAGTCCTTATCCCTAAGCTGATTCCCTTTGCTCAAGAATGTGTAATTAAATAACTAAATACAATTATCCTTGAAGATAGCGCTCCAGCTCACCGTCATCGATTCCAGCAGACTATATATAATATTAAGAGGGTCTAGAAGATCATGGATTGGCCAGGGAACTCCCCTGATCTTAATGCTATTAAACCAGCCTGGCCATGGCTCAAACAGCGTACAACTTCTCAAGGGGCACCCCGGGATAAGAAGACAGGGAAGGAGGTATAGATGAAGGCATGGAATAATCTTCCATAGGAGCATATTTAGCAGTGGATTGAGCATCTTATACACCATATCCATGTCATCATTGATCTAGACGGAGGTAATGAATATCAGGAGGGCCGAACAGGCAAGGATAATTGTGATTGGAAGGGCCATTGAGCAAAGGGTACTATCTCTTATAGGCAAGATATCAGTGAATTAGACTGGGAAGATATTTTGCAGCCATTTGGATAGCTTCAATATTCGATTCTTAGGAGTTGAAATCAATCAAAGTAAGCTACCATATAAATTACTATGTAATGTTGCTTGGTCTTGTTACCTTGCCAAGCTTACTAGCGGCTAATGAGTTCTGCACCACACCTCCGTACATTTACATTACAATCGTTTGGCTGGGGACAAGGAATCCAAACGTGGCTGCATAATGCCTGCAAGGGAGAGTGGGATGAATAGGTCCTACTTGAAGAGCTTTGCCAAGAGGACGTAAAGTAGATCCTTTAATTAACAAAGCAATTTGCAACATTCACGCTCCGATACAGAAGACAAGGAAGAAAAAAATTGAATCGAATACACTAATAAGATTATAGACATACATATAATACAAAAGAAAATGCTTTCAACTCGAGGATAGAGGATTAAAAAGGTTTATGAAAGCATATGCCATCGAAAAGGTTGTTGCGATTCCGGTGTTGTTTTGTCTTGTTATACCAACCTTCCCAAGCCTACGAGCTCCAGGAGCAGGTTTCGGTACTCCGGAGTATCGTACGGAATGTGGGACTTTCGAGTTCACAAATAAAGATGTGCGGGACATGCAAGATTCAATGAGGCGCACAGTTGACAAAGATCAAAAGTTGGGCACGGTTATCGCTGTTGTTCGAGTTGCAGCCGAGACAGATTTGGGAAGAATGTAGAGGACATTTATTGACTCAATTTTGGTCTAACCCTACCTTTTCATGTCAAGGATAATTTCCCTCGTGGGTTGATATGGGGAATGTGTCGGAAAGATTATGATCAGCGAGAACCCCAAATAAACCACGGAAAGAGGAAATCATCTAAGGAACAGCCTTCTAAGCCAAGAAATAGCCAAAATTGGGCCTATTGATCATAATGAAAGTAGTCAGTAAGGGGTATCCCGGGGACATTCCTACAATGGTTTTTGAAAAATTGCTTCGTTTATTGCCTTCTATTCGATCCACACAGGGGCGAGAATGTGCCAATTCGTCAAGGAAGAATAAACATGCCCCTTGCCAGAAGATCGCCTTCCAGAGTTGGAACATGGCAGAACCAGCACGTGTAAATAAAATCACTCAAAGCTCCCTATCTGATAGGACATTATGCATGGCGTCCCTTGATTCTAGCCTTTGCCAACCATGCGAACGACCCTTAACCAGTTTCGAGGCCTCCATTTTAGTATTGATGGTAAAACGAGACCTACAGGTCGACCACCAGTGAGAGGGAAACGAGAGCCCCATCCTATAAATAAGATTGCCCAGCTGTACTGTACCCGAAACTTCGCTGCTGTGCTTGAAAATCGACTACTACCTGAAAGCATATTTCGCATCTGCTCACGCAATGATGGTCATCAACGAGCAAACCTCCCCACGCACGCGCTCACATAATGCAGAATTCGCCTGCTTGTTCCCACGATTGAGCGACGACACGAAAGTCAAGGAAACGTACCAGTCCATTGAACTTGATGCCACGGCCGGTCAGTTGGTGCGAAGCTGTTGCAGGCTATATGGGGCAACGCCTACGATGGTGCTCGCTACGATCTGGACTGTTACGCTCCATAGTTTTACGGAGGGAGAGCGCGTTAAATTCGCACTGTTGCATAAAGTACCTGTACACGGCGTACGTTGTGCCCGGGGAGGAAGGGAATATGTTCGAGCAGAGACATATGCCACGCTCATCGACCGCGAAACACCAGCGAGGGAGTTGATGAAACAGGAAAATTGGGAGATTCTCCCGCACGTCGGCGGTGATCAGCTGCTTAATACTGGGCTGTATATGGGTGGCGAGACTGAGGAGGAGTTCTCAACAATTCTTAAGGTTAGCGTGATCAGAACCTAAGAAGCAATTATCACACTATATCAAGATCAGTTCTAATCGAATGTACATCTCCAGGGCCTCGACATATGCATAGTTTGTAGCCCAGTATCTCTCGAAATGAAGTTAATATTCAGCTCGAAAGCTCTACCCCAGACGTTTGCATGGGCAATTGCAAGTGCCATCCCACAAGGACTACAACAGATCATGAGACACCAGACAACATCAATAGGAGAAATCAACTTGTTCTCCCAGATGCAAGAGGAACTTGTAAAATCATGGCAAGATAGCGAATCACCCCAAACACTGTCTTGTTTTCTGTTCGATTTCCTGTCTCGACAAGCAGTCGAACAGCCAGGTGCTGTGGCCATCGATGCCTGGGACGGTCAATGGACCTACCAAAAACTTGACGAAATCTCCACAACCCTCGCATCCCACCTCCAAACATGTGGAGTACAGAGTGGGACGCTAGTCATCGCGTGTTTCGAGAAGACCTCTTGGGCGGTGGTGGCTTTTCTGGCAGTCAATAAAACCGGGGGAGGCTTTGTTCCCTGTGACCCTACGTATCCAGCAGAGAGGAGAGAGAAAATCCTTCAACAGGCTGGCTCGCCACTTATTATCACGTCGGCAGAATGTGCGGGTCTCTTCGCAGGCCTGAAAAATCCTTCCGTCATGATCATCTCACCCACTACTTTTTTGAATCTAGAGAGAGCGTCCTATCGACGGCCTACGGACGGAGAAGCACCTGCGTATGTGTTATTCACATCCGGCAGTACAGGAGAACCAAAAGGATGCGAAATTTCACACAAGGCGTTTGCCAGTATTTCGAACCATGTCAAGGCGCTCCATCTGGGTCCCGCCAGCCGTGTACTGCAGTTCGCGTCTTTCTCTTTTGGGATGGCAATCATCGAGATCTTCTGCACCCTGGCGGCTGGCGGCACAGTGTGTATGTTGTCTGATGAGCAACGGCTGAACTCATTAGCGGCAACCATGACAGAGATGAAAATTAACTGGGCTCTTACGACCCCGACAGTCCTTGGCTCGCTACAGCCGCATGACCTTCCCTATTTAAAGTGCCTTTTAGTTGCTGGAGAGGGGCTAAACGAGGCCCGAATTCAGATATGGAGCCCTGTCCTCGACGTTTTCCAGGCATATGGCCTTACAGAATGGACCGGAATCTTCGCAGTCTCCCACAGAATCACGGGCATACAGCAACGGCGGATAATTGGCGTTCCTGCGAATGGTCAGGCATGGCTTATTGATCCAAGTGATCACCATAAGCTTGTGCCTGTTGGGGCAGCTGGCGAACTGGTGATCCGCGGGCCTGGTTTGGCCGCAGGTTATTATCGGGCTACTGAGAGGACCAAGGCTTCGTTTTTCTCCCCTAAGTGGCTAACTCGGTGGACGTACCACGGCGAAAGCATGGTATACAGGACCGGGGATATAATGCGTTACAACGCAGATGGATCTCTGTCATATGTTCGACGGGGGGACAACCAAGTCAAAATCCGCGGCATGAGGGTGGAACTGAATGAGGTGGAATACAATCTAATGCAGCTAATGCCGGAAGTCAAAGGAGTTGTTGCCATGTTGTGGGAGCCGCGGGAACGTGATGGACAACAGGTTCTGTTGGCCCTGATCCACATGCCACCGTCCGACTCGAAGCCCGTAGTTTTGAACAGCACCGATGGTGAATTGCTATTTCTTCAGCCCACTACAGAAAGGCGGCGCACAATAGACAATGCTCTAGAGGGGCTCCACTCTCGTCTGCCAGAGTATATGATTCCGCAGTACTTGTTGGCTTTGGCTGCGTTCCCGGCCACTGTCACTGGAAAAGTTGACCGTCAGAAATTGATACGCTTGACGAATGGAATGGCGACTGACGATCTTCAACGTTTAGCAGGTCGACAAGCTGAACATCAAGCACCAACCACGGAGAGCGAGCGACAAGTATACGACTTGACATGTAACATATTGGGAGTCAAGTCTGTGAGCATGAACGACAACTTCTTTGATCTTGCAGGCGACTCAGTAGCCGCGATGAAAATGGCCGGATTAGCCCGCCGGCGTAAAATCCAACTGACGGTGGCAGATGTTTTTAATCGCCCCGTGTTGAAAGACCTAGCATCAGCCATTCGCCAGCTCGATGGCTCAACGACATCGCAAAGGGCGCCCTTTGGTCTTCTGGACGCTGCCGTTAGACAAAACGTCATTCACGAAGCGGCCAACCATATGGATGCCGCTCAAATCGTGGATATCTATCCGTGCACGCCCCTCCAGGAGGGTATCTGGGCACTTTCTATGCGAAACCCTACTCTTTATAAAGCACGGGTGATCTGCCATCTTCGGCCGGATGTGGACCTCGATAGATTCAGAACGGCATGGGAACGGGTGTTCGAACGTAATGATATTCTTCGGACACGTCTTTTCCCCTCTCCCTCTGGAGTGTTCCAGGCGGCCCTACGAGAATCATTCGAGTGGGACGCCGCTGAGGAACTCCAGTCCTACCTTGATAGGGTTGACCGGGAGCATATGGGCGTTGGAAGTAGGCTGGTCCGAGCCTGTCTGTTGGCCAACGATAATCAAGCCACATTCGTTCTCACAATCCATCACGCCTTGTGTGACAGGTGGTCCCTAAGATTGCTACTCGAGCAGATTGAGAAGCACTTGTCCCCGGTTCCCCCATCAACGAACTACCCATTCTCACCATTTATCGAACACCTGGTCAATGTTGCACTACAGCTCGAGAAATTTTGGGTTGACCAATTTCAAGGCCTAGAGGCTGCGCCGTTTCCCGCACTCCCGTCTCCGGATTATACACCTACTGGGCACCAAATTTCCAGGTTCAATCTCTGCCTGCCAAGGCGTGTCCTTCGCGAAAAGACTCTAGCGAGCCACCTTCGGCTGGCATGGTCCCTCGTCATTTCACACAATACTTGCTCGGACGACGTTGTTTTCGGGTCTACTGTCACTGGACGAGGCTCGAATGTGAATGGGATCGAGGCCTTATCTGGTCCGACTATTGCAACGGTGCCTGTTGGGACATCATTAAATCCCACCGGAACCATCGCCAGAGCGTTAGCTGCTGTACAGGAACAATCTATTTCGATGATGCCGTTCGAGCAAGCTGGACTACAGAAGATCCGGAGATGTAGTCCAGAAGCCGAGTCGGCCTGTATGTTCCAGAGCACGTTGACCGTCCAGCCTGCCTGGCCTGATTCCCTAACACTGTTCAAGGATTGTCAGGAAGGAGCAGCGACAGCCGGGGGCTTTGCCTCTTATGCCCTGTGTATTGAGTGTTACCCGAACACGGAGGAGACCCAAGTGGAGATCCAAGTCGCATATGACGCAAATGTGTTGCCCCCTACCCGCATGAGGCGCTTGATAGACCACTTTGAGTTTGTACTGCACGAGATAATGAAGGGTCCTAACAAAACGATACGCGAGATCCAACATATCAGTCCGTCTGACCTGATTCAGCTAGGAAGGTGGAATGAGACGATTCCCTTTCAGCCACAACAGACCGTTCACAGCATTGTTCAGAGTCAAGCGAAAAAGAGGCCCCATGCTCCAGCAATATCTTCGTTAGATGGTGAACTCACTTACCAAGAGCTCGACAGATACTCCACGCAACTAGCAGGCGAGCTACTGCTACTTGGAGCGAGACCGGGCATGCTAATACCTGTGTTATTTGAGAAGAGCCGCTGGGCAATTGTGGCAATGATGGCAGTCTTGAAAGTAGGGGGCGGTATTGTTGCATTAGATCCATCATATCCCGTCGACAGAATGCGCGAAATTTGTGGCCAGGTGGAATCACCCTTGGGTATCTGTTCAGAGAGATATGCTGCGACTCTGCAGCAGATTGGACCCAAGCCGATCATTGCATCGGAGTCCTCTGGCGCTTGGCGTCGACCTGTTGAGGGCCCGAACCTCCCGGTCGTCGGTGCGGATTCCACGATGTATCTCGTCTTCACTTCCGGGTCCACGGGGATACCGAAGGGGGTGATTGTCAATCATGACTGTTTCGCGTCGTCAACTTTGGCATACCGAGCGGAGATTAACCTTGACTCATACTCCCGCTTGTTGCAGTTCTCCTCGTTTGCCTTCGACGCCTGCTTTGCGGAGATCTTCGGCACGTTGATGGCCGGGGCTTGTCTTTGCATCCCATCTGACGCCGACCGCATGAATGATATACACCACCCAATGAGGACGCTCCGTGTGTCCCATGCATTCTTCACGCCTTCATATGCTCGCTTGGTCCAACCGGAGCAGGTCCCGTCCCTGAGGGTAGTCATGTTGGTTGGTGAGCCCGTAAAAGCCTCGGATGTGGAGCATTGGGCTCCTCATGTACATCTCGTGAACGGCTATGGGCCATCGGAATGTGCTCCCATTTCAGCTACTCAATGCCTTGATGGAAGTGTCAATGTACAGTCCCAGGACATAGGTTATCCTCGGGGTTGTGTGGCGTGGATCTGTGATCCCCGAAATCATGACACTCTCCTTCCCATCGGTGCTATCGGAGAGCTGCTCATAGAGGGTCCGAATGTCGGTCCGGGCTATTTCCAGAACGCTTCGGATACGATGGAAGCATTTGTGGAGGCTCCCCGATGGCTTCAAGACTTTCGCGGGTACACAAGTAAGCGGGTCTATAAGACGAAAGACCTCGTGCATTACACTGAAGATGGCCGTCTGCGCTATGTCGGCAGAATAGGGCAACAGGTCAAACTAAGGGGGCAGAGGCTTGAACCATCTCATGTGGAACACCATCTCTTACAATCGTTCGATGGTGCAGCGGAAGTGGCTGCCATTGTTGCCACGCCAAAAGACGCAGACGGGAGGGCAACTCTCGTTGGATTTGTGCTTTCCGAGAATGCTAAGGCAAGGCCAGGAGGGGATATATGCTTGCCGCCTAGTGAGGAATTTTGCCTACTCACTGCCACTGCGCGTTCTAAATTGCAACAATCTCTCCCAGAGTTCATGGTTCCCTCTCTAATAATATCAGTCTCGTCAATGCCACGGACACCGTCAGGGAAACTTGATCGGCAACGGTTGACACGAGAGATCACAAGCCGGACCTGGGACCAGCTCATGGAGTTTGAGGCATTGGCAATGCCCTCTCATGTTTCCGCTTCCGACACGGAGAAGGAGTTGCAAACAATCTGGTCTCGAGTACTGAACCTCCCTGTCAGTGCGATCGGTACCAACAAAAGCTTCTTCCAACTTGGTGGAGACTCGATCACGGCCATGCTGGTGGTTGCCCAGGCTCGCGCTGGCCGATCCAGACTACAACTAACAGTGGGGGACATCTTTCGCTTGCGAACTATCTCCCAAATCGTGACACACGCTACAAATTCATCCGACCGCCTAATGTTAGCCAACCACGATACATTAGACACGCCTTTCGATCTGTCCCCGATTCAGCAACTCTTCTTTGATACCAACTGGCCGCAACAGCAGAACCGATTCAATCATAACCTCCTCCTCCACCTCAAGAAGCCTGTATCGTTTGACCAGCTAAGATTGGCCATGCAAGGAATTGCGGAGGAGCATCCGCTACTACGTGCCCGGTTCTTACTGAACGCTGATGGCCAGTGGCAACAGCTCATTCCCAGTGAGATTGAGGGTTCATATGGTTGCAGGCACCATCAGCTGACCTCTGCGGACATGATGAAAAAAGTACTTATGGAGAGTCGGCGAGCACTCGACATATCGGCCGGTCCCGTATTCTCTGCAGATTTGATCGATATTGATGGGAACCATAGCATATTTCTCCTTGCGCACCACCTTGTGATCGATATGGTTTCATGGACCGTGCTGCTTGCTGACCTTGAGACCCTGCTACATGGACGATCAATTCCAAAACGACAGTCGACTTCGTTCCAGACCTGGTGTACATTATTGGCTGCGTACGGACACGAGTCGCTCTCCGTTCCCCAAGGGCCACTGCATTATAGTATACCCGAAGATTTCTGGGGGACATCCGAATGTCTGAATACGATAGGAGGGACCCACGAGATGGTCATACAGATTGATACTCCGACCACGGAAGCACTACTTGGAGAAGCCAACAAGGCCTTTGGAACGCAGCCTGTGGAGTTGCTCCACGCTGCTCTTCTGTTCGCCTTCACCACGACATTTTCAGATCGTCCTGCCCCAGTCATTTTCTCCGAAGGGCATGGTCGGGAACCATGGGATTCTGCCATCGACTTGACTCGGACGGTGGGATGGTTTACTACCATTGCTCCGGTCCACGTCGAGGTGGATGCGGCTCATGATATTGCCACGGTTGTGCGCCAAGTGAAGGATACCCGCCGCAGGCTGTGCAGAAATGGATTGGAGGCATTCACAGCGAAATATTTTAATACAAGACGCCGGAAGGCTAGCCCGGCTGGCAAGATGGAGATCGTTTTCAATTACGCAGGACGATACCATCAACAGCTGGGTCAGGCTGGCTCCTTGTTCGAAGTGGAGTCTCTCCAAAATATGAGCATTTTCGACGCTGCAGATGACGCGAGGCGATGGTCTATGGTCGACATCAATGCTTTTGTGCAAGATGGACAGTTAGCTTTCACCTTTACATACCCGCGGGGATGCAATCCGTCTCACGTCCTGCAGCCGTGGACAGCTAGCTTGCGCAAGTCTCTGAATTTGATAGCATCAGAGTTCAAGACGCATCCGAGGAGCTACACGCTCGCTGACTTCCCTTTGTTGGATCTGGATTACTCCCAATTGGACCACCTTCTGGAGACATTGCAGCATGCCAATATAAGACCGGAGGATGTTGAGGAAATCTACCCATGCTCCCCTATGCAACGGGGTATACTCTTGTCTCAGGCGAAGGATCCATCTTGCTATCAAGTGGTCATGACATGGGAGATCGTCCCTGGCGAGAAGAGACCTGCTTCTGCTGAGAGGGCAAAGGCTGCTATAGAGCAAGTCATGGCTCGTCATGCATCTCTACGTACATGTTTCATTAAGACAACCTCTGAGGTTGCAGCTTTCGATCAAGTCGTCCTATGCAAACCCTACCATGAGATTGTCATCTACAACAGTCGAGAAAAAGATGCAAAGACACTGCTACAGAGTGGCCAATTCCAGGCCAGCCCCCAATCCCCACTACGCTTCTTAATTTACGTGTCCTGTGACCAGAAGGTCTACATCCGCCTGGACATAAGTCATGCTCTGACTGATGCCAAGTCAATTGACCTTTTGAAACGGGACATTTGCCTTGCATATGACAACCAGCTGAGTAGTCCAGTGGGACCGCTCTTTTCCAACTACATCAGCTTTATTCAGACACGAGATCCCATCGCCGACGCAGAGTTTTGGGATACATACCTGGATGGGGTTCAACCTTGTCAATTTCCAGCCCTCACGAAAGAGGCCAACACCGAAAGTGGTGTTGCAAATGACTACGTCTTTGATGTTGCTGGAGTTGATGGAATCGAGCTTTATTGTCGGAATCGCAATGTCACCGCACCAAACGTCTTTGGCCTTGCTTGGGCCTTGGTCCTGGGATCTTACACTGGCTCGTATGATGTTTGTTTTGGCAGCCTCAACTCAGGAAGAGAAATGCCGTTTGATGGGGCACCTGAGGTCGTGGGCCCACTTATCAACATGCTCACCATGCGTGTGAATTTCAAAAGCACCACTATTGAACAGCTCGTTCAGCAGGTCCACGCTGACTACGCCGCTGGGTTAGCCCATCAAACGTACCCCGTTGCCGATATTTTTCACAGAAAGGGGCTCAGGGGACGATCCTTGTTCAACACTGGAATATCTGTCGAACGAGTTGACAGCCCACAACATGCTAAATCCTCTACTGACTTACGCCTTGTGCATCGGGTGGATCCCACGGAATATGATATTGTCCTCAACGTGGAGATCGAGAAGTCTCGGACTATAGTCCATCTCAGATATTGGTCATCATGTTTGTCCGATAGCCAAGCGCCGTTGATTGCTGCTTGCTTTGATCAGGCGGTCACAATGATTATCAATGATGACCAGGCTCTGGCGTCGAGCCTGAACCTCTTCTGCCAAGCTCACCAGAACTTGATCTGGCACTGGAATAAGAAGTTATCCAATTACCACGACTGTCGTGTGCATGATGTCGTCCAGCAGCGCGCAACCGAATGCCCCGACGCCCCTGCTGTGTGTAGCTCCGGGGGTACGCTCACATATAGGGAACTAGATGTCCATTCGACCGCACTCGCCCATTATCTATCACAACATGGCGTTGGGACGGAAAAGTTTGTTCCACTCTGCTTTGAGAAAGGCATGTGGACAGCCGTGGCCATATTGGCTGTGCTCAAGACTGGGGCAGCTTTTGTCCTTCTTGATTCCGGCCACCCTGACCAACGACTAGAGACCATCTGTCAAGATGTCGGTGGCCCGCTTGTGCTTTCATCACCAGCCCAGGCAGAGCGAAGCGCACTATTTTCCAGTACTGTTGTAGTAGTGGGAGGAACACAAGATCTTTGGCGTGGTCTACTCCCAGCGCCGTCAAGCCAGTTGTTTTCCGCCGCCATGCAAACAGGGCCGACCAATGCCGCCTACGCTGTCTATACGTCTGGTTCTACCGGCAAGCCAAAGGGGATTGTAATCGAGCATGGGTCCTTCTGTTCAATGATCCATGCGCAGGCTCCCATATTGAACATGAATGCTTCAGCCCGCGTTTTACAGTTTTCATCTTACGCATTTGACGTTAGTATCTTTGAGATGCTCATGCCGTTAATGACAGGTGGCTGTGTATGTGTCCTGTCCGAGGTGGAGAGAAGGGACCATTTCGTGGAGACAATGGGAACTCTCCGAATTTCGCATGCGCTCCTCACTCCGTCATTCTCCCGTCTTGTATCGCCCGCTGCGCTGCCAGACCTTCGGGTCCTCGTCTGTGGTGGAGAAGCGATGACTCAACACGACATGGAGCGCTGGCTTGATCATGTCATTCTTATCAACCATTACGGACCCGCCGAGTGTTCCGTGAGCTCGGTTGTCCAACCGAATATCAATACAACTTCGCGCGTCGGTGAGATCGGCTGGGGCATCGGTTGTGCAACTTGGGTCGTCGACCCAGATGATCACGAGCGCTTGGTTCCGATTGGAGTTGTCGGCGAACTGGTTATTGAAGGGCCAATTGTCGGCCGCGGGTATCTAAACAATCCGACTGCGACTCAAACCGCATTCATTGAGCCTCCGCGATGGTTGCGCAACATGCGATCCTCGCTTGGACGAAATACCCGGCTGTACAAAACGGGTGATCTTGTGCGATATGGCTCCGATGGCAGGCTGTACATCCATGGGCGCAAGGACACTCAAATCAAGATTAGAGGACAGCGTCTGGAACTTCAGGAGCTGGAGTACCACGTTCACAGATGCTTTGGATCTGCTGGGAATGTGGTTGTAGAGCTGGTTCGGAACGGTTCCGATGGCAGCCCGATACTTTTTGCATTCATAGGCTCAACAAAAGAAGTGTCCAGCCAGTTTGACGGGTTTAGCGCCGTTGGGAAGGAGTTCCGTGATCGTGCTGCGGCTGCCAGTACAAAGCTGTTTGAGAGCCTGCCCTCCTACATGGTCCCAACCTATTTTGTCCCCTCGGTTACACTGCCTTTGAATTCATCTGGCAAGGTGGATCGCAAGCGACTGCAGTCTTGGGCCTCGGCTTTGTCTTCTGACCAACTAAAGGATTACCGCCCCACGGCAGGAGGCCAGTGTAAGCCGTCGTCTCCAGAAGAAAAGCTCCTCCATGCTATCTGGGTCGATGTTCTGCGCGTCAAGCCGGAAACAATCGGCACTGAAGACCATTTCTTCCAGGTTGGGGGTGATTCGGTCAATGCGATGAGAGTTGCCGCATCTGCACGAAAACAGGGACTGAACATAGTAGTTGCAGATATCTTTGCTCACCCCCGGCTTGCGGCACTAGCTAAAGCCGGAACTAACAGCAATATCGAACAGTTTGTTCCAAAACCGTTCTCGCTCTGCCCTGTGACTGACCGCGAACTTTTCTCCATGCTGCTTCGCGTGCAGGGCACAATCCCATCGGACTGCCATATTGTGGACATCCTACCTACGTCGGCCACTCAATCCTTCTTTATGACCACGCCCACTCTACACCACTTCACGTTTGATATTGACGGATCTCTGGACATTCGCCGACTGCGCGATGCCTGTGACAAAGTTTTCAACATGTTCGCTACCTTGCGTACCGTTTTTGTCCCATACGCCAAACAGATATTGCAAGTGATTCTTGACAAAGTCAATACCCCATTCCACCACTTGGTGGTAGATGAGCCTATCCCGGATGTCAGGAGGCGCCTTCTGGCTGCTGACCGTGAGGATATCCCACTTAAGGGACGGCTGGTCTTCGCCTTTGTGCTTATATCCCATTCCGATGGGTCACGGCATTCGCTGAGCTTCCGTGTCTCACATGCGCAATGGGACGGGCTGTCTATAGCGGAATTGTTTAGCAGCGTACAGGAGGCATATCATGCAAGGCTGTTGACCCCCAGTACACCCTTGTCGACCTATATCTATTACCGGGCGCTGCGTGATAAGACGCCTTCCCTACAGTTCTGGAAAGACTACCTCCAGGGCTCGAAAATCACTCGGATCACCGAGCCTCCTAGTGCATTCGCCGATCTCACCCAAGGAGACACCATCTGGGAGAACACTAACCTGCAACCGGCCCCCGAGCCACCACTGGGTATTACGATGGCCAGTGTGGTCAGGTCTGCCTGGAGCTTGGTTTTGGGCCTGGAAACCGGGGCGAAGGACATCGTCTTCGGCCAAACGGTGAACAGCCGTAGCTCCCCGTTGCCTGATATTGACCGGATTCTGGGCTGCTGTTTGAATTTTATCCCTGCACGCATCCAGCTCCAACAGTCCTGGACAGGCCGTGACCTCCTCCAGCACGCGCAGGCACAATACCAAAAGATCGTTAAACATGATGACATTGAGCTGCAAGAGATCATTGATCATTGCACGGACTGGCCGAACGGGACCGACTTCAACACCATCGTCCAGCATCAAAATATCCCCCTGAACCATACGATGCTACTGGGGGATCTTCAAACCACCTTTTCACCAAATGGATATTTCCGCCCTGGTCGTGAGCTCTTCATTTTCACTGAGCCTTCCGGTGATCTGTTGGGCGTTCAACTATGTGTGAATCCCAATATGATGGATTTGCCTCGGGCTCGGTCTTTGCATCATAGACTTGTAAAGTTGATTGTGGATCTGTGCTGCTCTCCTGATGAACCGATCTCATGTTTCCTTGAGTAACTTTTGTATCTACTGTACAGTTCGTTGTCATGCCAGTGATCGTTCTGGGTTGCAATATAGGAGACTCTTCCATATAGCTGCTCATTATCCTACTGTTACTTATTACCGGTCTGAGAGTTAGTTAGCCGAACCCCGAGAAGATTTGGTATAATATGCCTTTACAGACCAAAGTGATGGCTTCTCGGTTCATCATTTTTCCAATATATGCGTAGTAGTTAATCAAGGCACAGAACTCAGATTGTTTGTTAGGATCCCCAAACCATGCCTATCTCATTTTAGGTGGCTTGATCTAACTGTGATATTCGAGAAGCGACTTGGGGTAGGAAACAAAAGTACATAGAAGGCTAATACTTCTACATTCTTTCTAGGCCCAGAATAAGTCCTTTGTAGAAAGTGCTTGGGGCAATTAACCTTGCGCTGCTATATAGTCGTCCAGCGCACTATCCCATATCTCCCCTACAAACATGCGAATCCACTGCTAAAGACGAAGGTTTCAGAACAGTGAACTTCAGCCTAGCTGGGTATGGAGAATGGAGACTCGATGTGCTAACATAATCACCGGCGCTACTCTACATCATTGATCAAATACTGGTCCATATGCCGGTGGTGTGAGACGAAGACTCCCAGTCACGGACTGAAGAAGCCCTTGAATTCTAGATTCAGGCTCTCAAAGCCGAACTGGTTCCATCCATATGATCGTCTTCCCGCTCCTGGAAACGTTCCTTCAGGAGCCGGATCAGCGGCCACAAACGCCTAGGTGAAATGGCCTTTGACAGTCCGATGCGCTACCTCGAGCGCGAGGAACAAGCTGTCTTAATCCGAGTTCATTCGCGTATCTGAGACTGAAACATGTACAGCTGGTCAGTCCGCTGACGGTGTCGACCTATGACGTATTTGAGATCATGGTACATATAAGCGAATACATCTGGAAGTTTTGTCAAAGCATCGGTGGATGATGAAGGCTGAAGAGAGTAGAGTTATTTGGTCGCTACATCATGAGGATTTGTTAATGTCGCGGATATACTTGATTGCGGCAAGAGAGCAAGAGGATGCTCTCTCGCACAGAGCCCTTGTTTATAGTGGCGATCCAAGAAGAGATGTCTTTCCCTGATTAAGTAAAAAGCACTGCTTAGAGAGGTGCAAAATCAGAACAAAACAAGGGCAGGTAGATTAATGTGTCACTTTTTAACAGAAGGATTAATAGTGGTGAAGAGCTGCAATCTGCTCTAGCAGTCCGCTGTAGGTGGCTGTTTGATGATGGGCGCCGGCACGCGTTGACGCATGAGTCGAGGTGGGAGAGGGATCTCCGGACTGCTGGCTATGGTTATGTCGACTGGACGGACGGGGACAGGCCGGAGAGCGAGATCCAGAGGGTGATTCTTGCTGCTGCGGATCGGACGAGCCGGTAAATTGCCTTTTTTCCCTTCTCCTCTTTCTTCTTTCTTCCTGTCTGTCTCTCTCTCCTGACCCTCGGGTCTACGGACATGTAGTTACCTCCCTTCCTGTGGATATTAGCCATTCTAAAAGCTTTATCTGGTCAGATGCAAACGATTGCCAAGCACCTTCTCTACCCTACCTGGCTATTACCAGCTCCAGTTAGAGGCTTCTGCCGACTGCATTGCCCGGGAGGAGGTAGTTAGCCGGTATGTCCACGAATCGACGTAGGGCTTTGACGAGGCATTGTCCCACTCAACTTTGGGCATTTCGCAATCCAAACCCGAGACCAAATGCGTCTTGATCACTGGCGGCACAGGAGGCCTGGGCGCGCATTTAGTAGCCGAGGCCGCGCGCCGGACTGACGTGACACGAGTTGTATGCCTTAACCGGCTCGGAAAGCATCTACCACCGCATGAAAGGCAGATGAAAGCTCTGCACAAGAAAGGCATCGACCTCCCGCCAGACGCCGCGGCCAAAATCCACATCCTCAAAGCAAAAAGCGACATGGCCCAATCACCGACCATGGGCCTCTCCGCCGACGAGTACCGCTTCCTGCTCCAACACGTCACACACACATCGTCCACAACGCCTGGCTTATGCACTCTAAATGGCCCGTCAAGCGCTTTGAGCCCCAGCTGCGCATCATGGCTCACATGCTCCGCCTCGCCGCCGCCATCTCCGCCCAGCGCCCCCGGAACTCCCCGGTAACCTTCCAGTTCATCTCCTCCATCGCCACCGTCGGCCACCACCCCTCTGTAACTGGCAAGCCTGTCGTCCCCGAGACCCGAGTGCGAATCGACAGCGTCCTCCCCACCGGCTACGGCGACGCCAAGTACACCTGCGAGCGGATGCTCGACGCCACGCTGCACCGGCACCCGGGCCGCTTCCGGGCCACCGCCGTGCGCCTGGGCCAGATCGCCGGCAGCGTTATCAACGGGCACTGGAATCCGATGGAACACGTGCCGTTCCTGTTCAGGTCGTCGCAGACCCTGGGCGCCCTGCCGGACCTGCCGGGGACGGTAGGGTGGACGCCGGCGGACGATGTGGCGCGGGGTTGCTCGAGATCCTGATGCAGCCGGAGGGGGTTGCGCTGTATCTAATCTAACACGTTGAGAATCCGGTTCGGCAGTCGTGGGCGGGGACGCTTGCAGTGCTGGTGGACGAGATGGGCATCCCGCTGCGTGAGGAGACTGGCGCAGCTGTCATTCCTTTCCGGGAGTGGGTGCAGCGGGTGAGGGACTGGCCGCGGCGAGAGGATAATGGATCGCAGGGTGCCAATCCGGGGTACCTGCTGGTGGATTTCTTGGATAGCAATTTCATCCGAATGAGTTGTGGGGGGCTGTTGATGGGAACGGCCAGGGCGAGGGAGCATTCGCCTACGTTGGCGAAGTTGGGACCAGTGAGTGAGAGATTGATTCGACGGTTTGTTCAGACTTGGAAGGAGATGGGCTTTCTTGAATGAGTAGAGAAAGTATTTCTCAGATTTGCGAGCAATAGATACACTATGAAACTCCCTTCTGTATAGTTCAAATCTGGGTTTACATGTGACTGGGTAAGGAAAAGACAGGATAACCAAAACACCCCTGAAACTAAAGCAAAGGACTAGACTGACGATACAGCTAACTATCTAAGTTCCCAAACCCCCAGCTATGACCAAGGCCCGCGTCCGGAAAGAAAGACTCCCACCCAAAGACTGGTCCAAACCCTTCGAAGGCCACCTCCTGGACCCCTTCCATCCCCGCCGCCAGTCCCGCATCGTCAGGCGACGGCATCGACCCGGTATCCTCCCTCGTCTTCAGTAGAGTATTGCACAGCTCCAAACTATCTCTCGCGGCGCGCACAACCCGCAACTCAACCGGGTCCCCGCCTCCACCGCTTCGGCCTGCGCGAGAATCATGCTCAGAAACGTGTGGTTCTTCACGTTCGTCTCGCCCTGCCGGATGCGTTCCTCCGACAGTGAGATGAGGTCGTGGACGGCCTGTTTGAGGAAGTCCCGGTACTGACGCGTCCGGTGCAGTGTGCCGTTCAGGCGCTGGGTCTCGACATGCGCGAGCAGCTCAAGACTGATGGCTGAGGTGGCGCATCGCAACCCCTCCCGGAAGGCCCGCCGCCGGTGGCCATCAGCCGGGCAAAGCTGTGGTCCGGCTCTGGAGACACCATAGCGAGGGCGGCGTCGAGGCTGAGCTTGAGCGAGTAGTGGAAGAGCGGGTTAGTGCACGCCTGGTTGCTGAAGGAGTAGTGCAGGGGGATCATGAACCGGCGGATCAAGTAGTCTAGCAGGTTCCGCTGGAACGGGGTTGACCCGTCGCCATCCTTCACCCAGCGACTGCAGGCCTGAAGCGCGTCAATCAGATCAGAGCTTAGTGAGAGGACACGGTCATAGGAGAGTTCGGAATGGAGGCCGTTGAGGAGCTGAACGATCTGCAGGCGGACGGACAGCGTATCGATCAAGGCAAGCTGGACAGATGTTGCGGTCAAGGTCCCCTTTGGGCATGACTGGAATTTGGTTGTTAGCTCGTCGAGCACATCGTCGTTAATATTGGAGGGCGGCTCAGTATCAAATTCATCAAAGGAGATCCTTGGCGGCATCCATGAATCCAGGGATGACTGGACATTGAATTCAAGAATAGTATACCAAAGCCTCCGGCGCAGTTCGGCCTGCAGCACTGATATAGCTGGGAGATGCTTAGGGTCCCGGTGCAACCCAAGTTGCATGGCGCTGTGGATAAGCGATCCAATTGAGATCCATATTGTATCGCCGCCGATTGAGAAGATCTGCCGGGCCAGGATACTCAAGCAGTATATCTGCAGCCCAGAGATTTCCAGGCGGTCCTTTTCCAACGGCCCAGACAGCCATGTCTGAGCAGCATAGATCCATTGCTGAACCAAATCTATATTGCGAAGAGCTGCAGCTCTGTGTCCATGATCGTACAGACTTGATCCTATGCCGATGGCGAGGAGAACCTTGAGGCGTAGACTAGGTGCAACACCGTCAGGGTTGTCCCAATATCTTTGGTACTCGACCCAGAAGGTAGGGACGTGAAGTATCCGATACCTGCAATGTGTCTCAGCGTTAGTACCCCTCAGAAAGCCTCCTCAGTGATAGATACATACGTCGATTCAAATGATGCCAAGTAGAGGTTGGCCATGGCATCGGCCATCTCGCGGGAAGGGGGGCAATTCCGAAGCCCGGCGACAGGAGACCTCTGGTGGGCCGGCCGGTCTTGATGATCCTCGCTCTATTCTTGCATTTCTGGAGGAAGTCAGTGGCCTGGGAGATCAGCGCAGAGGTCTCAGGGCCTTGAAACAAGCCGTCCTTGCTACTCTTGCCCATGATCTGACTGTAGCAGGCAATGATGGCGGTGAATTCATTAGCCCCGCCCATCCAACGACTCCGGCCCCAATCCCTGGACTTGTTCAGGACAGCTTGCCACTCTTGCGACCCGGCCGGCGACCGAGATGCCAGAGAGACCGCGCTCGCCTCAGATCGTCCATTGGCCCTGTGGAGAGGACTGTCACTGATTCGAGATCCGCCTGCTGAAGATTCTTCCAGCCGCTGTATCCGAAACAGAAGATCACGGAAAGTGGCTTCCTCATCCGGGCCCTGGTCCGGATGAGGTTGTCGCAGGTCACGAGCCGGTATGGCGACCTTCTGGGCCGCGGTTGCCGCTGCCGGTGCTGTGACGCAGGGCGTGGATGAGTTGCTGCCCTGGAGAGGCACGGGGATGGATCCGTTGATGTTATCCGAGTCCCTGTCCCCAGCCTGAGCGAGCTGTCGGGGAGCCGAGCTGTCTGACGGCGGTGGGCTTGCAGTTTGGCGAAGCGGTGAACTGGCGGGGAAATCATGCTCATGCTGCTGGTTAGTCCCGGTGATGGGCCTGTCATCAAGGCCATCGGTATAGGGCTTGTATATACATCGGGTCTTGTGACGCAAACAGTGCACGCAAGGGTTATTGTGATCGCACTTGATCTTGCGGCGACGGCATTCCCGACAAGAGAGAGCTGGTCTTCGACGTCGGCGCTGAGGTCGCTGTGGCTGCGGCTGTGGGTGCTGCTGACATTCCATGGGAGTCGTAAATGGTTCAAACAAGACGATCTTCTCTGTGTTTCATATTCGGCCGAATCATATCACCATAACAATGGCAGAGGGGAAATCTTGGAAAAGTGTTCGCGCACTATGGGCTGACGCAGGCGGAGTCATGGCCGGAGACAGGTCTCGGACGTTAAGGGAGAAGCCGAAGCGGCATATGTCCGTCTCTTAAAGCCGCTCGGCCGAAGCAGGGGTCTGGATTAGTTAGTATGGATATATGTCCGGAGGCCCCAAGTGTTAATCCTGCAAACCCCTCCCCTGGGCATTGGATTGGGCTTGAAAATCGTGCAGAGAGCCTGGGCCGGTGTAAGTTGAACTCGCTCACACGGAAATACATTGCAGGTCGCCATGGTTTCTGTTGAGGGCAGGATTGTTACTACTGTAGGTACGAAAACTGTAAAACAAAAAGCATTCGAGTTAAATCATGTATCAATGACAGCAAGGAATCAAACAACTTGACGGATGCTCTCATTCACCCCATTCACCCTGCTAAACCCATTTACCCCGGGCACCTTGCTCGCCACAATCCCATCCATCTTGTTGAGAAGCAGTCCATCTGGATTCAATCCCTCACGGACGTATGCTCGGTTGATAAACGGCTCGAGGATGCGCGCCTTGGCCCCCGTGATGGGTGATGGGGAACCGGATGTTGCCACGCACACGCTCGAGATAGCGGTCCATCATGGGAACATAATGGAGCCCCGAGGAAGCAAAGCGCCTCAGCAAGTGCGCGTTGGGCTGCATCTCCAGATACTCCATGCACCGCACATAAACCCAGCGCAGCTCCCTCTTGAGCTGCACCCTGTTTCCTGCCACCGTCTCGGTCTTTTCGCCCTGCAGGATCCCCAGTGCCTCCTTGGCCATGTCCATGCTCAGACACTGCGCTATTGACGCCGCCTCGAGGGCGTTGTCCTCCACTCCTCCGGACACGGCCCTCGGTCTCCAGGATCAGCGCCGCACACCCAAGCGTGTTGCCCGTTTGCACTGCGTCATAAGAGTGATCTTGGCTTTGAGCAGCCGGTATACCTCCGGGTCCACCTTCTCAAAGTACTGGGTGAGCATCTGCCGCCAGAGACACATCTCGACGAACTCGACCTCCGTCGGCGGCATGCCCTCCTCCAGCAACCCTTGCCTGCAGTCATCCCACGTGTGGCCTAGATATCGATACGAGCCATCCATGAAGGCATTGGGAGGGATCTGGACATCGTTCGGGATGGCAGCAAAGGCGACGTAGATCTGCTTCCAGTAGTCCCCTGGCCGCAGTGCTCCGCCCCAATGGACCCACCAACTGAGGACGTCGCGCATGATGTACAGGTTCACCTCCTCCGCGTCTGTGTCGTTCTTCCCGCTGGTGATAGTGAAGTCGTCTGGGTGACTGTCCGGCGCGGTTTCGAGGTACTCATCAATGCGCTTGACTACAGCCGCCATGTCGAAACATGTGCAGGGTGGAGGGCATGTATCTCCCACTGTCTCAGTCAAATTAATCTATCATTTGTCCCAGGTAGGTCTCCAAAGCTTGCTTACAGACAGAGTATAAAGGCATCGCGTGCTCGCTGATCTCTACTCCATATCTGGCGCTACCATTCTTGTCAGGTTCAGCGGCATTGGCGCTTGTGGATGGACGCTTCATTTCGCAAATGTGCATGTTGTAGCGCAGTGGAGCAGACCCCAGGACGTGGCCGTCCCCGAAGTACTGCTTAATGGTTTCCCACATCTCCTTGGTCGTCATTCTGGCCATTGTGATCGCGATACTTGACGCAACAGAAGAGGAAGAAGAGAGGACTTTCCGGGTTGGTAATTGACAACGCAGGCACCTGAACATTCTTTGCCTTGGGGGGAGGGGCCGCTCATCCTATGGATCTATGTCCATGGGCAGAAACTCACATTCTGTGATCGCGGGTGCAAACTCATCTCTACGGAATAAATCTGCCAGTCCAAGGACAAGTACGTGCCTCGTGTTTGCGCGGAGGCAAATGAGTAGATACAGGAAATCAGTAAGAGGAAGTTACCAAAGGGAAAAGATATGTCGTATCGGATGTTTCTTATTCCAGATGATTCATTATTTGAATAGCAGGCGATAAAGGTCCTGGTCTAGTTCTCCTACCCAGAGCTACCAAGTCAACACTGCAAGCCACCATGCATTTCACCGTGTCCCCCTCCTTCTCGGCTTCCTGGCCGTCTCACCCTCCCTTTCAGCGGTTCTCCCGCGCAGCTCTAACGCAACGGGGTCTGTTCCCCTTCCTGGGCGTCTGTTGCACCATTGGCCCAACGGGACGTGGGTGGAAAACATCGCCGTGCGGCCCAATGGCAACCTCCTGCTCACGACGTCCACCCCCAACGGCACCGTGTGGCATGTGAAGCAGCCATGGACCGATACGCCCGAGGTAGAGCTCGCCTACAACTTCGACGAGTGGGTCGACCGTCTCATTGGCATCGGCGAGACCACCCCGGACAAGTACATCGTCGTCGGCTCGCGCTTATACTCGCCCGCAGCGTACTCCAGCCAGGTCGACCGGACCTTCGCCGCCATGGAGCTCGACTTCACCGAGGAAACGCCCTCCGCTCGCATGGTCGCCTGGATGCCCGAGGCCACGCTGCTGCAGGGCGTCGCCGCCCTGCCGTGGAACCGGTCCACCGTCCTGATCTCCGACCAGTACGTCCTCCGCCCGCGGAACGAGCAGGTCGACTGGACACCCAGCCCGGGCCAGATCTGGCTCCTCGACACGCAGACCGGCGATTATGAGCTCGTCATGACCAACTACACCGAGATGAACACCACCTACGCCCACGGCAAGGACGTCGGCATCGACGGCATCAGGATCCTGGACGACGAGCTGTATTGGGTGAACCAGAATACCGGTGGCATCTACCGTGTCGCGCTCCAGAAGAACGGGTACCCCCGTCCCTACCGCCGTCCCCGAGGTCGTCTTGATTGTTGAGTCGCAGTGTGGGACGATTTCGCCTTTGGGGCCGGCGACGAGGATCTCCTGTGGGCGACGGGTCTCAATGCCGTCTATGCCGTGTCAACGAAGAAAGGGACCGCTGTTGTTGTCGACGGCGTCGGCACGAGCAACAACTTGAGTTTCCCGGGCCGACCGCTTGCCAGTTTGGAAGGAGCAAGTATAATTCGAACGTGCTGTACGTCACTGGCAATCTGTACAGCGTCCCTGATAACCTCTTAGATGTCAAGATTGGGAGCTGGGTGCGGGCTATTGATACTACCGGATTCCATCTCTAGAGAAGCCTGTCGCTTCATGGGGAGGGGTTGAGGACAGTAATATGGGCACCAATTGTGCCTAGTGTATTTATCTTGTACTCAAATAGACCTTGCCTCATTGGTACCGAGCTATTCCTGGCATATCCAGTTTCCACGGCCTATAGAGAATAGATTACTTGTGCATTAGCAACTGGAAGTATATGCGTCAGAGAATAAGGGCCTTCGTATTCCGCGGGCTAATTGTCGTCTTCTCCAAGTCCCAAGGTGCAAGTTTGTCGAAACCAATATAGTGTGTACGGTGTCTTCACTAGATCAAATCAATTGACCGGTCTTTTTTGATACTTATCTGATGATCTGATTGCTATCATCCGATTGTCTGATTATCTGATCCGCTATTATCTGATCCGTGATCACCCGCATACCCGATATCTGATCATCTGATCATCTCGGTTTCAAGTAGACTCAAAATAGAATGGAAGGCACCATCCCATATAACTGTCGAAGCCATCGCATACAAATAATACCTAAGACACCATCCCATAGGAAAAAGAAAAGAATGACCCGCATCCCAGAGCCCCGCATTGAACCAATCTCAGCTCTCGGGCATAAGTACGTCCACGGAGATCGTGACCAGCATTGGGAGCAAGACCAGTGTAGTGCTATGGATTGTTCCCAAAAATAGAGGACGTGCTGAGGATCAACGAGGGACAGGTGGGCTAAAGGTAGATTAATCTACACTCCGTGCGCGTTCCGTAAAGCGAGGTAGCTCTGACGTCTAGAATCCACCCCCCCATAAGGTCATGGCTGCCATCCCCTACAGGACTTTCGCCTTCCCCAAAATCAATTGTGGCGTCGAATGCATGTTCCAAGTCGAACTCGAAAGGAGATCAAGTCGGGTTCAAGCTGTGGCTGCTGCCGTTGCTGCCGTTGTTGTCGTTGTTGCTCTCCGGATCCAATCCACTGCATGACATCCGCAGTGCTTTTGTTCGTGTCCGTCTGTGTCAGGGATGGCTGCTCTTTATTCAGGTTCAGGATTTGCTGCATCAAAGTCCGCTTGTTCTTGCTGCCTTTGGGCCGGCCGAGCCTGCCACCGGGGCTATAGTTGCCGCTTCTTTGAGACCATTGGCAGGTCAAGCAGGGATTCCCTCCTGTACACCGGACCTTGGACTGACGGCATACGTCGCAGGCAGAAAGGGTCCGGCCGGACATCTTGGAGTTCTTGTTTCGTCCCGCCGGTCCGGGTCCGGGTCCGGGTCCGACGGACTGGGCTTGCTGTTAATTTTTGGATGGTGATTGACTCGGACGCTCAGTGGACATAGTAGCCATATAGCATGAAGTTCCACCGCATGCCTAACGAGAGATCTTGTGCAACGATCTGGACGATCTGGGCTTGGAGGGTTGGTCCAGCATTGGAAGGAGGTTTCGGCCTTCTTTTATCAAGGACCCTGGCCAGGTTGTCATCCATGGTCTCGCCGTCAGCAGAAGGAGGCTGTTCCAGACAAAGTACCACTCTGGGACGCCTGCAGGGAGATAACAGGCCGCAGGATTACGCGACTCTAGCAGGGTTCGAGGACAACATATCCCATTTGCATGCGCCTCAACTTGTTTGTTGCTAGTATCATCGCAAGATAGCGAAATGTAAGGGCCTTTACACGCTTAAAAATGGCACCTATAGGCGGAAGTACATGACTGTCGAATGAGAGCGGTATCCCGTGTCAGGCCATGCCAGTTAGTACTTACTAAATTCTCACCACAGTGTTCTGTTCGCACGGAAATTAACGAATCGCTGCATGCTTGTTTAATCCGGACATGATTGCACGACACGGCCAGGATCAGCATCCCGGTCCCCTAGTGCGGTGTGGTGATCCTGTCGCCATACTCCGTACCTGTCTCCCGACTTCCGCGATTCTGAAGGCTAGACCCGCGTCAACGTTGAGAGCATATCAACGTAAATAGAGCACATGTAACTCGGCAGCAGGTCTTCGAGAAAACTCGATGACCGCAACGGCAGTCTGTTCTCAGCCAAGCTTCGTTATTAAGATGTGGTTTAGGTTAGTCGAGGTGTTTCTACGCGAAATAAAACCTGGGTATTCCGTATAACTAGTACGAATGAATGCGACCCTCGGCCATGCGCATTCATGGCGATAAAACCCCACAACTGGGCATAAATGGAGAATTTCAAAACACGCTACTAATGGGCCGAATATTTCCTCCTGTGTTCACAGTCTCTGCACTAAGACAGTCTTGCCAGCCCGAAATACGCCTGTATGGATGGTCTGCAAGCCTCTCATGCAACCCCTGCCTTCAGTTCCAGGAAAGCTTGCCCTTTGGCCTACCCCGCAGGCGCACCATTCTCAACCTGACAGCGCTATAAGAAGGCATTTTGGAATAAGTGTAACTGGAATCGGTTTTGAGAGGATCCTGTTTAACAAGAAGCAGGCGAGAAGATTTGCCATTGGTCATCGACAACCGCGGCTATAGCCCCTGGACAACGCTTAGGAGCAAGTCAAAAGGTCAATGCTATCACTTGAGGTCCATTAGGAAAATAATTAATCTCTCATTGCCTTTGTGGTTGTGGTTGTGGTTGTGGCTGTGTATATAATGGAGACTAGAAACGGCCCGATGGCCGAACCAAAATCTCGCAAGACATGAACCATGTTCTCATAGCCCAGAAACGCCTCGGAATGGTTCTTACTTCATATTTAGGCAACAGACTGCTATAGCATCTTCTAATTAAGAATGGACTAGCGTAATTAAGCGTGTCTCCCTAGTGTGGGATAAATGACCTGTTTAGTATTTGCCTTTTTAGTGTCTCCGCATGTCCCTTCGGCCGATGGGCGCACAGGTCTCCCATAGATTGTAATTGGCTTCCGCTCTGTCGGGCTTCGCATTGATTTCTAATTGGCTCTCTGATGTTTGGGCCGCATCTTAACACAGGAGGGCCAGTAAAGGAGGGTTTTGTGGCTTGCCCAGCAGCTCAACCTAAGTGGGTTGAATAGGTTTGACCATGACAACATCTTGGTTGGGCATACTTTTTTGAGCAGAGTTGAATGAGGCCTGGGTATCTCAATTGGTCGACTGCATCATGAGACCCTTCGGACAGCGCGAAGTGAGGTATTTTTTGGCCTTGAAGCTTTGCTCGTCGTCAATGATATTTACTAGACCTTGTCAGTATGGCATCTCACCGTTCTCCTGAACAATGTTTGAATGAACCTAGTTGGACCCATACAACATCTCTTTCATGGAAGGCTTGTCTTGACACTTGATTCTTGAGCCTGGACAAGTTCGGGCTTTGCGTGAGATTCCATACCTGCTGCCAAGCCAAACGAGTAGACGAGTGTTGGACAGTGAGCCGTCGGCCAACGGAGCCTGATACGAGGGGGAATGATCAAAGGGTAATATTCCGAGCTCCTGGTCATTCCAACGGACGTAAGCGGCCCCTGAACCTTATCCGAAAGCCCATCAAGACAGTGACGGCAAGCGCAGAGTTTAATAATAGAGCTTTATGTCCGTCGTGATTGCTTTTCATGTCCGCTTCGGCCGACACCGCTGGCCTCGGACAATGGGATCCCAACTTTCTCCGCCTCGACCGAAGTCCTGCGGCCGAAGTATACGGAACAAGCAACAGACGTGAATAACAAAGGGAGATACATGGCCTGAGGGCGTGCAAGAACGCCATGGTTCCCCCCTATTTCCGGCTCATCTTCACCAGCTCGGCCTTGTCCGGATGCCTATTAAGGTGATTCCTCTCACGGCAGCTGGGTGTCTTCCATCCAACACGATTGCCCTCAAATCCGGCTTCAGTTCTCAGACCGTTGCCAGAGCATTATGTCGACCGCAACGGCATTGGCCCATCTCGGGCCCAATGGGACGCAAAACCAGCAGAGCCGACTGGAGCACACGACTGAAGGGTTTACTGACGACGGCTACGTTGGAGCAAAGGACCCGCCGAAATCGATGGAGTCGCGGCATTCCACCGTGCAGGAGCTCGCTCGTGAATTTACCCGCAACAGCTCCCACGACTCTGACGGCAAGCCTATCTTCGGCAGCGGTGACCCGGATTCCCCGCTGAACCCATCCGGCAACAACTTCAATGCACGAGTGTGGGCCAGGAATGTTGCCAGGATTACTGAGGAGCGCGGTCAGGGCTTCCGTCGAGTCGGCTTGTGTTTCCAGGACTTGAGCGTCTTTGGCTACAGCAGCGCGATGGACTTTCAGAAGACTGTCGCAAATATCTGGCTGGCCCTGCCGGGAATGGTTGCTCGTCGTCTCTTGCCCAGCACCAGCACATCAGGCCAAACCCGAGTGGAGATCCTGCAGCAGTTTGACGGCATCATCCGTCCAGGAGAGATGTGCGTGGTCCTGGGTCCTCCTGGGTCCGGTTGCTCGACTTTCCTGAGAACAATCTCGGGCGATCGGAATGGTATCTACGTCAACCGGAATTCGTACTTCAACTATCAAGGCATCTCGGACAAGGAGATGCACACTTCGCATCGAGGCGATGCTATCTATACTGCTGAGATCGATGTCCACTTTCCCATGTTGACCGTTGGCGAGACCTTGACCTTTGCCTCGTACGCTCGCTGCCAAAGGGAGCAGCCAGCAGGCACCACTCGCAAACAGTAAGTTGCTTCCATCCCAAGTGTTCCTAGTGCTGAGATACGCTAAGCCCATCTTCTTCATAGATACTGCGAACATCTTCGCGACGTCGTTATGGCTATGTACGGGATCACTCACACCATTCATACCAACGTTGGGGACGAGTTCGTACGCGGAGTGTCCGGGGGCGAACGCAAACGTGTCACGATTGCGGAGGCGACGCTGTCCAACGCCCCATTCCAGTGCTGGGACAAGTAAGTGACTTCTCTGCTGTGCACAAGCAAATGCTGACTGTTGGCTGCCAAACTCCAGCTCAACGCGCGGCCTGGACGCGGCCAACGCGGTTGAGTTCTGCAAGACCCTCCGACTGCAGTCAGAATTATTCGGCCAGACATGCGCTGTATCGATGTATCAGGCACCTCAGAACGCCTACAACCTATTCGACAAGGCACTGGTCATTTACGAAGGACAACAGATCTACTTCGGACCTGCGTCCCGGGCCAGGGACTACTTCATCAATCTGGGGTTCGAGTGTCCGGCTCGGCAGACAACGCCCGACTTCCTCACATCCATGGCTTTCCCAGCAGAACGCATCCCTCGTCCTGGCTGTAACCCACCGCGGACGGCCGCTGAATTCGCAGCCGCTTGGAAAAGGAGTCCGGAGTACGAGGCTCTACGGCGTGAGATTGAGGATTACAAGGCTCAGCATCCGATTGACGGGCCGGACGCCCTGGCTTATCGACAGCTCAAGAAGGCGCACCAGGCCAAGGGTCAGCGTTTAAACTCGCCATATACCCTGACGTACTCTCAGCAGGTTCAGCTCTGTATGTGGCGAGGACGGAGACGGTTTTGGGCCGATCCGGGCCCGTCTATCTGGGTCATGATCGGGAACGTCATTATGGCGCTCATCATGTCGTCCCTGTTCTACAATATGGGCCAGACAACGGCGTCATTCTACGGACGGGCTGTTGTTCTCTTCATGGCTATCCTGTTCAATGCCTTCGCCTCTATCCTCGAGGTCATGACCCTGTACGCGCAACGGCCCATTGTGGAAAAACAGGCCCGCTACGCCTTTTACCACCCTTCGGCTGAGTCATATGCTTCTGTCCTGGTTGACTTGCCCATGAAGATCACCGGCACCGTTTCCTTCAACTTGGTGTTCTATTTCATGACGAACCTGAACCGGCATCCTGGGAACTTCTTCTTCTACCTGCTGGTGGTCTTTCTCATTGTTCTGGCCATGTCTGGGGTCTTCAGATTCATGTAAGTTGCGCAATCGAACAAAGGGATTTGGGTGTCTAAACATGTTTCCAGCGGCGCGCTGTCTCGAACAGAACAACAAGCGATGGTGCCCGCATCGATTCTGATGCTTGCTCTGCTCGTCTTCACCGGCTTCGTGGTCCCGATTCGCTACATGCTGTCGTGGTGCCGGTGGATCAACTACCTAAACCCCGTGGCGTACGGCTACGAAGCCCTGATGGTGAACGAGTACCACTCCCGTAACTTCACCTGTTCATCATACATCCCCAGTTATGGAACTCCCGGTGCGACAACCGTGGCCTGTGATGCTATCGGCGCCGTACCGGGTCAATCCTACGTCAACGGCGACGCGTATATCAACTCAGCGTACAGCTACTACCACAGTCATAAGTGGCGCAACGTTGGCATCATCATCGCCATGGTGATCTTTAACCATATCGTGTATTTCATGGCCAGCGAGTACGTCACAGCAAAGAAGTCAAAGGGTGAGATCCTTGTTTTCCGTCGGGGATGCGTCCCCAAACTTGCCAGCAAGCGCCATCAGGACATTGAGGGGTTGCCCTCAGGCCCGGTAACAGCTTTGCTGGAGAAGCCGGGCAATAGCTATGCTTCGAGCAAGAAGGGAGGCTTTCAGGGCTCCACGAGCGTGTTCCACTGGAGCAATGTGTGCTACGACATCAAGATCAAGGGCAAGCCTCGCCGCATTCTGGATAATGTCGATGGCTGGGTGAAGCCTGGAACCTTGACGGCCCTAATGGGTGTTTCCGGGGCTGGCAAGACCACGCTGTTGGATTGCCTTGCTGATCGCCGCGCCGGTGTGGGCGTCCTCACTGGCGAGATGTTGGTTGATGGAAAACTCCGCGACGAGAGCTTCCAGCGCAAGACCGGCTACGCACAACAGCAAGATCTGCATCTCGAGACGAGTACGGTTCGTGAGGTGAGTGCAAGGGCTGTTGAGTCTCTCCGAAGTCCAGCAGCCGCATTTCTTTCTGCATTGTAAGTCGACTAACCACTACCGTTCTGTTTTAGGCTCTGAGTTTCTCCGCTCTCCTTCGTCAGCCAGAGAACGTCCCAAAGGCAGACAAACTGTCCTACGTCGACGAGGTCATTCAGCTGCTCCGCATGCAGGAGTATGCCGATGCTGTTATTGGCGTGCCAGGGGAAGGGCTGAACGTTGAGCAACGCAAGCGCCTGACGATTGGCATCGAGCTAGCTGCTAAACCACCGCTCTTACTCTTCATTGACGAGCCCACGTCGGGCCTCGACTCCCAGACCAGCTGGGCTATCTTAGACTTACTGACCAAACTCTCCAAAGCGGGCCAGTCGATCCTTTGCACCATCCACCAGCCCTCTGCGATGTTATTCCAACGTTTTGATCGCCTGCTCTTGCTTGCTAAGGGGGCAAGACTGTTTATTTCGGTATGTCCTGTTCCCTCTCTCGGGAGTCAGCAACGCATGATGACTGTCATCTCCAAATCGAGTGCGGCTAACACACTTACCCGTCCAGGCGAAATCGGAGAGAGTTCAACGACCCTCATCGATTACTTCGAGCGCAATGGTGCCAAGCCCTGCCCACCCGGCGCCAACCCTGGAGAGTGGATGCTTGAGGCTATCGGCGCCGCACCCGGCAGCTATTCAGAAGTTGATTGGCACGAAACGTGGCGCTCCAGCCCCGAATACCGCACTATCCAGAGCGAACTCGCCCAGCTGCGCTCCAAGAACCCACCAGACGTGTCCACCGATGGCAGCAACGACGAGTCCACTTTGTACGGCGAATTTGCGACACCCCTCTGGCGCCAGTTCCTTGTGGTGACGGAGCGCGCATTCCAACAGACATGGCGCACACCATCGTACATCTACTCCAAGCTCCTCCTCTGCACCGCCACCAGCCTGTTCATCGGCTTGGTCTTCCTTAACTCCCCACTAAGCATCCAGGGCCTGCAGAACCAGATGTTCGCAATCTTCGAGCTGATGAGTATCGTCGGGCAGCTGGTAGACCAGCAGTTCCCCCACTTCCTCACGCAGCGCTCGCTCTACGAGGCCCGGGAGAGGCCCGCCAAAACATACAGCTGGAAGGTCTTCATGCTCAGCCAGATCCTGACCGAGATACCCTGGTACACAGTCGCCTCCGTGCTCATGTGGGCGCTGTTCTACTTCCCCGTGGGCTTCTACAGGAACGCTGACGCTGCGGAACAAGGCCCCGAGCGTGGCGTGTTGATGTTGCTCCTCTTCTGGGTGTTCCTGATGTGGGTGTCCACGTTCGCGCACTTCTGCATCTCATTCGCCGGCTCAGCCGACGACGGCGGCAATATCGCCAACTTTATATTCGTGCTTGCCTTCTTCTTCTGCGGCGTCCTCGCTTCGCCGGACCAGATGCCCCGCTTCTGGATCTTCCTCTACCGCGCCTCGCCGCTCTCGTACTACGTCTCAGCTGTCCTCTCGACGGGCCTCGCTAATGTAAACGTGACCTGCGCGAGCAACGAGTTCACCACGTTCGATCCGCCCGCCGGTCAGACGTGCGGTGAGTACATGACTGAGCATATCTCCGCGGCGGGTGGGTATCTGCTGGAATCGGGTGCTACGGCCAACTGCCAGTACTGCAAGGTCAAGGAGACGAACGTGTATCTAGCGGCTATTCATGCGGAGTACGAGACCAGGTGGCGCAACTTTGGCATCATGTGGGCATATGTCGCTTTCAACGTTGCGGCGGCGTTGGTCTTGTACTGGGTGGCGAGGATACCCAAGGGTAAGAAGAACGTGTCAGGGTAGGCTGCGGACATCTGTTCGTTTGGATATGTGGGTACATGGGGTAAACATAATGCGATTTTTTACGGCCCGGAAAGCCGTTGATTCAATTTGTACATTAGAGTATCTAGTGTTTCAAATTGGACATCTCAATTCTGCCAGAAGAGTGTATGAAATACTTTCATCATGCGGAAATCGTTGGCATTCATCCCGAAGAACCAAAGAATCCGCAACAAAACTAGTTGCGGCCACGCAGCTTCGCTAACCCGGTCTCTCGTCTCAGGGGTCTTTCTCTACCAAGTGCATCTCATAGTCTCATTCTCGTCGACGCCTGAATTTCCCTCTGGTTAAAATTCAGAACGCCGTCCAATTGGCGGAATGCTGCTTCGCAACATAACGCCCTTCATCTGGGGCTAAAGACTAGATTCAACGCCGGAAGCCACAAAGTCAGCGTCTCCTTCACCTCCTCCCAAAACGCCACCCCGTCTTCCCCCGGTGCAAACGCAACATTGTGACGACTCCCGCGGTTGCCATGGCCCAGTGAAGACCTTCCACGGCTGGATGTTCTACACCAGTGCTGTGATTGACGGCTTTCCGTCAGCCGGGCCCGTTTCGGGGAAGGAATGGTTGATCATCTCTTACCGGAGCATATGAAAGTCCTTGGAGAAGGCGATATCTCCCATGACGTCAAAGGCGTAGAAGATGTTGTCTTGCGTTATATTAACCGGCTTGCCCGTGCCAATGCGAGTCATCAGTTGGTTCACTTTGCCGGACACTCGTGTCTCGTACGTTTTGAGAGCTTTACAACGTCAGGGAAAAAAGAAAAAGGGATTTTATAACAGGTATTGCTCTACTTATATATATGTTTAGGTGCTTACCTCGGAAACCAAGCCCCTTATCCCAAGCCTTCCGGCGGACTCGGTGCTTTTCCTTATCACGGACATTCTCGATGCCAACCTTATCGGGATTCCCCGAGTTCTGATCGTACCATGTGCCTTTCGTGCACTTTGACGAAGAGCCATAGATGAGCTCGACAGCCGAAGCGCGCAGCACCGTGACCTCGCGCGGCCCGGTCCGCACAAAGTCGCCATATTTCGAATGGAGCTTCTGGACATGCAGGTGGTACTGCAATGTTCGTGCCTGTCATGGACAATAGGCCTCGGCGAGTCAGCCATAATTGACCCATCCCAGAGGGATTGATAATCCGGGGACCGTGTCGTAAACGCTGAACAGGTAACTACCTACTGATATAGATTCGACAAACGAGCCGCAGACGGACCTGGAAAGCGGCCGAGCCGGTGGAAGAAAAGGCCCGGTATAGCAGCATGCTGCCCTACAGTCCCACAAGAAAGGCCGCTCCGGCCGAGTAGGTGCGAAGGATTGCAGATGCGAGACTGAGCTCGGTTGACAGTATATAGCCGACGAGGACACTGCCGAGCACGCTGAAGTATGTGATCACCATTTTCCAACCCCAGCTGTCGACCTCAACAGGCTGCCTGAAGATCTGGTGGCAGACGATGCCTAGCAGCGCTGTGCAGCTCAATGTCACTTGCCATGACGACGACAGTGCTGCAGCGAAGGTCTCCATATTCCTCGCTGGGGCTGAACCAGTTATACAAGTCTGTTCTGCTTATGGAGCAACTGGTGGACATGACAGTTACCGCGCTTAGATTCCACACTTCGAACAGACTGCCTTTTGATGATGAAAAGGCAGGTCTTTTTTCTGCGTCCAGCGGGAAGTCGACTGGCGTTACTCCTGATCTTTTGCCGGGACAGTCTTGTCTCTCGGTGTCTTTCCTGGAAATTGGGCGATTATCCATCAACATCAATAGCTAACTATTCTTTTCATCGAAAAGGAGATTAAATCCTAGGAGAAAAAGTAGGTATAGGAGTATTACTGCTGTCCGATGATATTGTCCGAGGATATTATCCTCGGCCAATTGACTGAATTCATTGTCTCACAGCTAATCTTTAGCAGCTAGAGGCTGTTCATCACTATTGAACAGATATCATATTTGCAGGATATGGACAGAAGCTCTCAGCAAGGAAAGCCAGTGCTGGACTGTCATGGATGATAGGGAATAACATAAATGTTGAGTCTGTATAGCTAGTCATGTGCCTTCACTCGTCTCCCGGATAGCTTCATAACCCTAAAACACTTGAGCAGTCGACATCATCCCGCAGTAAAGACCTATGCAGTCGCAACCCGTCGCTGAAGCAACTTGCCGGTAGCACCCATGGCGTCAATCAGCCGGCTACAGATGTGCTCCCCCACCACTGTCTCGACCCCCGACCCGTCCAGGGCCTTCGCGATGAGTTTGAGATTCCCGTTGAGGAAGAAAGCGACGCTGTGGCGGTGCTTGTCTCTGTTGGTCAGGACGCGGTGCCGGGCGCTGCGGTAGTAGCCGCCCGTGTATTTTTGCATCATGTTGCCCATGTTGATCACGAATGCGTCTTCAACCACAGGGACGGCGACCCATGTCTGGGCGGGGGGGGGTAGTACACCTCTAGGCCTGTGGTGTCAGGCTCCTGAAGATTAATTGACACGCACCCAAAGTCGGTGTGGTCGGCGACTGGGGAGGCGAGGGTAAGCAACATGCACATTTCTCATTCGCTCCACCAATCCGGCCTTCGTAAAACTCACCTCCGAACTGGCGATGGTCCTGGGCCTGCATACGCCATCGACAACGGCCCGGCGTGCCTCCTCCGAAGCATTGGGGTCAAAAAATGCGCTGACGTCCACCATTGGGATGGCCGGAGAACCCCTGAGGCTGCCCATGATTGGTGATTGAGTAAATGAGTGCAATGGCTTGCTCCTGGGCTTTGATAACGCGCGGCTTAAGTTCTGCTTTTCACCTGGCGAGATTTAATTGGAGTGACCAATTCGCTACTGATACGCCATGATATGTAGATATATGGCTGCCAAAAAGGCGGCATTACAGTTCATTTCCGCGGGGCATTAACTTGTGTTGAGCGAGAGCGATACGCCATAATATGTTATATGTATTGACCATAATATATTCCGAAAAAATCACGCGATACAACGCTCGGATAATTCTGGAAAAAGCCCCCCAAGGCCAATGGCACTGACTACCACGGCTGCACCTCATCCTTGCGGATCACCTTCGGAGGCCAGGCCTGCTCATCTCTGCTCCCCTCAATAACATCCGCACAGAAAGCGGCCCCAACAGGCCGGATCAATCGCCCCCATGGCCCTCTTATCTCGCAGTCCAGTGTTCAGAAACCCCGGCGACACGTTAAACACCGCCACCCCGTCGTTGCGTAGCAGGTGCGCCCACTCGGTCACCAGCATGTTCATCGCGGCCTTGCTCACGTGGTACGGAAACCACAGGGTGTCCGGCTTGGGCCAGCCCGCCGGCGCAAGGGTGTAGCGCGGGCTCATTCCGCCTGCATGCCTCGGTGATGGACGACAGGCCGCTGGTGATGAAGTTCAAGCGCGGGGTGGGGGCCAGTGAGGTGAGCAGGAGGGGCGCGAAGGTGGAGGTGAAGAGATGGGTGCCGGTAACGTTGACGTCGTATGTCTGATTCCAGCCCTCGCGCGGGACGAGCTGGCCCGAGGTGACTGCCGTGTCTAGGGCCAGGCCTGTGGGTTGAGAATATCAATCGCGGTGAGCACTGGTGAAAATCCCTTGGTCAGGATGGAAGGGGGGAATACTACCAGCATTGTTCACCAGGATGTCGACATGGCCGAATTTTTCCTGGACTTGCTTGAAAGCTGCAGAGATTGACTCTTCCGAGGTGATATCAATGGATAGTGGCTCCGCGGTGGACGAACTGTTGGGCGAAAGTTGCTTCAACTTGGATATGGCATCGTTTGCGCGATTGATAGCGCCTCGGCATCCAATGAGGATGTGGTAGGGGCCTGGGCGGGCAAAGAGAACTTTTGCTACTTCGAATCCTATAATGATTCATGAGCTCCTGTAACCAGTTGGGGTTGCTATTACCTCACCTAGGCAGTATTGGCACCCGTGATAAGAACAAGGATCTTAGCGTCACTTGATCCCCTGATTGATTGGAATTGTGATAGACCCTTGAGAGATGCAGAGAATTTACAACTCCAGTTAGGACACTTATACTTCTAACTGGTAACCTTCTACTGGGAAATACGGTGACATGAACTAATGGATAAGTGAATCTTGAAAACTACCATGTTGCTGACAGAAACACCATTGCAAAGCAATGTTCCGTTCAGCGGAGTATAGATAACTCTGCGGTCAACTACCGACAAGGTAAACGTCGAGCTATCCCGAAGTCGAGTTTAGGCACGGCAAGCCACCAGTCAAAACGGGCAGCAGAGTGGAGAGCAGTAAAGCTAGCTAGTTGCACACTGGGCTGGACTAGGAGATATTCGACTGCGTGCTCTTAAACGGCGAGTAGATGAGAATCAGCGTTTCAATTTACTCTCCGGTCCAAAAAAATGCTCCTCGCTTTTCCACTTACGGAGTGGTGGGTAAAAATCATGAAGGAGAGCAAAAATTCAAAGCTGCAACCATCCTCTACAATGTGCCGTCTTCATCACTTCCGTCAAGGCCATCAAAACGTCAAAAAATATAACAAAAAGACAGGGCAAAAACATACAACAGCCGGGATTCGCTGGTGGTCACCCACCCAACTACTAACCGGCCGGCGTGTGGCTTAAGTACGGCTGAGCGGACGGGAAGCCCTGTTTTCCACACCCTATGGTCGTATGTACTAGAAGTGGGAGAGGAACGGAATATATGGTGTCATACCAAAGATCATTTGCAAGTATCAATGACATCGTGATGATGGTTGAGAGGAGATACCGGGAGAGGCAATGTGTATTACTTTGTGAACTCATGGTAGGTGCCCAGATTAACCATGTATCTGGTTAAAAGTTGGACTTGCATGGGAAACTTGGATCCACTTCCAGAATTGGTCACTAGCGTGAGCCATTTAAATGGCCGAAGGATACAGTCCCTGACTCCTTCATCTGCGACACCTGTTCAAAACTGCATCCATGAGAGACGACTACACTGAGTGGGAACACTTCTCCCATCCAGACCCGGACGAGGAAGACCCTCCGACTCTGGACGAAATTCAAACCCTGCAAGAATTTGCTGAGTCCTTTGGCATAGCTAATGCCATTGCAGCACAGGATGCTGCTCACCAACTAATGTCACTTGTCGATGAGGGTCGCGTGGTTGAGAAGCGCCAGAATAACATTATGGACAAAGGCGAACGCGTCTCCTGGTTATTATGGGATGCTGCTATCAACATGCCGCGCTACCAGCCTGCTATTCTTAAGTTAATTAAGGCAATCCGCGCGCTGCCTCAGCTGGAATGAACTGAGGAGCAGATCCACACCAGCTATTTTAAGAACCAACTAGAAACCTGGCGGTCCTTAGAGGCATTTGATTACATTTGGTCGGAGACATATTCCCGTGAGTGGCCCTTTTTTTCCTTCTCCCGCCCCTAACAGACCAACACTGTGCAGTTGGTTTCTTTGCTCCCTTGGCATAACAGCTTGAAATTTCGGAGATATCCACCTGCACATCCTCTTGCCCTTCATAGAGTTCCCCTAGGCAGCTGATTTCATACACGAAGTGTGGGCTTATACTAATCGTTTCATCATAGGTTGTTGGGAGATGAGATACGGCCCATATCCCTATTACGGGTGGACTGACTTCCACAGTGCGAACGCTTTTTATGCGCACTTTCTTGCTACTTATCCTCCCGAATCTCCCGATCTTAGGGAGTTAACCGTGGCATTTCAATTGATTGTATTTGCTCTCGAGCAGGATCCATGGACCCATGCCCAACAACCTCCACCGCAGTGGCAAGGCAACCGCTATCAGGACACTGGTCGCCCTACTGATTATATGCAAATGCTGAATGTGAGTGACAATGAAAGGCCATGATGGCATTTGCCCTGATTGACTTGCGCATTTTAGGCTGATGTGCACGCTATGGTTCCATTTTTTGAGATTGCCGGGCACATTATCTTCGGGTTTGTGGGAAAAAAAGACCTTTCTCTCCTCGAAAAATCAAAAAAGAGGGATTCCAATCTATGGCACGGAGACTCATTGTTCTCATTGGAAAGATGGGAATTTTGGAAAACGCAGTTGCGATGGATAAGTGAGCAATATGAGCTAATGGAAAGAATGTGAGCAGACGCCCAAAAGATTGCGCAACTCATGTAAGAAATTGACCAACAGGATTGAGAGATACGCTTGGGAAGTCAAGATTAGCATAAAGATACCAGAAATAAAGACTTCTTTTGTTGTCTATTATTCTGTTCTGCTCATCGGCCCACTTATCTGAATACAACTTGAACAATAACTATGATGAGTTAAAATAAATCAGATACATATGAGAAAAACAGCCACCACATAATTGAGTCAGTCTGTGATGAGAGCGCCCTTTCTCATCCCAACCATCTTTGCGAATCATACCTTAGTTGACAGTTGCTTCCTCAAGCCCACATCCAGCTGTATTGCCCAGCCAGGTCAGATGCGCAAGCAGCCTCGCAAAGTTTGAAAGGCAAGATATTCCTTGGCTCACCATTGATGATATGTGTCTCTAGGACATTTATGAAATGGCTCATCACACCATAATAGAGATAACTGGTGCTGGTGTCTCTGCTCACCTTAGCCTTGAACATAACACGCTGTACACCAACATTAATATAAGAGTTTCGTCCGGCCTCTAAGATGCTCCCATCTGGCATGATAGGAAACTTAATAAACCTAGAATAGTCATCCCTGGCATTCATGCATTCATCAGAGAAGGCAATGTTGTCACTATTACTATAAATGTGGGGATATGCGCCCTTTATTGCAGTCTGCCAATTCGGTTGATCAGGGCGCGGGACGCCTCGCATTGGAGAGGAAGTATTTTATTCCCTGCTTCATCGCACCGAGAATGTCGGCGCTGCTAGCGTACTCAAAACCAAATCGGGTGTCGCAGGATGGTGATGGCGGCAAGTGCGTTTTTGAGAAGGCTCAAGGTAATCGGGAAGAGCCTCGTGCGATATCGTAAGGGCATTGTTTGAATATTAATCTGTCTAGCTGTGCCGGAACTGAAACTTACGTCCATGATAATGGTTTCTCTATTCGCAGCATGTAGACTCTTGATCAGAGGCCACACCACGGCCTAGAATCCATCTCATCAAGAGGGCAAGTAGGTAACAGAGGGGAAACTGTTATTTAATAAGGGATCAATTTGCTGTCTTGCAAGGGAAAAATGATGATAACATTGCAAGGATGCTACATCTCTTTCAAGCTCATAATGTCATTATCCGCAATCAGTCATAACCAAACTGAATCTATGGTTAGTTAGTAGGGACTGTAGGGTCCTAGCTAGGCCTATCTAGCCTAGTGGCGGGTTTTTGCGGTTAAACTTGCACCGAATCAGAATTTGGACTCACAGCGGTTCACTTCTAACTGGGGTTGGGCTCGTGAGTCGTGACCAACTCTAAATAAGGTTAGAGTTAGCAACCTTATTGTTAACTATGTAGAGACAACCAGGGCAAGCTTTGACAGAGCTATGTAGGTCTGAGAGGGCGGAACATGTTTATCCAGCAAGTGTAGTAATAGTAATAATACCCATGCTAATAGAGAGTGGATCCATCGTGATTAGGGCATCCGCCAGAAACTTATGACCAGCAGATAAATTGTTCCTGGTAGAGAAGGCTACCATCCCTTCCTAACCAGCCTAATTATGTATGTGACAGTATCACTAAGAGGGTTCATCTGGGCTCACCCAAATTCGTTGGGCGTGATTTTGGATTCAGAAATATGGCTGTTTGCTGGGATTAGCAGGATTAAACGATTTCTTACCTAGCAGATCACACATGACATAAACATTCATCAAACCTCACTTTCTAAAGTACCCCGCGGGTGTACAAAACGCACAGTGTGAATCAGTTGATGGTGAGTCTTACATTCACTATTCAGAGCTCATGCCTCATGAGCGCGACTGATACCTTTGGCACATACAGAAAGACCCAAAGAATTACATTGACATGATTGGGTGAAATGGTTCCTGGCATTGGGTGGTTGCTATGATGGGACCTTCCGCGGCTTCCTTTTCCAGGCTAGATGATTGCCTACAGGATGGGACGGACTAACCTAACGCCTGAGGCCAAGGGCTTTTATAGCACGATGCAGCTCACTGCCACCAATAAGAAATTATTTGGAGATTGACAGGCCTACTGCCATAATGCAATTGGCCTTTACTATCACTAGGCGTGAAACAGGCGCTACGCAGCAAACTAGTCGACACGCCACTATCTGCCTAAATAATCCTTAGCAGCCGAAGGGTTCCAGCTCACCTCGCAAGGAGGCTGCCCACTCGCAGTTATATTTTCACCACCGCTTACTTGGATAATTGGGATTTCTCGTTTGAATATGCACCTGGATCTGCTGTGAAAAGGGAGTGTAGGCAGGGCACTTGTTCCTATCATGACAAAATTCTACCATGTTCGAAGCCGGCGCCCAAGGCTTAAGCTTGTTTTGTGCGTGGCTTTGGCTTTTTGTATTGCTTCGTTGTTCACCAGCCAATTTTCCGACTACCGTATGTTTTGTTGCCATGCCCTCATTAATGATCTATTTTTGTAATATACTGATGAAGTCCCAGGCTGGGTCAGGACGCCCGAGGTATGTCAGGGTAACCCTACGATAGGCAAGGTGACCATGATTTACGGGAACAATTCGATATATGAACGGGCGTTGGATACGCACAGAGAACACAGTCGGCGACTGGGTTATCCTTTATTTGTTCTTCGCACACCGATACTTGACGGCGTCTGGAATAAGTACGCCATTCTTCTGTCAATCTTGCTACAGGAGCTGGAGAAACCGCTCGATCGTCGATTGCGGTGGCTTTTGTGAGTTCCTAAACCGGCGCCCCTGACGAGGAGTACCGTACGAAACAAATCGAGTTGGAGGCTGATGGCATCTACTATGTACAGCTGGTCCGATGGCGACACCGTGTTAATGAATCCCGACATGCCATTGGAGACTTTCTTGCCTCCGCCAGAGTTCTCAGATATCCACATGGTCTTGACAAAGGACTGGAACGGGATGAACAACGGGGTGTTCCCCATTCGTGTCCATCCCTGGGCCGTGGAATTGCTCTCTGCTGCCATTGCTTACCCCGTTGTGAGGCCGGACGTCGAGCTTTTCTGGCCTGACCAGTCAGCGCTAGCCAATCTCTTGCAAGAAAATGAGTACTTCTCCCGATCAGTCGTATACTGCCCGTTGCGTTGGTTCAATGCATATATGAGGCAGCCAAATGGGGAAGAGCTGAATCCCGATTCGCCAGCGTATCTTCAGGTTCACCCAGGGGACCTTCTTGTTCACTTCCCCGGAACACCGCGTGACAAGTTGACCCAGACATTGGAACCATATCTTGCCATAGCAGAAAGCCATCGGCCGGAGTGGGAGGTACCCCTCGAGAGGACAGGGTACATAGAGGAGACGAAGAGGTTCTGGGAAAGCATGCATCGCTCGTCGAGGAGTAGGTAGACCCTCTTGCGGTTAGCAGACCCAGAGGCTCCTACATAGCACTCGCACGTATGGTAAACCCAAAAATTGGAGAGCCATACTTGGAGACAGACAGGCCTGAATCGCTATTGCTCCCTCGGACGAGCCAAGTTTCGCTGAGTAACCAGGGCATAATTGTAGAACCTTACTGCAGGGAAAAGCATCTCAATCGGCATGGGTTCTTTTTGCGTTTAGGCACAGAGATTCTTACGCGATCGCTTTTATCTTAGTTTAAATAAACTATTTATGCTTACAAGACAGTAAGCTGGGAGAATGACGCGAAAGAATGTGCAGTGTTAATGACTCCGCTGATTGATTGTTGCCCCTTTCTCCATTCGATAAGGAAGGGAAAAGGGCTTCCCCTCAGTTCCGCATCCATGGGATCCTTCATTGAGCCTTCCCTGGCTGTTGTCTACGAGGGCGACTGCGCCGCAATTTTATGGATGCCACCCTTTCGTGTTTCACGGCGTATCCGGGGATCCACTAGTCTATCTATCCTTGTATTTTACTCTAGCTTGCTGGGCTAAACTGCCAGGGCCGTTGGTGGGTATTCGCTCTCGGCTCTGGTTGGACTGTGCTTGGTTTACATGAACCTAACTGGCCAACTAGACAGGTAAGCGTGCATGGGGACCCTGTTTGCAGCAGCCAAAGATCAAGTTCAAGAAATTGATCAAGGCTCCCAACTCAAGAATGCGTTGATAGTTGGATGGACTCATTTCTCAGGGGTAGTCAGGACATGGCATTGATGGCGCCAACCCCTGATCTGTCACGCAATCTTTCTCGCGTGCCGCCGATCTTCCTCCAGCAATATACGCGGGATGTACGAGCCCATTCCCGTCATCCAGCTCCACGATAGTCTCACCTCGTGCTGCAGAACAAAACCAAGCAACACAGGTTCATGGGCCTATTATTATGTGGGCTCAACCAGTGACGGTCCAATTTCAGTCTTCCGATCTGTCATTGTTTGTCACCCCAACTACTATATCCACAACGTCGAAGCCTGACTCTGTTCCTGTACAAACCACAACAACCTCAACTGCTCTAGCGACAGCCAATACGTCTCAGATCCCTTCTGCTACCCAACCCACGGAATCAAATCATTCCCTTTCTTCAACTGGCTTATCGGCGGGAGCAAAAGCTGGAATTGGAGTAGGCGCCGGCGTCGGCGGCGTCGCTATCTTTGCCTTACTATTCCTTGTGTTTCGGCATCTACACAAGGCAAGAAGCATGCGAGCGGCGAGCAAGGGGCATTACTACCACAACACCGAAGCGCTGGGGGGCCTCGTCCCGCCGGCGGCTTCGAATTCGCGGCAAGGGCCTCCATCGGAATTAGATAACGCAGAATCTAGCTCCCGAAAGTATTTGCCTGAGCTTCAGGGTTGAGCTTCCTCTGCGGATTTGCGTGATTTAGGTGGATATATTACACTTCCTTCCTTCCTTTCTTTCTCTTCCCGCCTTTTTTAAGAAGCTATCAGTTCGTGCAAATTGTGTAATCATATGTTTGGGGTTCATTCGGTCAACAGCTGTGCAAGGGTTTACTTTATCAACCTGCAATCTTTCCCGAGTTTCTCACATGGGATCGAGCAGTATTGATACACCTTCTTGATCCATCAACCTGCTCCTTTCTTCTAGCAGATACGAATCCGCCGTCGTATAATAGATAAGCTAGGCTAATTTGGCCGTCTAATATAATTTACACCGGAACAAGTCCTGCATGGATGGTTGAAGTTCGCCGTCTTCTGGAGCACGATCTAGAATATTCTTAAGAAACAGGAATCCCGGGATTCTCAAAAAGCAGAGGGCTCATGCCTATGCACAACGCTTTCTTCACAATAGCAACAGTCGCTCACTCTGCGAGGTGAGTAATCAAGTATCTCTTATCGGCGTCGTTCAAGCTTCAACTGCATTACGATTACATCCGCAGAATCGCCGCAACGAGCACCATCGCGAGCGTCCCTCGGACAACAGAGCCGTATCGGACGTGGGACGGGCCGAGCCGAGGTTTCCAGTCCACGGTAAGCCACGTGATCCATAACAGAATCTTTCTATTGGCCCCTCATGGCCCATGCATAACTGTGTCCTTTTTCATCGTCACCCAGAATGTAGATGCTAGAATAGTTAACTTTAGGATACTCTAGATAGTATTGGATTATGCTATATTAGTAACTTGTTACATCCGAACAGAAGTAGTGACAAATACCTACCAATCTTCTCGCCTACCATTTTCTCCTTCCTTAATTATTCAATTTTCTCTAAGAACGAAGTCCCATTAAGCTATGGCTGACCCATATCTGCAGGATGTGGGTTGGCCCATGGTCCTTGACAAAACAACCTTACTAGATCCTTAGGTAGAGGCATCTAAACAGAATAGCCTACAAGGATTTGATAGGACTATTGAAATAAATGTGCTGCACTGTCTCAGTAGCCTGATTCTTATAAAGATAGTCCATTTGCAGAGCATATGATCTGCACCCTATGTTCTCTAGATATGAAAGCCTGTTTTCATTGTGCGGCAAGCTCTTTGCACCCTTGCTAGTCATAAGTTGAATACAATTCAAACCAGGCACATACGACCATAGGGTGTGGAAAACAGGGCTTCCCATCCGCTCAGCCGTACTTAAGCCACATATTAAACAGCGGGAAATTCTTAAAAAGCCTTCCTCCTCTAAAAAAGCAACCTTATGATTTTAGTGTAGGTGCTGGTGATGTAGGTGAGGACTTTATTACTCCTCATCACCACTCTGGAAGATGGCTCGCAAGAGTCGCAAGTAGTGATAAGAGGTGGTGACAAGGGTTTATAAGGGGTGAGGAAGGACACCTTTACCAAGCAAAATACACACTAGCTACTAGTCCAGCTACTGTTAAATAGGCTAAGAGCCCTGTTATTTAAAATGAAGTTTTTCAGTTCCTATCTTATTTAATCTTTACTAAATTATCTACTAGTACCTGAGCTCGCACCTATATATAACATCACATGACTATGTTTTCAGAATTGCTAAGTTATATAGGTTTACTCTTCACTATCAGCTTCAGTAGGAATAGAAGGAGAACATTATTTCTTTCAGTGCTATAACTTCTTGCTCCAGGGGTATCAGGGGATCATCTATTTGTAAGCTATGGACATCTTTGGTCATCTCCAGGTAACATTGTGTAGCATTTATCTGAATATATCCAGAGCTCAAGAATCTTAGCAATGGAGCCTCGCTGTGGGCGAAGAGTCTGAGCCTCCGTCTTCGGAAACAGACAACCTTCGTCAGCATGAGGCCAGAAGCTCCTGCACGGCAAGATCGTGTGGAGCAAACTGCAAGCACATACTCTTTATAGCTGCTTGGACTAGTCAATACACTTTGGCACGCCAGCGCAAAGGGAGCAAATGCAATCCCCGCCTGTGCTGCCAGTATGTACTCCCATACTTATACCATACTTATACCCATCCTTCGAATCACTCAAGTGTTCAAATACAGCAAAAGGCCCAGAGAACTCAACAAAAACGAACACCGCTGCGCCGTCTGAGCTAGGCGACCGGGTCACCCGAAAAAATGAATGCGCTGGTCCTTAGGTCAGAAATTCTCGACGCCTCTTAAAGTATCCCCACAGTTCCGATCCAGCGTTTCTGGTGCCTTCCTGTGTTTGATCCGTCCGGGAGGGCGATATGGATTGCCCAAAAAGGAGAAATCTAGAGTTTACTTCCAGCTGCAACCGCGTCAATCACCAGTTCACGAAAGGCAACACTGAGTTTTGTCTGCTTCTGATCATCTCCCTGGACCCCAAAATCGCCCAGCAGACATATTTCCACTTACCGTGCATAGCTCTCTCCCATCTCCCTGGGGATATCTTCCCTGGCTCTATAGAGCAAGGCTTTCCTTATCCTCTCTGGTTCCGGCAATTTTCCGCTACTTGCCACTTTGTCGACCTCTTTCTTGAAGATACTGCTGATCGTCCGCCATAGCGCGATTTCCAGCAGAACTACGCCGAGTGAATAGATATCGTGCTCCGGCTTGAATGAACCTCTTGGTTGCCCCTTGGCGGAGTGGATGCCGATAGAAATTGGGTTCCGCCTCGGTGTCATCATCATTAGCGAGCACAGTTCTACCATCGATATTACGCGCGTAGCCCCAGCCAGCGAGGTATGAGACACGTCGATGACCCTCCAAGGTCTTCACCCAGGCGAAGCATCGATCGAGGGAGATGCATCCGGACCCCGTGGTCTTGCTTCTGACCAAGTATCACGACAGGAAGGGCCATGCTGTTACAAGAGGACAGGGATTCTACCGCATTTCCCCCTTGATCAATGCTGGTGAGACTGCAGGTAATGTCGGAGGTGAGCCCTAATTCCGCTCCTGGAGATAAAACGGCAGTCGACCATAAGAGTTCCAAGGGCGTGGAACCATCCTGTCTGTATCGCTTTGAAAAATGGTATACCTAAATGCACCAGAGCCATGCAGTACTATAGTCGAGTATTGATACATGATTTTTGTCACCTCCAAGGGCAGAAAACCACTCTCGGTGGTCGGGCTAGGATCGGCCCCACCATTAGGGCCAAGGTACAAGGGGCCCCCAGATCTACGACAACCGTGATCGCATGCATGCCCACCTTCGTCTTCTATCTACTTCTTGATACCGCTACAGCGTAAAGATGAACAACGACTCATTCCACTACTTTTCGCAGCTGCCTCTAGAACTACGCCGTCTCATCTGGACGCACTGCCTACCGCATCGTATAGCAGAAGAAGACACCGCCGACTTCCTTCTCGACGGCAACGAATCGCGTCAACCCTGCTGGGCCGACCGCATAACGCACCAAAACGCTCAGCCGCCGGCCATCGCATTCGTCAACAGTGAGTCGCGGCAAGTTGCGCTAGAAGAGGGACGCTGGTTGGACCTGCAAGAGACGACGAGTCTAGAGTCGATCTGGGTGCAGCCGCGTCGGGATGTGCTGCATCTCAACTGGACGCGACTGCGCTACAATGTCTGGGGAAACGCTGACGACCCTTCAAGTCCAATCGCCATGTTCCTGTGGCAGGCGGAGGATCTGGGGATGCAGCCGTCTGTCGTGGCGGAGATCATTCACCCGTTTAGCTTGAAGGCGCTGTTGGATGGCGCGGATGGCGCGGATGCGTCCAACAGCCCGTGGCTTCTCTATCACAACGGAAGAAATAATGACGTGGCGGACATTGCGTATTGCGCGGAAAGTCAAAGCAGGCTAGACATCACCATGGCGGCGGTTTCTCTGCATGTCCCCAGGGAAGCGGCTCTGAGGTCTGGCCTGTTCGGGTTGTTGGGCGATGCCCCTGTTCAGATGGTGGATGTGGGCGACGAGGCTCGGTTGTGGGAATTCCAAGTGTTATTTAGGGAACACGCATCGGAAAAGGAACCGGCCGTGCAGACGCTCTTCGAAGCATTTACTAGTTCTCAATTCAAGACGGCCGTGGAAGCATGGAAAAGACAAGCGGAATGGATCCTCTTCGCGTACATGTGGCAGCGAGCACGAATGGACAACGTCGACATTCTTCGGACGGACCCGGGCTCCGCTTGGGTTCCTTACCTCTCGGAGCAAGAGTTCCTCAGGATGTCTGAGTATTTGCCCGCTGAGGAGCATCCATGGGTCAAGCAAGCTAGGCAGAGCGCCCCAAGCTGCGGCCGCGGATCATGGTGCGATATTGTACGAATGAGTGTTACATAAAAGAGCGACTTCCAAAGAACTTTGGGACTTATTAAATGGTGTATACTGATAGCTATATAAGCAACAGCCCACCACCCTTCGCAGCAGATGGTCATGCTTTACAGGCCTCGGCAAGATGCTTATGGATCTCCTGCGTCTTCGTAATAGCCTCAACATGGCTCTTCGATAGTCCCGCGCTATTGTACTTGGAGACATATTCCCTCACCTCCTTCTCCACCTTGTCGTTAAAACCCGCTCTGCCCTGGTTATTGCTGATGGTCTGGTCCGCGTCAATCTTCCGGTACCCCGGCACCGGCGGCCTCTCTATGGGATCAGTGTACGCGACGGTGAACCCCTTCTTCTCCATGTCCCCTTCAAACGCCTTGATGATCTTCTGCGCCTGATCGTAGCGCCGAGCATCGCCGTGCGTCTTCAGCGCAGCGATCATCTTGTTGACCCGGTCATCGGCCGGCTGCCTGCCGTCAGCTTTGAGCTTGGCAATGGCCTTCACACCAATATCCTCCGCCTCGCTCATGACGTTTTCAAAAGTGTCCTTCTTAATTATTCCAGTCCTTGAAGATATTCTTATTGATAAAGTCGCCCTTGAAGCCCGACCTGTCAAACTCGTCGCTGAAGACATTGAGGTTTTCTCCCTCGCCGACGCGGCCCCAGGGGGAGAAGCAAAGGCACAGGAGAAAAAGTCGTCTTCACACTACTTTCCTGCTGACGCCAAGATCTATCTACTGAGCAAGGATCCAGGGGCCAAGACTTCGAGACTCACGTAGTCAAAACAAGGCGCCCAGCGTGTGGTTTTGCAATTTCCGAACAAAAGCAGTGGACCCTCCTGCATCTAGCACGGGCGTGGGGGGCTGCGGCTCGAACAATGTCAATTGGAACAAGGATATAGTTCGTGGTGTCTTATCTCGATACATCGGCTACTACATAAGATATTAGCTCTGTAGTCCCTATTTACCCTTGTATATACTAGATATATGCCTCACCGTTCTGTATCTAACCGAGAACCCTGAGGTTGATAACCAGAACTGTAAGCAGGATACTCCTATTGCGTCCAGGCTGTCGGCGACAACACTACAAATACAGGTTATGGGTCTGTTCCTTTCCACCGCCTGTCGTTCTGTTGGGGATCAATGCTTATTTGGTACAGTGGCAATAAAAACCCTTGTATCACCATTCCTATTCCTTCCAGCTGTCTGGCAACGGGCCCAGTCACCACCGACACTTCCTGGATGAGGCCAATGTATACTACCAATGCTACCAGTCTGCCAACATCCCTGCTGCTGGCTCTAGGAACTTCCATAAACTGCTCAGCCTACGCTGAGTACATTTATCCTTGGAGGAACACCTCAACAATTAACACATGCTACGTTGTGGCAACCTTCTATGACGGTATGAAATGAGATCATCTGAGTTAAGGGACTGAAAATATTTTGAAAATGATACATCTGACCTACAATGGCAGCGGATGTCAATACCTTTGTTTTGTGGAACCCATCATTATCCCAACCGACTGCCAATTCCAACCAGGCTACCGATACTGTGCCCAATTAACTAAGTCCACTGCTACTATTACAACCCCATAACATCCACTCCAACGACATCTACCCAGCCCGCCACTATTACAGGGCCAAACGATGTACCCACACCATTACCTATCCAGGTGCGTACTGTCCACGAACTAACCCAAACCACAAGCTCCCAGTTGCCCTTGACTAACTGCAATACTACATCCAGACTGGAATGGCAACAAACTGCAACAATTTTTTACCTTGTGCAAACAAATGACAGCTACTACAACATCACCACCGCCAATGGCATCGCGCTACAGATTTCTATTCCTGGAGTCCCTCCCTGAACGGAGACTGCTCCGGCCTGTATCTGGACTACTATGTCTGTGTGGGTTTAGTCTCCGGCAGCACTGTTGCCCTAACTTCCACGACAAGGGCCACAACTACTTCAACGACAGGAACCGGAGGCGCAGTCGTGACGCCTACCCCAACCCAAGCGGGAATGGTGAGCGGCTGCACGAAATTCTATCTCGTCGAAAGCAGCGATGGGTGCTACGACATCGCTGCTGCAGAGGGGATCACACTCTCGAACCCGTTTTCCTGGAACCCCGCTCTAAACGGGGGACTGTTCTGGACTGTGGCCTGATTATTATATATGTGTGGGACGTGGTGATGCTACCGGCTCCAGTACTACCACCACGGCAATGAAAACTACAACAGCAGCAACTACTACTGCGGTGAATGCAACTCCTGTACCAACACAGACGGGTGTGATTTCTGGGTGTAAGACGTTTTATCCGGTCCAGTCCGGTGATGGATGTTATGGCATTGGGACGAAACACGGTATCACTCTGGACCAGTTTTATCAGTATAACCCGGCTGTTGGGAATGATTGTAGCGGGCTGTGTCCGGATTACTATGTTTGCGTGGGCGTGTGTGCGAGGATGGACTGTTTCAAGGCTACTTAGGGCGAACAAATTAAAGATTTGGGGGCAAAAGGAAGGGTTGTAATAATATTACTGAAAACTACATTTCCATATCTGCCCTCTGTTACCTAATAGAAACCCACACACCAAAGGAAATGTTCTCCTGCATCGCAAGAAGCCAGAAGAAAGTCACATATAGCGAGCAGGAGGCGGCCAAATCCCATCTACCACCCCATTTGCATCCTTCGACCGAGCCGCCGCTCTGTGAAGCATCTCTAGCTCAGACGTATGGCGATACGGCCAACGTCTCGCTTCTGGCGGAGAAAGATCTCGCTGCGTAAGGCGAGCAAACAACGTCGGCGCAATATGTTTAATATGCACCTTGAGTGGTCTCGCCGTCTCACCTGGCTCCAAAAGCCAAACAAATGGTCTTGCTTTATCTCGAGATTGTATGGCCTCCTCATCCACATACAGAAAGGCATCTAATCGCAGGCCCTGGGGGAGCTCGCCTCCATCACGCATGGAGAGAAACTGAGATTGAAGAGCAGCAACATTATTATCACCATCATCAGATACATTACTACTCTCCACATAATGAAGAGTAAATTTCGCCATAATCTCCTCATTGATAACCTGAGGCGTAGAATGTAATCCATGATAAACAGCTGTGTTGAACTGCTCCTTGAACGACGGCCACTCGGGCATATTTCTCGGGAAGAAAATCAGAAGCCCACAGATTGCCACCTGGGTTTGAGATAGAACATGCTCCTGCCATGGGACACGTAAAGCAAACCGAATATTCCGGGCATCGTCGTCGCTCAGGGTTTTCGACGCCTCGCTCTGGATGTTTCCCCATCTTTTCATGACGTTACGGGCGCTCTCCTGCGCTCGCTTCATCGCCTCTGTGGTAGCTGCGGCCATGGCTCTCTGCAAGAGTTCGCGATCAGCGGTACTAAGCCGCGCCACTTCATGTAAGAGTCTCTCATTCTGGGCAGAGTCAACCCCAGCGGCTACTATTACAGATTCTTCGTATGTTAAAGAGTCTCCGTTTTCGATGGCCTTTTTGACAAGTTCAGACAGGCTTTGTCCACAGCGCCCACGACAGAGAGCATCCTCCTCTTCTGGCGGAGGGCGGCGGGTGATTATTCTTCGCTGTTTGTCTGTAAGGGAGGAGGGGTCGGTAATAGCTCGATTATAAAGAGTACGAGTGGCTTCATCGAAGGTGATAGGGGTCCTGTCAATGTTGAGTATGACGTCTCCGTCGAACAGTCGAATAGGTATGGACATGCTGACGCTTTCTTATGTAGTGACCGTGTGGTTAGATGTTAAGTTGTCTTGCAAACGGGTCACAGAATAACGAAATTAACAGTTAGCGTATGACCTAACCATGAGCCACCTTTATAAATTAGTTCACTTCCAGATATCAATATATTTCAGCAACCTCTGAGTTAGCATGCTGGCACCCATGCTTCCTATATCTAATGCTTAGGATACTTTTCTTCATCCCCTGTTCATTCACTCAAGCCATTTTCTCAACATGTTTTTCAAGATTTGATTCACATAATACAACTGCAGATTCTGACTGACTTAGTCCATTCACACTTCACACCAATCATCCTACATGATTTCAGTTCTATGCATTCCCAGCACATACGACCATAGGGTGTGGAAAACAGGGCTTCCCGTCCGCTCAGCCGTACTTAAGCCACACGCCGGCCGGTTAGTAGTTGGGTGGGTGACCACCAGCGAATCCCGGCTGTTGTATGTTTTTGTCTTTTTGTTAATATTTTTTGACATTTTGATGGCCTTGACGGAAGTGATGAAGACGGCACATTGTAGAGGAAGTGCAGTCTAGTCCCCTATGAGAGTTTTGTGGGCCAGAAACATGGACCAGCACGTGATGCGTTAACCCTAACGCATCAAGCATCAAGACTTGAGACAATAAACATTGGCGTAGCCAGATACAGGGGGTTGTAGATGGACAGTAGTTGCTTTGGGTGTTAATACTTGCTAGTAAAGTTTCTCCTTGCTATATCCTGTTAATCGTTAACTAGATGGCATGATTGATGGCGGCAAGCGCATCTCCATTAATCATGCCATCTAGTTAACGATTGACTGTATTAGAACTGCCTTGTGCAAGGGGATTCCGGTGGTTTCTCTACTCACATTGGACATATCGAGGCCTATGATAATATCTCCCACGAACGGATACTTTTATAACCTGCATAAGCAGCAGCTTAGACATTTCGTACTGTGGGTGCAGGCCTTCCTGTCAAACCAAAGCGCCAAGTCATATTGCCTCAAGTTTGGCAATTGCGAAATGATAGAACGACGAATATGTTTGTGTCGTCAACTGCTAGGAAGCCAGTGGTATGACCCAGATCGTAGATTTATATAATAGTAGGTGATGTCCAGATATTATTCAACATCGTGTTGAAAGGGATGTTGCACTTCTATTGAGGCCATAGAGATCTATAAGGTGCCTGCCCCATGTAACTTTGACTGTCAGCTATCCCAAAAGTTTCAGCAACCTCACTCTTGTACTATATGAGATTACAATGCTCTTCAGAATCTAAGCACTCATCCATTGGGGCTTCATAACATAGGGTACAAGTACTGCGGATCCGTCTTTGTTGATAATGAATCTGGAGTCTATACCGGTTCGACTCATTTCTGGACCCTCAAATAGTGTGAAGCTCAGCTCATCTCTGCTTTAGTCTCGTATTGATATCAAACTCACCTCACTGTTCTCTGTCTTCAGCATTAGAGTAGACCACCTCTCAGATCTTGCTCCCCACTCCAAGCCTGCATTTTACCATCCCCTAATATCTTTACCTCTGTCCTGTCTCTTGACAAATCCATATCTCGTCACCCGCCCTCCCTAAGTCATCCCCATCCCTCTACCATTCCTACCCGTGTATATTAGACATTTTGGCATTCTTCACGTACACTCTCGACCAGCGCACCCTGAACCCCATAGACCATGGCCAGTGTCCGAGTCAGACCAGGACTACATATGAAGAGCGCATCAAGCTGGCACAGGCGCAGGATGCGGCGCCTCAAGGGCAGGCACAGATTGGCAATCCGTCAGCGTTGCCGCCAGGTCCTCCTGCCGACGCCACAGGGCTGTAAGTACCCGTGGATTCACTGATTCGCACAACATGAGCTGATTGATAGCAGTTCGAGTCATTGGTGGTGTTGAGAGGAACCGCGCCGGCTCAAGATTTCTAACCAGCGAGCATCTGTTCCGGCGAGTGTGAGACAGGTGTGCTATGATCTTGGCTGTCCTTAATTGAGGATCGATAAGCGCGCCTTTCAAGCGATGCAGGAGGCTGGGGAATGTTTTCTCAACAGAGAGTTCAAATGTGAGATAGTCTCGACCTGATATGCAGTAATCAATGTCATAATCTGATCTGATGATGATAGTGGCCGAGTCTGCCAAAAAGCACGGTCATCTGGAGGTTGAGGTGGAAGATATGCGGTTTGCAAGGATGGCAAGACAATTGTTCATTTAAACAATCAGGCAGCACAGGCTCGAGTCATAGGCCTGTCATACTGAATTGCTGGGATTCTTTCTCACGATGGACTCCTCAACAAAGGTGTTGGAGAAGATTGAATACTTCGGTGAAGTTGATTGGATGGTTTGACCCTCGGCGATAAGATGGATAAACAACTCCGAATCGGAAAGTTGCGGTCTTTCGGCAGCAGTTAGCCTGAGGTGCCAACCATCTCTGACTCAAAACTCTATGCATGACAAATGAATCTTAATCCTTTCTCACATATAGCACGTTAATTTCTTTTCCTTCCCTTATTTCATCATTTCTTTAGAACCTCATAGAGTTTTCCATGCCATAATTTGATCCTTGGTGACCTCTATTGCTGACCTGAAACAAAATCGTGTTGCGCCTTATCGTCGGTCTTTTGCGCAACTTTCTTATCGCCCTTGTCGATTCAAATCGCCAATCGATCCACGATTGCTTTTGCTTATCGCACATATACGGATTATAGACTGAGATATCACCTATCCCACCGCCTCTCATGGGTCATCTTTTGCAACATGGAAGGGCGACTGTGCGGCAGTTGAGCAGAACACGGCCACAACGATCGCAACTAAGGCACCACTCCTCCGAGGCGTCACCTAATCCTGCCCCTGAGAAGAACAGCACATCAGCAAACGCTTCGCGATCGAGTGCTCCACCGTCATCCACATCGTCATGCTCCCCGAATAACAGTTCGCCCGGAAGCACACCTTCAGCTGCCTCCACCCCCGCCCGCTCGAGTTCGCGAACGTTCTTCCAGGCCATCCAGGCAGGACCAATTGGTAGATTGGCTGAATCATACGCCAGAGTACAACAAAGGAGACCTTACGCGACGCAGGTTGTCAGCTCTATTGTGATATATCTATGCGGCGACCTGAGTGCGCAGTTGTTGTTCCCCTCTGACAGCCCGGCGCAAACATCACGGGCTGCTTCTGAAGGGAAGCCTGCGGACTCGGCTGAAGATGGCGAGGATAAGGCTGCTTCGAGTGGAGGATACGATCCTCTGAGAACTATGCGACATTTGACGGTTGGTGTGGGATCTGCCATTCCGTCCTATAACTGGTAAGTATTGTCCTACCGATGGCCCTTAGTACATCTTGCTGATGCGATCACCTTCACTAGGTTCATGTTCCTCCACAACAACTTCAACTTTCAGTCCAAATTCCTTTCCATCCTCACCAAGGTCTCCGTACAACAAGCGGTCTTCACACCCGTTTTCAATACGTACTTCTTCAGCGTACATTCCCTTCTCGCTGGCGCATCCCTGGAAGAGACATTCGAGCGCTTGAAGGTCGCTCTGCCCGTCAGTATATCGAATAGCGTTAAACTTTGGCCTGCCGTCACGGCCTTCAGCTTCATGTACGTGTCTCCGCCTTTCCGGAGCATCTTCGCCGGTGTCATCGCCGTCGGCTGGCAGACCTATCTCAGTTGGTTAAATCAGAAGGCTGCCAGAGAGGTCGAGGCGGAAATGGCCGAGCCGGACCATTCGTCTCATGTGCTGGTTTCTGGCAGTATCAGCCCTTCGACAACGATAAAAGCATGAGGCACCTTTCCATGACTGCGTTTTTTATACCCTTTCCTTTGCATATTCTAGACTCGCAGGCGCGATTGATTTGAATAGGCGGTGGATTGTCCTGCCTTCTTGAGCGGTGCATTTTCGACGAGTACATAGACCAGAACTATTCTCATACATTATACCCCAATACAAGAACAAACCTCTCAGTGATCATTACAAAGATTCACTTAAGCGGACATAAGAATGTGAATTGCAGACTTTGCTATTTCGATATCAAAAATTGCGCTAAGAACTGCAAGCAATTTCTGATACCGTAAATGACGTTGGCGGAGTGACTTTACGATAAGAACTCGATCAGAGATCAGATCCTCTTCTTCCCACCACACATGACATGAATTTATTACCATCATCACGGGCATGTCCTGCCCTCCGACATCCTACATTGTAATGCCAGGCGATTTCGACAATAGCAGCGACTACGGATCCGACTTTACCCCGGATGAAGAAGAACTGCTGAACGATCTGCTCGCCAAAGTCGCCACAGAACACGCGACCGCCCAGGCTTCTGCTACCGCGACGGCGACAGCGGCGGCAACGACAACGACAGCCTCGAAAACCGTACAGGCAACCGTCACTGCCGTCGCTGATGTTGAAGATTATGCTGAAAGTCCAGCAAGTCAACGAGTGCCTAACGTGCTGGGCCGTGAAAAGCCCGGTTTTCTATGGCGGAAGCGCAACACCTGGCAGGTCTCGACGTCTGCTGGGGCAAGGGCAGATCAGATCTCGGGCCACGTTTGCGCCGCGTCTGGTGAGGATTATTTCTTGATTCCTTGCAATTTTCTTTGTGTCTTTTCGTGTAATGAGGCTGAGTAGGCGGCTGACGGTTGATTTCAAGCGTTTAGTGGAGCATCCGGATTCCATCGAAGGCCGCGAAAGACAACGCGAGAGAGACGTAGCCCGTGAACGGGAATCGATCGGTGACTCGAGAACGAGTCCAGCGCCTGACCTTCGATCACCTATTGAGCGATTCAGAAAGCCACCCAACAAGGCCTTTTCCGTTACGGATCTGATCTCTCCTGCATGGTGCGAGCTACAGTACTGGTATACCTTGACCAAGCATGGGAGAAAAAGGAGAACGCCTGCTATGAAGCAGGGGAGTACTATTCACAAAACTCTCGAGGATGAGGTACACACGACTGTTCCTGTGGAAATCACAACCAAGGAAGATGCGTTGGCCTTGAGGCTGTGGAATGTCGTACAAGGCTTACGGACACTGCGAGAATATGGTCTCACTCGGGAGCTAGAGGTCTGGGGTCTTGTGGATGGTGAGCTGGTTAATGGAGTCATTGACCAGCTCTCGTATGAGTGTCCGGACCCCGAGCTTGAGGCGACAGCCCCCAAATACTACGCCGATGTGGAGGCCTCGAGGGCGGTAATGCCCGAGTATCAGATGTCTCTGACAGATTACCTGCTAGCTCCCTCACAGGGCGGGAAGAGGCTGTCAGAAATGACGTGGAAGGATGAGCCTGATGAGCCTGTCGAGGATGCTCCCAGCACCCAATTGTCCGAAGCCGTCAACATCCCTCGAGTCTATCTCACGGACATCAAAACGCGAGCCAGCGGCTCCGTACCCACCGTCAAGAGCACGTCGTTTCGACCCACGCTGCTCCAGCTCCAAATTTACTACCACATGCTGAACCGTCTCACCACCACCGATGAGGTGTCCATCGAGACGCTCGCCTCTCGCTACGACTTAGATCCCAATCGTACTTTCACCGACGCTTTTATCGCCGAAGTTGGCGGCCTGAATGATCAATTCTTCGACGCTCTTTCAGGCTCCGAATTCGATCCAGACTTCATCCCCTCTCCGGAAGATGCGGCACGCAGACCGTCCATCCGGTCACCGGGATCCCTCCCCTCCGCAAGCCAGGACTCAACCAGTATCCTCCTCGAACACAATAACCTGTCCAGTCTCTGGAAATTTATGAAAGACCAACTTCGCCTTACTTTCCTTCCCTCGCCGCAACCTTCCGTCTCCGTTGCGCCCTCTATCCCCTCGGAATTCCAGCCGAGCATGCTGGAACCATATCCCACGATCATATCTCCTCTCCTGACAGCTCGCTATCTCTCTTCCGCACCCACGGCAGACCTCCACACCCGTGTCCTGGGCAGCCGTAGCTTTCTTTTCGATCCAACCTCCATGTCATCCTATCTCTCCGATCAGATGGACTGGTGGCGCGGTAATCGTGGCCCGCGCGGCGTCGAGATCATGGAAGCATGGAAGTGCCGCATATGCGAGTTCCGCGAGGAATGCTCCTGGCGACAGGAGCGGGAATGGAGCATGGCGAGACGGAAAAGGGGCCAGAAGAGTCTGGGTGCTGTGTGAATCATACAGTGTGCAGCTCTACTTGGATTTTGGTGACATCTGGCATAGACTTGCATTTGGAGTACGTTCTCTGCTGGGCCTGTTTAGCGATAGATTACTAGAATAAGTGTATATAGCATCACTAATAAAATATTTCATGGAGCGTATCAAATACGGCAGTATTCAAGAAATGCAGATGGGCCGTAAGGTAACATCTATTAAAAGAATCAAAAAGGATAACTTCGAACCTCATCCTCCTTGTCCAAATCCAGGCCCGCAGCGACCTGCTCCGCATGCTTCTGATCCAGATACTCCAGCAGCACCTCCTCGTACTTCTCCCGCCCCTTGTACCGCGACACATCCGCATCCCAACTCCGAATTGCAGACGCAAGCCGACCAGGCACATACGGCTCCTTGGCAATCTCCGTGATCGGCTCAAAGTACGTCCGGATCGTAAACACCACCGCCCCGGACCGCGGCAGCCGGCGCAGACTCTGCCTCTCCGACCGGAAGTAATGATGCTCGATGGCCTTGTTCTTCTGCGCGGTGTTCCACGAGACGACGGGCGCGTCCTCGGAGCCGATACTATGCGACCAGGCGAGCCCGTCGTCAACCTGGATGAAGTAGTTGTTGCGGAGTACGGGGTCTTCAGGCCGAATGCGGCGGAAGAAGTTCATCATGCCCTTTTCGAGCTTCGTTCGGAAGCCCGGGACGTCGCCCGAGGTGTGGATTTCGGAGAGGTGCATCCCGAATTTGTCTTCGAGGCGCCAGAACCCGGCGAGCAGGATCGCGCCCGCGAGCAGGTAGTACTCGCCGTCTGGCTTTTCGAACATGAGCGCCAGGTCGTCTTGGATGAGCCGCGCGCAGGTCGTCATGGGGTCTTCGGGGAGGGGGCGCTGGGTGATGTTGAATGATTCGCCGGTGATGGTGTTGGCCATGCCTGTTGCGGTTCTGCGGAACATGGAGGGGTATCTTTCGGGGAGGTAGGAGGTACTATATTGTATTAAATTGTAAGGTTGCGTTATGCTGTCTGGGTAAAGGGTGTTGGCACGCACAGCTCTTCCAGCAGCTCAATCGCACCGTCCATCGCCTCCGGTGCGGTCCTGCAGCATTTCGCTCCCCTCTCCTTGATGCGACGTGCTTTGTCGGCATGATACCGTAGGTAGTGATTGTCCAGCTCTAGAGCTTCTGTCAGCGTCTATGAGGCCATGGGTTTGATATGGGGAGATGTCTTACCGATCCATTCATCCCACTTCATGCTTCTCAACCCCATAGTGATGAAATACTTCCTGTGTTCATCAGCCGTGGGAATCTAGGACTACATCCGAGGCGACTCACGGGCCATATCTGAATGGTCGATATGGGATCGGCTTGGTCGCATGGACATCCCAGTCTGGATATGGAGAGGCGGTCGGCCTCTTGAAGTCTGAGGGTATCCATTCTGCAGAGAGACAGTGAGTGTGAGTCAAGAGCTTCGAATGTCTACAGACGTGTCTTACCTCCGGGTTTTCTGTTTGGCTTTTGAATCAGTGATGTCGAAGACGATTTCCTCCCGAGATCTTGAGCTGATGCTGATCTTCTGTCGCTTCCTTTCTTCGGGAAGCGAAGCACAGAAGTAGCAAGCCAGATCAAGGTTGCTACCAAACATAGAGATGCTGCATGTTTGACGTGAAGCTGGCCGAGTTGCACAAGTTCAGGAAGCATGATTTCATTTCTCTTCTAAAAGTTCAAGAGGAGGGGAAACTTGAATTCCTATGTGACCGTGTATCACAGAGACAATTGTTATTATATGAAGACGAGACAACTGAACAGATAAAGAGTCCCCCGCCACTCCATATTCGTATGCACATTGTCCAGCTCAATAAAGGCGACTCGCTTGACAGTACAAGGATGATTTCCATTTGCGTTAATCCGATGCGACCATCAACTGGCCAAACACAGAGCTTGTCCGTAAACTGTAAGTCTGCACGGGTGTCATCCGTGCGGAGAGATATCTTATCTCTATTTGCCTTCAGGGTTGGGGTCACGCAAGGGATTTCTTATCCAAATCAGGTAAGGTCATAGTGCCGCCTGTGGTTCTCTTGACCACGCGGTGTCTCGCCTGCGAGATCGCATTTGGTGCACGAACTTGGGTAATGGCTCGAGAATTATGTACACTAAAAAGAGATAGTGGTGATATCAGGCCGTCTACTTTAACTCTGATTTGGCGTTCCGCCGACGGAGAAGACAGTATTGCCCCCAGCTTCTGCGGAAACGAGCCGGCAACATAGGGAAATCAGGAACCCAAATCAACCGACCTAGCGCGCTTGACTGGGACGTGTCAAGGAAGTCCTTGCAGGTTATTGTCTCCCATTCTGATTCATCATGCACATAGTCAGGCTCAAGTTCCGTGGCAGCTCGTCCTGGGAAGGATGAGTCCACCAAATATGAGCACCGAGAGATATCGACCTGGTTCGTGTCAGCTTCGGAATAAAGTTAAGATGCGACAATCGTCACTCACGTATTTACTAAGATCTTCTTCATTCCGATCGTTCATACCGGCAGGGATTTGCGAGGTGCCTTGTATGAGACCCGAATAGCTTGGGGCATCCGGAAATTCGCCAGGAAGCAATCCTCGAAATTCACTCTTGACAAATTTCGCACGCATTCCGTTTGGAAGAAAGTATGATGATGGGAATCGATACCACTCTTTGCCGAAGCACACAAAGCCACCGGATTGTGCCGTTTCCAACTGTTGCAGCGGCTCCATCACCTTTAGGGGTGCATTGTACGCCGTGATCATACCAAGAGTTCGCAGTAGGCCGGCATTAATAGCCATAAGAATTACAGCCATCACCATGGTCAGTTTGACCTTCGGTGACAATCGTCCAATGATCTCTTTGGGGTTACTTGACCCGACGTAAGAGAGGATCATGTGAAAGGAGATGGCTGCATTGAGTGCAAGGAAAGGGTAGGCGGGATACATGAACCTCTCCTCTTTGTGAGGCTGGACAGTGAAGATGGCCAACCACATATAAAATGGCGTCACCAGAGTGACGGTCCGTAAGAGAGTTTGGACATTGGTGGCTTGAGAACGGAATATAGCCTGAAGAACAAGTATCGGCGTAGCAGCCACGGCCAATACAAACCATATATTGAAGTTCAAAAGCAGATTTTTGATGTAGAACGTCCACGGCTCTGTACCGAAAATATCAGGCCCCGGCCTTCGCCTCCGAAGACGTTATAAGCGACAATATTCCACGGCACAACGGCGAATTTTTGGAAAAATAAGTAGTCGACCGCGATTTCGAGACCCTGTATCAGTTAGCGAGAATCACAGAAGGAGTAACCGCAAGAAACGCACCAGAATAGCGAGACATCTCATAATGCCCTTGAATATACCCACAAACAAACTTCCAAGAGAGCCGGCGATGAAGCTGATGGCGGCCTCCTCAAGGAGAAGAGGAATGATCAGAGCTCCAGCAAATGGCCAGCCCATGATTGCTCCGAGACCAAACCACATAATGCCCTGCGCCGTCTTCTGGCCACCCCTCCAATCCAGAAAAGATGCAAGACCTAGCATAGAAGTATACATGGTAAAACTAGATGGTAAGAAAGCTGCAGAGGCATGAAACATGCCCGGACTGAAAGCGACAGTGATCAGGAAGAGGAGGCCGATTCTGGGGTTCAATGTCCGACAGATTGCTGAGTATAGTTTCGTCTCGCAGGCGGCGCAGACTGCTGCCAGAACGAACCGTATAGCATAGAATTCGGATGTCTTATTACTCGAGAAGATCGACACTATTTTGCCAACCACAGCATGGGCAGAAACGTAGAGCCAGCTTCGAATTGAATAGGCGGGAGAATACTCCCACGTTTGCAGCCCGTACCCGTGGTCCAGGTAGTGCGCGGGTTCCCAGAAATTGAAGACTTCATCGCAGTCTTGTATCGGAGCGAGTGCCGCAGCGACGAAATTGGAAATAAGGAACACATATAGTGTGACGTTCAAAGGGAGATAGAAAGGAACTGGCCGGGAGCTGCGAGGAGCACGGATTGTTAGCTGAAACGCGGGAGATGCCATGTAGGTTGAGATACCGTCGCTTCGTCCTTTGAGAGCCACTTGTTGACTGGGTCTCCTTTCTGGCCGGAGCCATGTTGATTGTTCTCTTATTCGAAGAAGAACTATCAAACCTGGATGCTTGTTGATGGACTTCGCTACTCCGTAACTCCAGTACTAATATTGTGGTTGGCAATGGACAAATCATGAGAACGGACACGATAAACGATAACGGAGCTTGTTCGGCGGCCGCAGCGGCACTTTTGGCAGATCCAAAAAAAAGTGCTCCCGTGAAGTACAATCAGTTTCTTCACAAAACTACCTTGTTCAATCATCGCTTAGGATTTATTTTTTTACAGCATTCTGAGGCTTACAATGGCTGAACAGAAGCTCTCCGAACATGTTGCAGGTGCTTCAGATATCATCGATGAAGGCCCTTCGGCGAAACGGCCCTGCGTGAAGGATACGCCACCCATCGCATCGACGCCCGTGGACGATGGCAGCGATTTCTACAATACTCCCTGGACGGCACGAACACCAGTGGATAATAGCAGTGAGAACAAAGTTACTACGGACACGGATATGACTAGCGAGCCGGCAACATCATCCAAACCCGCTCCTTTAATACCAGGATTGAGTCTCATCAATGACAGTCTTCAAGACCCGCAACCCGCGAAAGAGGAGTCTGCTCCATCACAGGACATGCATAACGAAATGGCCCACGAAATGACTAGTTGGAAGGAAGTAACGGAGAAGGATACACAGAATGCGACGCAGACAACAGACCAGGTACAGACGGCGCCAGCTTCTGAAGACGCACAGCCGATGGATGTAGAACCACGCAAGCAACAGCCTGAGCAGGATGAAGCGAAAAATCAGCCCGCAGAGGAACCTCGTGTTGATGAGAATAGTACAAATGATGCAGCTCCGGGTGCTTTGCAAGATCGTGAAGCTGAAGAGGAGGAAGAGGAGCATCCCGAATGGGAGATTGATTCTTCGCCATATGAATCATCGTCTGACGATTCTACCACCGATTCTTCTGATGATAGCGATGACGACGACGAAGACTATCCGATTCTCTCGGCCGAGGAAACGGCACGGATTCTGATGATGGCAGAAAATGGCTCTGATGATGAGGGAGAAGGAAAGGGTAGATCAGGCGGCAACCTGAGGACCGCAAACGAAATACCGGAGGAAGCCCCTCCAATCCCAGAAATTACTGTCACGCCTGACATGAAGATTGTGCATCTGGGACATGTGGAATCCATCGTTGAAAACACCCTTCTTATCGCAGCCAACGTTTCCGGAGAATACCAAGTGCTCGAGTCAGGATCTCTGCTCTGCCTTGAAGATCGAACAGTTGTTGGCGTTGTATCCGAGACTTTGGGACGGGTTGAGAATCCATTGTATGCAGTTCGATTCCCCAGTGCTGCCGCTATCGAGGAGCATGGTCTCTCCAAGGGGAAGAATGTGTACTACGTTGAGGCTCATTCGACATTCGTCTTCACTCAGCCTCTGAAAGGATTGAAGGGAAGCGACGCATCGAACTTCCATGACGAAGAAGTTGGCGAGGATGAGATAGAATTCTCCGATGACGAAGCAGAGGCCGAGTACAAGCGGAGATTGAAGCACAAGCGACAGGAGCGCAAGGAAGCCAGGAATGAAAACGGCGGGCCATCTAGGGCAGGAAAGGACCTCCTGGTCCTTCGAAACTTAGCCAGACTGAGCTCAACTACGACGATTCCCCGGCAGCCGAAGACGGCTACACTCCGCTTGCTCGCCCGAAGAACCTGCATGAAATGATGAGTCAACAGGAGACGCCTGTCGAGGGCGAGGGATCTTCGAGGAGTCCTGCTTTCCGTGGTGGTAGGGGTCGGGGTAGAGGCTCCGATCGTGGACGAGGCAACCGTGGCCGTGGTCCAGGAGGCTCAAGAGAAACTCGTGAGCATAGCTCATACCACGACCGTCCGTCTTACTCTCAGCAGCAGAGACCGTTCGATGCCCAGGTTCAACCCTCCAACTATAACCAGCAGCCGAGCTATCCTCCGGCTCAGCAGAATGTCTATGGCATGCCTCAGCAATTTTCTCCATTCCAACCTTTTGCTCAGCAGCCTCAGCAAGCATTTCCTCAAGGCGCTTCACCGACCCAATTCAACTTCCAAATGCCTTTCCAACAAGCTTATCAGCAGCCGAATCCCTACCAAAATTTCCCTGCCATCAACCCTCTATTTTTAGCTGCAATGCAACAGCAGCAGCAGCAGCAGCAGCAACAACAACAACAACAGCAGCCACAACAACATACGTCCGGACAACCTCAGGTGCCGAATCCTACTATGAATTTCGATCAGGTCAAGGCTCAATTGGATCTTTTGCGACAGCTGAGCAACGCGAATCAGGGGCCGCCGCGCTCATAATAATTTGATCCTCTACCGCTTCTTATTCTTCTTGGGCTATGGACGGTATCAGGGTTTGCATAATGAATTTTGCATTGGGTTGGGATTCAAAAGTTACCTTATAAAATTGTTTGTTCCTTGGGTGTTTGTCGAATGTACAGGACGGTTGCTCTGGATGGTTATAGCTCATCATGATGTTGCTTTACTTCTAAATTACAATGCTTTCAATAGATCACATCTCTGTCATGGGTGCCTTCGAAAGAAGACTAGAATCGATAGCTTCAGCCGTTTACACTTCCTTGGGCTTCGCACTTTTTGCCAAAACCCAAAAATTCTCCATCTTTGCTCGAGCCAAAACGTCCTTCGCTTGCGAGTCTGTCTCACAAACACGAGCACCCAACCATTTCCTGAATGAACGAGCTTTAGCTTGGCCTTCCCATAGGAGGCTGCATGTGTTGGAGCTGAGATCCTTCAATGCGCCGGTTTTCTCGTCTTCTGCTGACAGCCACGAGGCAGAGGCTTCGCGATTGCCTTCTCGCACCCCGTTTGGCCCCGCGTTCTCTGTCCAGTCAATCCGATTCAACATTAATTTCCTGTAATTGGTGATAGAGTGGGCACCTCCCTCTACAATGACCAGATTGAACCGAGGGTGCATGATGCAGACGCCAGTGAGCGCGTTCTGTTCGGCATTCTTGCTGACTTTAAAACGATGGCGCCCATTTGCAAGACTGTCAATTCGGTATACGGAGACATAGATACCCATTTCAGCATCTTTCTCCTGTTGCTGGGCAATTTTCTCTCGCCTTTGCTCCTTTGTCAATTTCCGAGCCTCATTTGTAGTCTCGTGCTTTTCGCGACGCTCTGCAATCTCTCGGGTCACACGTGCCTCGACTGCAGTAGGGTCTTTGACAGCCTCTTCGCCCAGAACCCGCATGAGATTAGATTTCTTGACCTTTGGCGGAGGAGCCGGTTCGAGACCCAATCGGATCTTCGCTTGTTGCTCTTTGAGATCGGCCATTCGTCGCTGACGCCGAATCTTTGCCTGTTCCTTCGGTGTAAGATACATCGGCTTTTGTCCTGGCATATGCTTCTCTTGAGGAGGCTCGAGAAGAACCGGATGCTGCACGTAGGGAGTGACGATAGAATCAGGTGTGTCGATCTTGAGATTGCGTTCGTCATCGATAGCAGAGTAATCGTTGCCATTCACCAAACCCTCGTCCCACCATTCGATGGCCGGAGGCGCAGGCACAAGAAATGCTTTCTCGACATCCAGATCCTCATCAATACCAGCCTGTCGTGCTCTTTCTGCGATGCGCCTTTTCATATCCTCCAGTAGGGCTTGCCGACGTAGAGCTGCCGCCTGCTGGATGTATTTGCCCTTCTGATTGAATATCAGTTGCCGGGATTGTCTCGGCTTCGCGATAGTAGCTTTAGGACCGAGGCTTGGATCAAAGTAGGGATTACTCTTGATCTCTTCGAGCGAAGGCCCTGACAAATCGAGTCCAGCCCGATCCTTCGTGCCAGGCAGTGGAGAGTCAGTCCGATGGCCTGTCCCGAACTTGGACTGAGCTGACTGCCGTCCTTTACCACTTCGAAACTCTGTAGTGTCTGAGAGAAGCGCAGGATGAAGGCCAACATCCAGGCCGCCGCGGGCCCGTGACGGACCATCGTCGTCGTCGAAGGGAGGAGGTGGTGGAGGTGGAACAGGAGTCCGTTGCTGAGCAGCCGCGTTGGCACGTCCGGTAGCTGCTGCAACTCTCGCTTTCATTTGTTCTAGCTTCGACATTGCTGAGGTAGCGGGAGGAGGAGTAGGACTTGGGTTTTGAGCTGCTGGTGTGAGCGCTGGAGCTCCGCCTCTGGCGGCCTGAAGTCTGGCGCGCACGGCCTCTGCCTTCGCTCTCGCTTCCGCCACCATCTTCTCGATGTCCACCTTGCCGGCGGCAGCGTTGCCTCCTTGAGCTGGCAACGGCGAGCCATCGTTGGAACGAGTTCTTTTCTGTGCGTTATTGTCTTCATCCTCGGGACGAGGCCGCTTCAGCATGTTGCCAGACACGTCCGCCATGACTCAACCAGACTAACCACGGTCCACTCACCCACGAATGACAGAGGAATGATATATGAGAGCTGACAAGACGAACGTCACAACTCCCGGAATGTAGCTACTTGGACAGGGAGGTGGTACAGGTAGAATGGATGGACGGTAGTGGATAATTATGATGCGGAACAAATCAATCGTAGATCACGGGGTGAGCATGAGTGGACCGCTTGGCGGTAGGGCACGGCAGAAAAAAGTTCTTGGAGTCAACTTTTTTGCAGCATCACCGCCGAACGAATCCGCCATTTATTTCTCAAGGCCAGCAGCCAAAGAAAATCGCACTGCCAGCGATTTCTGTCGCTCAAGGAGCTGCAGGTAATCATGGCGACGTTCGCACGGCCTGTGGCCTCGTCAATTTCGGGTATTGAATTCGGAGTCTATTCGGATGAAGATATCAAGTCCATTTCCGTAAAGCGAATTCACAATACCCCGACTTTGGATTCTTTTAATAATCCTGTCCCTGGTGGTTTATACGATCCGGCTCTGGGTGCTTGGGGAGATCATGTGTAAGTCCAACACTTATGCTCCTTCTACGAGACCTTTCGCTGGTTATCGCTACTTCGGACTTCTTTTTCGCTGACCGCATTTAGCTGCACGACCTGCCGTCAGAATTCGTGGTCTTGTACTGGCCATCCTGGACATATTGAGCTTCCTGTTCGCGTTTACAATGTCACTTTCTTCGATCAGTTATACCGACTACTTAGAGCGCAATGTGTCTACTGCCATCGTTTCCAAATGGCCCGAGTTCAGATCAACGCCTATGTGTGCAAGCTACGACTCCTACAATACGGACTAGTCGACGAAGTTGAGGCCATAGAGGCGATGGGGACTGGTCAAGGAAACAAGAAGAAGTCTGCAAAGGACGCCGAGGATTCAGGCAGCGAGGAAGAAGACGATGATGACCTCGTCGCTCGCAGGAATGCATACGTCAAGAAGGTGATTCGGGAGGCACATGCGACCGGCAGACTGAAGGGTATTATGTCTGGTGCGAAGAATCCCATGGCTGCGGAGCAGAGACGCACTTTGGTCAAGCAGTTCTTCAAGGATCTCGTCGGCATCAAAAAATGCTGCAGCTGCAGCGGGTATGTTATGTCGTTATCACTCTTCCCATGCTATTTTGCTGATGATGGGCAAAAGAATTTCACCCAGTTACCGGAGAGATCGTTTTTCGAAGATTTTCCGAAAGCCTCTGCCCGAGAAGTCCAGATTAGCTATGGTACAGGCCGGATTCCAAGCGCCGAACTCCCTCATTCTTCTCCAGCAGGCCAAGAAGTTTGATATGAAGGCAAAAGAGTCCATGGCCAATGGCATTTCTGATACGGCTAGTGCAGCTTCTGAATCACATGGCGCTGAGGAAGAAGTCGCTCGCGGCAATGCCGTCGTTGCACAAGCCGAAAGCAAGAAGTCAGCAGCTGGCGATGCTGGACAATATATGCCTTCGCCAGAAGTGCATGCTGCCATGGTACTGCTCTTCGAGAAGGAGAAAGAGATTCTGAGCCTTATATACAACTCTCGGCCGCTTCCCAAAAAGGAAGCTAAAGTCAGCCCGGACATGTTCTTTATCAAGAACATCTTGGTGCCACCGAATAAATATCGACCAGCTGCCCCTCAAGGACCCGGTGAGATTATGGAAGCACAACAAAACACCCCGTTCACCCAAATTCTGAAGAACTGTGACATCATCAATCAGATCAGCAAGGAAAGACAGAATGCTGGTGCCGATTCAGTCACTCGAATGCGTGATTACCGCGACCTCCTTCATGCTATCGTACAGCTCCAAGATACTGTCAACGGGTTGATTGACAAGGAGAGAGGGGCATCGGGCCCGGCAGCAGGCCAGGCCGCCAACGGTATCAAGCAGATCTTGGAAAAGAAGGAGGGTCTGTTCAGAAAGAACATGATGGGCAAACGTGTCAATTTTGCTGCTCGGAGTGTCATTTCTCCCGATCCCAATATTGAAACGAACGAGATTGGTGTTCCACTGGTCTTCGCGAAAAAGCTCACTTATCCAGAGCCTGTGACGAATCACAACTTCTGGGAAATGAAGCAGGCAGTCATCAATGGTCCAGACAAATATCCGGGTGCCACTGCGATTGAAAACGAATTGGGCCAAGTGACCAACCTGAAATTCAAGAGTCTTGATGAGCGAACAGCTTTGGCCAATCAGTTACTGGCACCGTCGAATTGGCGTATGAAGGGAGCACGTAACAAGAAGGTCTACCGTCACCTTACCACTGGTGATGTCGTCCTCATGAACCGCCAGCCTACGCTTCACAAACCGTCCATCATGGGTCATAAGGCTCGTGTGCTGGCAAATGAGAGAGTCATTCGGATGCACTACGCTAATTGTAACACCTACAATGCCGACTTCGATGGTGACGAAATGAATATGCATTTCCCTCAAAACGAACTTGCTCGAGCTGAAGCTATGATGCTTGCAGATGCCGACCACCAGTATCTTGTGGCGACATCTGGCAAGCCTTTGAGAGGTTTGATTCAAGATCACATCTCGATGGGAACGTGGTTCACATGTCGAGACGCGTTTTTCGACGAGGAGGATTATCATGAGTTGCTCTACAGCTGTCTCAGACCTGAGAACTCTCATACAATCACAGAACGGATTCAGCTTGTGGAGCCTACTCTGTTGAAACCGAAGCGTCTCTGGACTGGAAAGCAAGTGATTACGACAATTCTCAAAAACATCATGCCTCCGGGAAGAGCGGGTCTCAACCTGAAGAGCAAGTCTTCCACTCCTGGAGACCGATGGGGCGAGGGCAATGAGGAAGGCACTGTAATCTTCAAAGACGGCGAGATGCTGTGTGGTATTCTCGACAAGAAGCAAATCGGCCCTACGGCTGGCGGTCTTATCGATGCCATCCATGAGGTCTACGGCCACACCATTGCCGGACGGCTGATCAGTATTCTCGGACGGCTCTTGACAAGATATCTGAACATGCGTGCATTCACTTGCGGTATCGATGATCTTCGATTGACCAAGGAAGGTGATCGTCTCCGTAAAGAGAAGCTTAGTCAAGCTGCCAGCATCGGTCGGGAGGTCGCTCTTAAGTACGTGACCCTGGACCAAACCACAGTCCCTGATCAAGATGCCGAACTGCGCCGAAGATTGGAAGACGTTCTTCGGGACGATGATAAGCAAAGTGGTTTGGATAGTGTCTCGAACGCTCGGACGGCTAAGCTCTCTACCGAGATCACTCAGGCCTGCCTTCCAAATGGCTTGGCCAAGCCTTTCCCGTGGAATCAGATGCAGTCTATGACTATTTCTGGAGCTAAGGGTTCAGGTGTCAACGCGAACCTGATTTCTTGCAACCTGGGACAACAGGTTTTGGAAGGTCGACGTGTACCTGTTATGATCAGTGGCAAGACGTTGCCGTCCTTCAGGGCCTTTGATACTCACCCTATGGCCGGTGGTTATGTCTGCGGCCGTTTCTTGACTGGCATCAAGCCTCAGGAGTACTACTTCCATGCTATGGCCGGTCGAGAAGGTCTTATTGATACTGCCGTCAAAACTTCTAGATCTGGATATCTGCAGCGTTGTCTGATCAAGGGTATGGAAGGTCTGAGAGCCGAGTACGATACATCTGTCCGCGAGTCTTCAGACGGTTCCATCGTTCAATTCTTGTACGGAGAGGATGGACTTGATATCACAAAGCAAGTGCACCTCAAGGACTTCGATTTCCTGACTTCGAATTATGTCTCTATCATGCAGTCTGTCAACCTTACAAGCGACTTCCATAACCTGGAGAAGGATGAGGTGACAGCCTGGCACAAGGATGCCATGAAGAAGGTCCGCAAGACAGGAAAGGTCGACGCTATGGACCCGGTGCTGTCTGTCTACCACCCTGGAGGTAACCTGGGTAGTACATCCGAAGCATTCTCGCAGGCACTCAAGAAGGTATGGGACATCTGCTACCATTCTCATTCCACATATTGGAGACTAACGAAAGCTGCAGTACGAGGACGCCAACCCTGACAAACTTCTTCGAGACAAGAAGAAGAATATCGACGGTCTCATCAGTAAGAAGGCATTCAATACTTTGATGAACATGAAGTATCTCAAGTCTGTTGTCGATCCTGGCGAAGCAGTCGGTATCGTTGCGAGTCAGTCTATTGGAGAGCCGTCAACCCAGATGACCCTGAACACCTTCCACTTGGCTGGCCACTCGGCAAAGAACGTGACGCTGGGTATTCCCCGTCTGCGTGAAATTGTCATGACTGCAAGCGCTCACATCATGACGCCTACGATGACGCTGATCTTGAACGAAGAATTGTCGAAGGAACATTCGGAGAGGTTTGCAAAGGCCATCAGCAAGCTCAGTATTGCGGAGGTGATCGACAAGGTTCAAGTCAAGGAGAGAATTGCCGCAGCCGGTTCACGCTCCAAGGTCTACGACGTCGAGATTGCCTTCTTCCCAGCAGAGGAGTACACGAAAGAGTATGCGATCACAACCAAGGACGTCCAAAACACTCTGCAGAACAAGTTCATTCCCAAGCTTGTTAAGCTCACCAGAGCCGAGCTCAAGAGACGTAATGACGAAAAGTCATTGAAGAGCTTCTCGACGGCTCAGCCTGAGATTGGTGTTTCCGTGGGCGTCATCGAGGAAGGGCCGCGGGGACCCGACCGTGAGGTGGAACCCGCACAAGACGATGATGAGGATGATGAAGACGACGCCAAGCGGGCGAGGAGCGGTCAGAACCGGTCGAACCAGGTCTCGTACGAAGGTCCCGAGCAGGAAGAAATCGACATGGTCCGACAGCAGGATGCTGCAGAAGATGACGAAGATGAGGACGAAAGTGGGGAGGGCCGTCGCCAGGATTCTGATGTCGATATGGAGGACGACTCCGACGAAGAAACAGACGATGAGACGAAAGACACCAAATTGCGCGAGGAGGATATTAAGGGCAAATATGGCGAAGTCACACAGTTCAAGTTCAATCCCAGCAAGGGCACATCATGCGTTGTCCAGCTGCAGTATGACATCTCCACTCCCAAGCTCCTCCTCCTGCCTCTGGTCGAAGAGGCCGCTCGCAGCGCCGTCATCCAGTCTATCCCTGGCCTCGGCAACTGCACGTATGTCGAGGCGAACCCAGTCAAGGGCGAGCCCGCACATGTCATCACCGAGGGTGTCAACCTGCTCGCGATGCGCGATTACCAGGATATCATCAAACCTCACTCCATCTACACCAACTCAATCCATCACATGCTCATGCTCTACGGTGTTGAGGCCGCGCGCGCATCTATCGTGCGAGAAATGTCCGACGTTTTCCAGGGTCACAGTATCTCAGTCGACAACCGCCATCTGAATCTGATCGGTGACGTGATGACCCAGTCTGGTGGTTTCCGTGCCTTTAACCGTAATGGTCTCGTCAAGGATAGCTCGTCGCCTCTGGCCAAGATGAGTTTCGAGACTACCGTCGGTTTCCTGAAGGATGCTGTGATCGAGAGGGACTTCGATAACCTCAAGAGCCCTAGCAGCAGGATCGTGGCAGGTCGGTCTGGCATGGTTGGCACGGGCGCCTTCGACGTGCTTGCTCCTGTCGCATGATTGGGCGCTTTTGGTGCATGTCATACTATATGATTTTCGATTATTGTATATGCTTGCGTATTTCCTTGTGTATTATCCAAATCTTTTGTATGTTTGATGTGTCCTACGATTCGGAGTTTGTCTCAGCGGAATCCAAGAAAAGTCTTGTTCCTTTTCCGATAGCATTTACACCGTGAGCAGATGAATAGATCAATCAATTTACTATATCAAGCTCTTGAAACGATCTAAATCAATAATGTGCAGTTCCAGTTCTAGCAGAAGGACCTAATGTACTACAGGTAGTATACACCGAAAACCCCGTGGTATCATAATCCAGTATCCCATATATACAAAAATCCGCTTCAAAGGTCTCAGAGTTGTTTTTGGCAGAAGAAAATGATGTATGCGCCCAACCCAATTTACTGTGCATCCAACATCATGAGGTCTTCGTCTATATCGTCATCAAATTCGTCCGCAGCGGCAGCAGCACCATTATGAGTGCCGTTCGTGGCCTGTCCATTGGCGGCCGCTTCTCTGCGCACTCTTTCTTCCTCCAGCATCTGCTTTTCGCGATGCCGTTCTATGTCAGCCAAGCTCCATGTAGATATTCCTTCTTGATCCTTGGCCTTGAATGGCTGGGCCATTGTACGCAAGAAGTTCTTCGCAGTAGCCACAGCCATATCCGTACTCAGGTTTGTTTCACTTTCCAGCATGGCCTGACTGATCCACTTGGGTAATTGGTTCCTTTTTTTCTGGAATCGACGGTCAGCTAGCACCATGACTCCGTAGTCGTCCTTGCCACGCAAGACACGACCCAGGCACTGCGCTGCGTGTCTCATAGCGTCGAACGATAGGAAATCATTCTCCCGGATTCGATAATTCTCGCGCAGAAACTCAAGGCGGGCTTTCAAGATCCTAGATTCCGTGTACTGGAAGGGAACTCCAATACATAATACCGCACGACCGTAATGGTGGTCAAAATCGATACCTTCGGAAACCTTTCCTCGAGCGACACAGAACAAGATGGCACCACGTCCATTGCAGCATGCTGTTCGGTAGGTCTCCAAGGCGAGAGACGATTCTTGTGAATCAGGGGTCTCAACGAGAATCAATTTATAGTTCCATATTGAGTCTAGGATTCCCATCCCTTGCCACATGCTGATGATCGACTCCATGTATAGATAAGATGGAAAGAAGACAACAATACCGTCAGGTGTGATGCGTGAGAATTCCAGGACAATATTTCCGTAGTTGCGCACGACGCCAGGGTCATTTCGGATCTGGAATGAAGACGAAATCTGGGCCTGGTCTGAGCCTCGTGTCACGATCATAGGCAGGAAAGACCGGCGTGCAAGCGTCATAGTGTACGACTCTTGCAGCACAGTGGGGAAGCCGAGCATCTTCGGATACATCTCAAGCGGTGAGAGTGTTCCAGAAGTGATGATGACGGAGCTGAACCGATCAAAGACGGGCTTGATCGCAATAGCGGCGTCCAAACAAGTGAAGTGCAGTACTGGATTGGGTACCGTGGCTGTTTCCGACTCGAATGGTTCGAGAATCAACAGGAACCCCTTATCGTATGTCGAGACTAAAGTCGCGAACGTTGCAACTTCTTGTAACGGTTGATAATCCTCTATGTTAATAAGCTCTAGTGTTCGTACTAGCGAAGTAAGCCGCTCGGCGCAGAAACGTAGAGGCTTTCGCTCGATGAATGTCAGGTCTTTGACGTGTGTCAAGAATGACGGTGGCGTTTCGGATATAGTATGGGTGACTTTCATTCGAGTCTTGAGATATTCTATGAAGCGCTTGAGGAAGGCAACAAAGTGCTCCGCCCGTCGTATATTGCCTGGCACCGCTTCCTTCAGCAAGTCATCTGGTAAAACCGGATTCGCGATGAACTGGTCTTCGTCTCTCGCTTGCTCCGCTTCTCTCAAACCTTCGACGAGCTTTGAATATTCGTTTTGTAGTTTCTCTGCGTCCGAACTCTTCATCTCGGAGATTTTCCGCTCCAAGTTGTTTGCGCCCCGCGTAGCCTTCCGTAACGAGTCCTCGGTGATATCGATGCTCAGCGCTTCAATACATACGTTGTCGATGTTGTGTGCTTCATCGAATACTACTATGCAGTCCTTAGAAAGCTCTCGCGACACTCTCTCCGCGATTTTAGGGTCAAGGAGGTAATGATAGGAATAGATAATGACGTTGCAATAAGGCATCTGAACCTGTGTTAGCACGCACCGACAAGGACTTCGAACAGCATATTACCATGCGCCGTGCGGAAAAATAGGGACATTGCTTGTGTTCTTCTCCGTATTTCAAAAGTCCATCTAAAGTGAAGACGCCGGGAGGAACGAGGTTATGCGGTTCAAGGAGGTCGAGGTTCTAAAATGTCAGGAGTTTCTACCACAGTTAGGACGTCGGCGCATACCTCATGATAGATGCATAGCTCGACATCTTCGCCTCTCTCCTTCTTTTCTTTAACGAAACCGGCCGTCAAACTTCTGCATCTCGCGTCCACGACAGTGCCACTTTTCTCTCGTTTCACCGACGGATGCAGGCACAGATTTTTTCGACTGGTGAGACCTAAAGCTCGAAAATCTTCCGTATACCCCAGCTGCTGGGTGCGAAACTTCATCAGCTCCTTCAACTCAGCCAGCGCCTTTTCAATCTCGGACATTGTTCGAGAGCAGTAGATGAGCTTCCTGTGCTCCGGATAATGCTGCTGATATGCTATGATCAACGACAGTAGCGAAACGGTCTTTCCTGTGCCTGACGGCATCTCCAGCACGCAGTGACCCCCGGCGTCGAGGGTCTTTTTAAGATCACACATGTAGGCATACTGTTCGGGGTATATACGAGGATAAGGGAACAGGACGGGGAGGTCACTAATGGATAACAAGGTCTGTTAGAGGAGCTTATTGCTTCTAGTGACTGATTTAACATCTGAAGACTTACTCAATCATGAATTTCATTGTGAGAGTAGAGCGCCACCGTGGTGCTGCTGCCTGACAGAAAACGAGCTCTCTTTCTCTCATGAAAGACAGAAGCATAGTCGGACCGAAATCTGACCTTTCCTCTTTAGGCAATCGATGACACCAGCCCACGTGATCTCCTTATCGGGAGCCCGATCACCACGCCGCTTTTTGATATGGCAGTCACAGAGATCAGTGACGTTTTGCCAGGGCGATTTGGAGATGAAGCGAAGAATTTGTTCTGGACTTGGATGATTCTCTCAATTGCGGCTCATCGACTATCTAGCCACGAATATCCTCGTCCATTCACTCATTTATCCCTTATTTTACTCTCCTTTTTCATTCTTTGCGCTGTTTTTTTACTCCACTACCCCACATTACTATGAGCAAAAAGTTCAAATCGCAGGCCTCCAGCAGCCGTGCTGCTGCCAGTGCATATGGATCTTTTGGCGGATTTTCCAGTTCCTTCGCGAGTGCAGGAAGAGCCCCTTCCTCGCTCACATATGTGACCGCGCCACCAGATCTGTCGCGGATTGCGGATGCGAAGCTGGCCATTTCTTTTAAGAACTTCCTGAAGAAGGATGAAGTTACGAGAATAAAAGCATTAGATGAGATTAAAGATTATGTATCGACAGTCGAAAGTCGTGGTGCCACTCTTGACGACGGGTTCTTGGATGCTTGGGTATGGCTACAAGCTTATCTTGCAGACAGAAACTTGATGTTGATTGTATTTCGCAGATCAAAATTTATCCACGGGCCTCGATTGACATTTCCCGTAGAGTGAGGCAGACGGCTCATTCAGCTCAAGGATCCATTGCCTGTGTTGTTGGCAAAAGGATAGCCCCATATTTGCCTAAGGTGATTGGGGCATGGCTTGCAGGATTCTACGATAATGACCGACCCGTGCATCGAGCTGCCTTAGAGTCGTTCATGGAGGTGTTCACAAACGAAGAGAAAAGAAACGGAGTATGGAAAGTCTACCAGAGCTCAATTCTCGACTTTGTAGATGATGTTATTCTGCAACAGACTCCTCAAACACTGAGTGATGAAAGGACAGTGAAGCCTGATGATGCGGAGGCAAAGTATGCTCGTGTAGTAGGAACAGCTCTCCTGCTATTGAATCGAGTCATAGGTGTGTGTGTATCATTTCCCGAAATCGTTCAGCCGTGCTGACTTTATTCAGCAAATTCGACTCACGAAGATCTCCAAAAGGATCTGACCACAGTGGAGAATCTACTGAATAGCAAATCGATGTGGTCCCTCTGCTTTCATGACGATCCATTTGTTCGCAAGTCCGTCTATGTCTTGCTTAGGTCTGCTGTAGCAAAAGAACCCGAGGAGCTGGATTGGAGGATCATCAGTTCAGCTCTGATTGGCAAATCCTTGTCCATCAATCAATTGGGTTCAGCCTCCGACCTCTCTGAATCTTTGCTGGAAGTAACTTCAGCCCGACCACAATTGTGGACGGAAGATTACTCCGGAAAGACTACGTCTTCCAAGAGGCTCCTTCAATACATCCAGAAAGGCTCTCAGGGAGGCGTGGGCTCCTTCTGGTCAAATCTTCGCCAACTACTGCAGATTATACCTGCGGAAGTGCTTGCGAAAACTGATCCGCAGGCATCTACTGACGGCATGATTGGGCTATCGAGTGCAACTTTGCTGACGGAGGCGTTTCAACTTGGATTGAACTCAAGAGAAGAGCCGCGGCAGAATCAAGCTGTGGGTTGGAAGTCTTACATTGAGACCGGCATTTGGCTAGCGAGTTCACTACCGGAGAGCGATAGGGACACGTTTTTGCGCGCCAGGGTATCTCCTCTAGTCATTCAACACGTGAGAGCAGAGCAAAATGCGCCGCAATGGACGCTCCCGAATCAGAATGCTGTAGCTCTCTGCACAGAGTATTCTGTCGCGTTAGCTAAAAGCCATTATTATAACGAACTCCAGCGGCTGTGGACCGATTTAGCCGATGGTCTGCTCGAATCCGTCAAACTATCCGCTCCAGAGCAGTCAAAGGAGTTCAGATCGTCACAAGATGCTGTATGTGCGCAAGCTGGACGACTCTTTGCTCTGGAGGCTTTAGTACTTGCAAGTGTAGCCGATACTGAGTCGAAAGCTTCCGTGTCCAGCGTTCTTGGCAAGACAAACTTGCCACTTCTGGACAATTGCCTGCAAGTATTGCGCTCTCGGAATGGCAAGCCATATGCTGCTGCAGCGGTCGTTGAAGAGATGATCCGCAACGCTGCAGATATTGCAAAACAATCTCGAGAATTGGCGGATTTCGTTCAGAATGATGCTCCCGAATTGTTGTCCTCACCATCGGCTGACCGCCTCATATCAGTCATCTTGTCCTGTCGTTCTTGGGACGGATTCGGCTCTAGCTTTGAGAAAGTGGTGGAACGAGTGGCGGAATCCGAACCGGAGCAATCAAATACACATGCTGTCCAGAAGCTACTTTCAACTCTCGATCTCAAAGAAGTGCATGACAAAACAGGTCTTGACTCATTGATCAAACGGGCTTTGGACCAAGCGTGCAGAGGTAGCCGATTCCACTGGCCAATCGTGATCGCAGCACTTCAGAACCAGACATCACACGGCGAACTAACAAACTCGATTTTCTTGTTTATCGTTGATTCATTGTCTGAGCCAACAAAGGTTTTTGAAGCGCTGTATGGGCTGTCTCAGATTGCAAAATCTGTCCCGGATGCGCTTAGCAAATTTCAGGCCGGAGCCCACGGATCAAAATTGGCCGGAAAGCTTCTGTTTCTGGCAGAAACTTCTGACGAGGAAGTGACCAGTCTTGCAGAGTCAGTGCTGACAAAATTCAAAGAGATTGGGGTCGGTGAGACGAGCGCCAAGTCGAGTTTTGAGATCTTGCAGTACAATTTCGATCACGTCAATGAGGAATCTCTTTCGTAAGTTCTGAGCTGAGAATAGAAGGATATCCGGTTAAACTAACATCTTTCAAGGATTGGATCTCTGCTAAGCATAGCAGAAGAGTTGCTTCGTGCCGCTGACCCGGAGGCCCGGGCCTCCATCGCTAAAGACATCTTGCCCTCTCGTCAAACGTGGGAGACAGCCTTGCGGCCGTTCCTGGAGCTTCCTCCTCGCCCATCAACAGCTATCACAAGTCCGCTTGGCGGGACTGTTTATCTAGTAAAACCCGAGGTATCAGATACACTTAAGGAACAGTACCACACTATTCCCCGTGATTCCAGTGGTTGTTCGTCTGGGTTCCGACTCGCATATTTCACCGTTCGTGTTCTTTCATCGTTCGATATAACGGGCAATTTGTCAGCAGAGGAGCGAGAGACACTGTTTCACTTCATACCCTTGGCTTTACAGCTGATTGATGACGATTTGAGCATTGAAAATTGCAACGGTATTACTGGATTAACGCACTCAGACCAACGAGAAGAATACTTAGAGATTGTTTACGATGGCCGCAAAGTGATCAAGCAGTGGACGCGCTCAGATGACCGTCCATCTAAAAGAGATGCGGCAACCGCCTCAACAATCCTGTCCTTCTGGCAGAACAAACTCGAAGCCCTAAACAATACCTCTCCGACGGACTATCGTATTGGAGAAGCCTTTGTCAGGCTGATGAACAGCATCGACTCCGCCAACAAGAGTAAATCCACAGAGGAGATCACCAAATTTTGCAGGGAAGTGCGAAGTTCGAACGCCATTCGATCGGCATCCTGGGTGGCAATCTTACGGGAATCCATCTTAGGAAGTCCGACGGGCAACCGGCTGTGCAATGAACTGATCGCAGACTCTACGGGCTTGAAGCCTCAAGATGAGAAGAAGGAAGGTAGGTTGCTACTAGGATCATCCCTTGGTGACTCTACTGATGTGTTTCAAGGTCTCCGAAAACTGTCTTTGCTTAACCTTCTTCTTGCGGGGGAAATAAACGTGGCGTCGACCATTCCGACTCAGCGTCTAGTCTTCCTTGTCAAGCATCTCATACAATGTCTCCAGTCCGAGGACTTGCCGCTCAATATCAAAGCCGAGATCATGCATACCCTGACCTTTGTCCTTCCTTGCCTGAATGAGATATATGGATCGCATTGGGAAGACTGCATGGAAGCTCTCAGCACGGTTTGGCGCGAGACTAGCGGGGCCGATGAAGCTCTCCCCCTACTCCTTGCTTCGTTCAGGCTTTTCGCAAGCCTGAGGTCAATCGTTGCTGAAGAAGACAGCAATGATGATGTCAAAGACGCCTGGTCAGAACGCAAGACGGTCCTTTTCAACGGCTTAGCCTCAACCCTTACAAAATTTGGTGAGCTAGAATGCATCCCTCACATTGAGATGTGCAACGGACTGACTTTAAGAAGACTGCACCATTGCTTTCCATCAGCCCCGGGATGTTACCGTTGAAGTGCTATGCCGCTTGATCAAGGTGATGCCTGTCGAGAGCCTCGAAGACCCGAGTAGGATGTTCCATCTCTTGACAGCTGACAGCCGAGTTATCCAACGTGCAGCTTTTACTCTCCTGCACCGTTATATCCCATCAGTGCAAGAGCAAGTCTCATTTGATGTGGCATTATCCAAGTCTGTGGTCAGGCTTCCTGATGAGCTCATGTCTTTGCTACTTGAAGCCCCCACGATGGAATCGATCACTCTTGCGGATGGCGATGACAAGATCTGGACCAGTATAAGATCTTATTTGCTGAGCTGGAAAGTCGTATTTGACCACTTTGTCAACGCGGTATGTGTCGACACGCTTTCGAGTACACAATCAAGCTGTTGCTAATTTTCATACAATAGTCTCTCCCGCTTCAGGAGCAATATGTTGCAAGCATCAAGGACAACGATAGCCTTGGTCCCTTGTTAGAGTTCATGTTTGATTTCCTTCAGCAGTCCCACAGTAAACTGGTGGATGCTTCGAGGTTTGACATTCGCTCCTTTGAACCTGATCAATCCGAGACTCAAGAGAAAGAGATCCAGTGGCTTTTGGTTCACTTATACTTTTTGTGTTTGAAGCACCTTGGCAATATGACGAAGAACTGGTGGCTGGACACAAAGAAGCGCATAAAAGGGCCTGTTGAGGCGTGGACCGAGAGATTTGTAAGTCCTTTTTGCGATCTACTTTGCCTTGAAAAGACGGTACTGACGACTATTTGAGATCTCGCCTTTGATCATCGAAGACTCTCTCAAAGGGGTGGACGACTGGATGGCCACGCAGGATCCAAACGAAGAGCGCGCGCTTTCAGTGAAGATATCTTCCAAGACTGCGGAGATCATCGCGAGCATCCCTGTTGATGAAGAGTCGCCTCCGGTTGCGCTGTCGATCTCCCTCCCTCCAGCATATCCATTGCAGCCTGCCCTCGTTGTGGGGCGGAGCCGAGTGCTGGTCGACGAGAGGAAGTGGAAGAGCTGGCTGCTCACCATTCAGGGTGTGATCATGTTCTCCAACGGCAATCTTGTGGACGGACTGATGGCCTTCCGCAAGAACGTGCAGGGCGCCTTGAAGGGCCAGAGCGAATGTGCCATCTGTTACTCGGTGATCTCGACGGACATGCAGACGCCGAATAAGAGATGCGCCACTTGCAAGAACACCTTCCACTCGGTGTGTCTCTTCCGCTGGTTCAAGAGCAGCAACCAAAGTACCTGCCCTCTGTGCCGCAACAACTTTGTATATGTATAGATAGGATCGTGGGTTCTTACATAGCATAGACGGCGTTGCGCGGGGGTCTAGACAGATGACGATCGAAGGGATGATTGGTATAAATAAAACATTGCATGGATAGCTATTCTGCCCTTGACTCCTCCATTAATTCTGCCGGTCTCAAATCAATCCTCGAAACAGTCAACTAGATAACGTTCGTTGAGGGTCCAGTGGGTGGTGGATCCAGCCCAGTGTGGCGGGGACCGAACAACCCCGCCAATATCATCATCACCGCCCAGAGCTTCCCCCTTCGCGTCGTAAAGATCTCTCCGACATGTCGGCTTCTCAGATACCCAATCTGAACACACTTCGTCGCGGTGGAGGTCGAGGGCGTCTTAGAGGCCGTGGAGGCTTTGACACAGGCACACCAGGCGAAGAAAGACATGGATCACGGGGAATAGCAGCCCAGGACCGTGTCGTACAAGGGACAGACAATGACGCCAGCGTCTCCCGGTTGAGCGCGGTGGAAATTGGGTATCTTGATGATCCTTTTGCGAGGGCATTGACGCCTCCAGGGTCAGAAACAAGAAGGCTTCCCATAATTAACAGAGGTAAACCCTTCTACAATGCAGTCATTGTACGTTTCTGCAGATTTAACATGAAGCCACACAACAGGCACCTACGTCCGCACCACCGCCATCGACCGACTCGTTGCGCGATTCTTGGAAAGCCCTTCACAGACGAAAAAGCAGATCATCTCGCTAGGCGCAGGATCTGACACGCGCATCTTCCGGTTGCTTTCCTCTCGCTCGTCCGCCTCAAGTCCGGATCTGATCTATCACGAGATCGACTTCTCTGCCAACACTGCCGCGAAGATCAAGTTCATCCGCGCAGCACCTCTCTTACAACGGACACTGGGAATTGGAAATGCCCAAAATGTATCCATCTCCAACTCCGGCGACGCATTGCACTCGCCGACATACCACCTCCACCCTGTTGATCTCCGAACACTTGCAGCGTCGGCGTCAGCAACCACTTCGCAAAGCCCATCATCGCCCAATCCGACGGAGAAGGATCAACCACCCTGTCCGCTACAGGGTGTCGACCCAACACTCCCCACGTTACTCATCTCAGAATGCTGCCTTGTGTACCTCTCTCCCCGCGAAGCGACCGATGTCGTCGAATACTTCACCAAGTCCCTTTTCCCGGCGAGTGTACCGTTGGGTTTAATTATCTACGAGCCCATCCGACCCGACGACGCCTTTGGACGAACCATGGTCGCCAATCTCGCGACGCGCGGGATTCAGCTGCAGACACTGCACGAGTATGCGTCGCTCGAGGCGCAGCGGCGACGGTTACGGGAGCACGGGCTTGATAGCGGACAAGAAGCGGCGGACATTGATTTCATCTGGGAGCGGTGGGTGAGTGAGGCGGAGAAGGAGCGGGTTGCCGGGTTGGAAATGCTGGATGAGGTCGAGGAGTGGCAGTTGCTTGCGCGGCACTATTGTGTTGCGTGGGGATGGAGAAGCGGGGCGGGGGAGGATACGGGGGTGTTTGATGGATGGAAGGAGATTGAGGGACAGACTGGGGAGTGATTCACGTTCTACATTATGTATCCGTGCTTAGGCTCTGGGAGCTGTTCCATCGCTCCATGGCCTCCTTGGCGTGCTGTAGCACGGTGTCCAGGATGCAGCCTACCTGGAATATACCACCAAACATGCTCAAATCAGTAACCACTACTCTCTAAAGAGCTCGAAAATGCTCGTCCGAGTTCTTCTTCTTTCCATAGTATTTAGCTAGCTCGAAAAGCCAAGCCGCCTTGACAACGGAGACATGTCAGATCAATTGAAAACTCGGGGAGTAGGTAGTTCAGGTCCCAGAATCCTACCATCTGATTGGCCCCTTTTCGCAAATCGCACCAGAAGTAAAGTCCGGTTACGAAGGAAAACTTGAATAATGACCACTAAGTTTAATGGTGCCTGTTAGTAGAACTGTCAGTGTACCTGCTGATCACTGGCTTGACAAGTCTAGGCCCTGCAGAAAGGGAAATCTTTATTTCTGGTAGACTTCTCTGTGTCAAAGGTGACATTGGAGAGAAGAGTAAACAGTCTGGGCTTTTGAATGTATTCAAGCTGCATGGTAGATGTGGAAGCGACTAAGGTACGGTTAAATAAATAGCTGTACTCTGTAATAACCGGGGTATCTACGGAAGTATGTACTCCATACAGCGATGGTGAATGAGAGCAGCAGCGTTCGTGGATCAAAAATCACGCCCAGGGACAGACCCTGTAGCTTCAGGGACGCACAGATTCTGATTGGCCACTAGCAATGAACTAAGCTCCCTCATCTAACCCCACCGGGGCTAGTTGGGCATGAACCACCGGGGCACAACAGCTTGTGATTGGCACGTAGATTCGGCTACTGAGCTCGAATAGGCATAGGCTTCAAATAGCCTTGAGATTATCCCAATCGGGAGGTCCGTTGCTTCATATATGGGGCGTACCACGATTCATTCGCTGCTGACGAGTGCTAGCGTAGCGCCAGCAGAGTCAATTCCGACTCATGGGGTCTGGAGTCGGCGCGACAATGGGCTAATAGCCTAGTCCACAGTAGTGCTCGTGTTAGACTTGGGGCTGGTCCGTTTTCCTCACTCGCGTTCATTTCCCCGTTTTCCCTCCTTTCGCTATCCATCCATCCCCTCTCTCCTTATCCGGTGGTGCTTCCCTTCCTTTTCACTCTTCGGAGTAGTCGCTCGTTATATTTGCTCTTTTACTGACCCTAGTCTTTCGTTTCCGGAGTGTGGAGTTGGACTTCACTTCGACTTCGAAATCCGCAACATCACCTTGATAAGGGAGAGATACAGGAACAACAGTCGTCAGGATGAGATTCGACATGGTTTCCGGCGCATCTGCGCTGCTGTGGTTCGTCGCCAGCGTCGAGGCATCCAAGCATGCGCATCGGCACCATTTGAGACATGAACACGGCACCGTCCACTCCGTTGCTGAAGTGGGTGCGCCATTGGAGAAGAGAGGAGGGAAGTGCCAGTTCCCCACCGATGCCGGCTTGGTCGCTGTGACTCCGAATATGAAGAACGCCGGATGGGCGATGAGCCCCGATCAGGCCTGTGAGCCTGGCAATTACTGCCCCTACGCCTGTCCCCCGGGCCAGGTGTCGATGCAGTGGGACCCCGAAGCGACCTCGTATTCGTACCCTTTGTCCATGGTGAGTTTTCAATTGGTAGCTCCATACCGATCCGAAGGTCCTGACAGTGTTGCGTGTGCTAGAATGGCGGTCTCTATTGCGACAAGGACGGTCAGATCAAGAAGCCGTTCCCCGACAAGCCGTACTGCCAGGACGGCACGGGTGCCGTGGGCGCAAAGAATAAGTGCAGCAAGCACGTTGCGATCTGCCAGACTGTGCTGCCTGGAAACGAGGCAATGTTGATTCCCACGCTGGTCGAGGACGCGGCTACTCTTGCGGTGCCTGACCTCAGCTACTGGTGTGAAACCGCCGCTCAGTAAGTGCATTCGGCGATGATACTCTTATCTCGTATTGACCGTTGTCCAGCTTCTATATCAACCCGCCTGGCTATGACACCGAGACCGCTTGTGTCTGGGGTACTTCTGACAGCCCCCTCGGTAACTGGTCGCCTTATGTTGCTGGCGCAAACACCGACGGAAACGGCAACACGTTCGTGAAGATCGGATGGAACCCCATCTATCTGGAGACCACCACGCCCTTCCGCGACGTCGTCCCAGACTTTGGTGTCGAGATCGAGTGCGAGGGTGGCGGTTGCAACGGCCTTCCCTGCAAGATCGACCCCGCGGTGAACGCGGTCAACGAGATGATCGGTAGCACCGCCGTTGGAGCCGGAGGCGCCACCTTCTGCGTGGTGACGGTCCCCAAGGGTGAAAAGGCCAACGTTGTGGTCTTTGAAAAGTCCGGCGGCGGCAGCGGCAGCGGCAATGGCGATTCCCACTCCACAACCGCGGCACCCTCCACGACCTCTGAGCCCAGCTCGACCACCACAACCACCTCGTCCAGCACAGCGTCCTCCAGCACGTCGACTCCTGCCTCGTCGTCCTCATCAGAGCCCACTGACACAGACTCGAGCTCGAGCGCCACCGTCACGCCCTCCACCAGCAGCGACCCCAGCTCATCCGCCAAGGCGTCCAGCGCCAGCCAGGCTTCGGAATCCGGTGCATTCTCGTACACGTACAAGCCTCACGTGTTCGTCGAGCAGTCAGTCTCAGTGGAGGCCATGGCAGCCGAAACGGCTGGTCCGGCACAAGCCACGGCCACTCCCACCCCTGCTTCCAAGGAAAAGGAGAAGGAGGGCAGCGCCGCCGATGTTGCCGTCTCCGTGCTGACTCTGGGCATGGGCGCTGTCGCGGCGATGATGATCAACCTGTAGTAAGCTGCAGGTGCTACCTATTGCTGTCACCAGCTCCAGCCTCAGCCGTGAACTAGCATTTTTCGCAACTTCTCTTCGGTGCCTCGAAACTTTATAATTCTTTTTTCGTTTCTTCGGGATACCCTGGTCCTATTGAACCATACCATACCATACTATACCATTCTTGACGACTGACGTTATCTGTATATTGACGACCCTTTGACCTGCCTATATTATATATTCTTCGCTTCGTCTGTTCTGCTCATCAGCAGTTTTCTTTTTGACTTGGGGATTTGGAACGCATGATCTGCTATGCTGTTGCCGATTGAATTGACGATGGGGCTTGAACATACCATTCTAAGAATGGATAGTGAGCTGATAGCTGATTTTGATAATGTCTATTACTCGCTAGTTCGTGATAGGCTGGAGCAATGTGACATTTGCATATATCCATGTTATTACTTCTCCAAGGTAGCTTGTAGTCCAGGAGACTCACGATGGGAGAATATAGTAGAGACCACAAGGTAACACAAGTCAATTGTTTTAAGGACGATGTCGGAATTTGAGGACATCTTTCGTCGCTGTCATTCTTTATGTCATAGCTCATTCTTCGGATCTGCACCCCGCATACTTAATGTCTCTTAGCCGCCGCATACTACCTAGAGTCTGGGGCAGAATACCGAGAACAAAAATCACTATACACCAAGGGCTGGACAGTAATAGATTATCCTATCAAATAGACGCTCATTTATCCACATCAACGCTGTTGGTCACCGAACCAAACACCTCCAGGGCGTGGCCGAGATAGTCCTGCACTCCCTTGAGACGAGGAGTCATGTCACTTCCCAAAGGCAGCAATTTCTCCGTCTCGTGGCCCTCTCCCACGCCCTCGCCAACAACCACTTCGTACACAGCCTGCATGGCCTTGTCCTTGTCACCGTTGGGTTTGATCTTCCCGCTCACAAGAAGGCCCTGGACCTGCTCGGTGAATGTGCCCTTGTAGTCGTCCGGAAGAGGAGTCTTGCCTAGGACGACTGAGTTGGGCATATTGGTGTTGAACGTCCCCAGCACGACGGTCAGGGTACGGATGTTGAAGGGGGCAACCTCTTTGGCGAGGATTTTGGTGAGAGCTATGCAGTTAGCTAATTGCCCTCCGAAAAATTTCGAGGGAAAATTGTATACCATCCAGGCCGGCCTTAGCACCCGCATAGACGCCCATCGTGGGAATGCCATCGAGCGAGGCCCCGCTGCTCATGTTGACAATCACGCCGGACCGGCGCTGGCGCATATGAGGCAGAACCGCGCGCATCAGACGCAAAGGGCCAAAGTACATGGTCTCCATCTGTGAGCGCATCTCCTCCTCGGTCATGGTCTCGATAGGCGCGTAGATGGAGTAGCCGGCGTTGTTGACCAGGACATCGATCTGCTCGCCGCCCTTCTCGAGCTCCGTAATCACCTCGCCGCTCTGAGGGCTGTCGACATCCAGCTGGACCCATTTGCCCCCTTTGCTTTCAATGTCAGCGACCAGCTCCGGGGTGCGAGAAGGGTTGCGGGAGGTAGCAATGACCTTGTGGCCGCTGGCCTGGGCGGCGCGTGTGAGGGAGAGACCAAAACCGGAGGAGCAGCCGGTGATGAGCCAGGTGAGTTTTCTAGACGCCATGATGAAGATTTTGCAGTCAATCAGATCAATGGTATCTAGGCAGTACAGGAGCTGAACTTGGATTTAAACATCTACAATTGTAGCCAAACCCTCGGAGATAGCGGATGAAGCCGTAACTCCGTCGTCGACAGGGATGCTCAATATGGGATACCAGCGTAATCAACTGACCAAAGAGTACACTGTCTGGACACTTTTGACCTGGCGGTATTGGGTTCTGACAGATGGCGAAGGCGTGGACTCTAGTCTCTTTCTACTCGTCGCCGAGTTCTATTTCCACATCCTCGTCTGATTCTCCTGGATGTCTTATCTGGCTGGCGCTGTGTGAAGCCCAATTGGCCCAAAGGCAATGAAAACCGATTAGTTCCTGCGTCTACAATTGAACATTGGAAATAATCCCCGATTGGGCTTTCTGAGGTGCTGTCACAGGCGTGAAGTGGCTTCGCACAGTCCCAGAGGATGCGCCGCTGCGGTTGTGTCCTGCACTCGCAACGAGACAGGAACCAAATGGCCCGAGATTAGGCGCTGCATTGCAAACAGCATGGTCTCTCTCCTCGTGCTCCAGAAACGCCCGAATGTGCAAGAGCCAGTGAGCCAACTGGACTCCCGATTCGAGCGGTATCACCGGTCAAGCCTATCAAGTTAGTGGCCTTACTATATTCAAGTATGCAGGATGCAGGACTTGAACATACCTTTCTGAGTTGTGAACCATTACGGCAAGGTCATTTGTTAGGTGCTTAATCAACTGCAGTAACGGACGTCTTTTTGTGGATGCCTTGGAGTAGCTAAATAGGAGTGGAGGCAGCCGTCTCTTATCAACTTATCGGCAGTGACTCTTTGACTCCTCCAGCCTCGACACCCTCAGCCCTTCCAGGCCCAACACAACTAGATCAGCGACATCCACTCTCACAATGCCTCCTTCAGTACAAACAGTAAGTCTTATCAGAGACGATCACACTCATTCCCTTCCACCCCAAAATCCCCGCTATAAACAAAGACACTGCAGCTCAGACCTACCCCGCACATCCCACTCCTTCAACCACAACCACACCTCCAGGAATGAGAAGATACAAACACTAACACAGCATCAAAGACCAAACTAACCTCCACCCTCCGCCTCCTCATCCCGCGTCTCCGCCTCCTCCAGAAAAAAGACAACGCCTCATCCGTCATCCAGCGCCGCGAACTCGCCACCCTCCTCGACGAAGGCCGCGAGTCCTCCGCCCGCATCCGCGTCGAGAATGTCATCGCAACCGACATCGCCGTCGAGGTCATGGAGATGGTCGAGCTATACTGCGAGCTGCTCCTTGCGCGCGCCAATGTCCTCGACCAGCTCGCGTTCGGGGAGAAGGGCGCCCGCGCGCGGAGCCGTGCCAAGGAGGCCCTGAAGGCGGAGATGGGGCCGCAGGGCCACGGCCACCCTCAGGGCCACTCTCACGCTCAAGCTCAGGGCTCGTCCGACGCAGCGTCAAAGTCATTCCTGGGGTTTTCGCTTTGGGCGGGGGGCGGGACAAAGAAGCAGACACCAAATATTTCAGAAAGTACGCCGGCGCGGGGCCGCAAGACCGAGGCGGAGGAGACCGTCGACGAGCACGACGAGGGACAGACCCCGAGCTACATCGACGCGGCGCTCGACGAAGCCGCCGCCGTGATCTTCTACGCGTGGCCGCGCTTCCCGCGCGACGTGCGCGAGCTGACCATGCTGCGCGGCATGCTCGCCGAGCGCTGGGGCAAGGAGTTCATGACGCTGGCGCAGGACAACAAGCTGGTGGACGTGAGGGTACCGGAGCGGCTGGTCAAGGCGCTGCGCGTGAAGCCGCCGGCGCAGGAGCTCGTCGAGAGCTATCTCCGGGAAATTGCAAAGGCGTACGGGAGTTCGTGGGCAGCGCGGGCCCAGAGCCAGAGCGAGACCGAGCTCGGCGAGGCGCCTCCGGAGTTTGTCGGTGATCAGCCTGGCGATACTGACCAGTCTGGCGATGGCGATGGCGATGGCGACGCTGCCGTCCCCTCCACGCCGACCCGGCCGGTCAACATGGCTGAGGCGCGGCGCGCTTCCGAGACCTCGGAGTTGAATAAGGCGACGCCGCCACGGGGGTTCCAGTCTGTCAAGAGCCCTGTTAGTGTTGCGCCGCCGGGGCCGCGGTCGGATAACCCCAATCCGCGTGTCAAGGTTCCAGGCAGTGAGACCCAGTCCGAGACGCAGGTTGAGGGGCCTCCCAGGGCGCGGAACGGGAATGCGGGTGGTTCTGGGGGGATACCGGAGTTGGATGAGTTGACTCGACGATTCGCGGCCCTGCGGCGGTGACTATGACCTTGGCCAATTTGTTCAGCGAGAATTCACGTTTAATAATGATTGATGATTGTTGACGAGCCGTCGGCTTTTGAGGCTTTCTACATTTGTAGCCATACGCTCCAGCGCTGTACTACTGCGAGTGTTATCTGACGGATTTATTATTGTATCTATCTAGATACAGTCATCTATAAGATCTAGCCCTTCCACTCCCAGTGAATATGTGCTTTTGCCGTATCATGCATGAGAGGCCCAAAGCCAACCAAAAAGTCCCAACCATATGAGACAGAGAAGCGAAGAATGTCCACGGCATGAGGCAACAAAGACAGGATCAGACAACGAAGCAACAAAGCCAACACCGGGCACATGATGCAGCCAGTTAGGCGGTCAACCCAGCGAGACGCAGCAAAATGTATGAGCAAGAAAAAGACCACCCAGAGGACACCGGACTATGCATGTGCCGAAACCATATGTACAGGACAAAGGAAATCAAAACGAAAGATTCATAAACACGACAAAAAGAGATTACCGGAGGTCGTCTTCTTCTCCCGGGAGCAGAATCTCATGGCCGGAGCCTTCATAGACAAAGATCGCTGCGATGCATCCAAAGACGGATACAAGAGCGATCAGCCACCAAGCAAAGCCGACCATGCCTATCTCCAAACCATAACCGTACCAGGCTCCGGAAAAGATAGGCCCGATGGTCCGGAACGCCGAAGATACTGACTGTCCGATACCGTGAATCGTACCGAGCACCGAAGGGTGCGGTGAGCAATTGTTCAGAAGGATAATGGATGTCGGGAGTGTGAATGTTCGAGCGCTAACTTGCAGGAACAGGACGACAATGATGGAGAACCACACCCAGGGCCCGTTGGCCTGCCCTGGAGGGGGCGTGGACGACGGCGCAAGAGCAATGTAAGGGCGAAAGCATAGGCCAGAGGAAAGAGCGACAGGAAGTATTGGTAGCTCTTGGCTGTGCCCAGGCGGCCGTTAATTGAAGGGTAGATGGTGAATTGGAGGAGCATGCCGATGACCCCGAGGATAGCTGTGGCGAAGCCAACACTCTGAGGCAACATACCCAAGCCCCCTGTGAAAATGAAGGGCAGTCTCTGAACAGGACTGGCAGGGTCGCTGGAGTCATAGCGAGGGGTGGATAGGAAAAGCAACCATAGATTGTTGAAGGCACTGGCAATCGTCAGTAATGGTGCGAGCTATATCGGGAGATATTAATACATACCCCATCTGGAAATCGAAAAACGCCTGGGCAAGAAGAGTGCACAGGACATTCTTTGTCCAGATTCGTCGGAACGGTAACACGCGAGCGTGCCTCGTAGGTTTGGCCGCCTTCTCTTCAAGCTCGTAGCTTTCGGTAGGATCGCTTGGTCGGCTCAGCAGGGGACCTTCCTCATCATAGTCGGAGAATGGAAGTCTAGAATATATGGGCGACGAAGACGGAACGACAGCCTTCAAACCACGGGCGAAAAGCTTCATGGCAATAGCGCCCAGA